GGTGATTAATATGTATTGAGTCTAGTGGTCAGACAGGGCCAAAGGCAAAGAGAGTGGGCCACAAATACAAAAGATACCAACATACTGTAGTTTAAGCTCTTTCCACCAGTTGCTCAAGCCTTATGAGCAGAATTTCAAGATTCTGAAATGTGGGAAAATCTTCATAAAGGCCAGGAAACAAAGGGGGCAGAGCCAGGGAAAGGACACTGAAATCTTTGGCTGAGGATCAGAAAAAGGTGAAGCAGGCACCCTTTGGCAGTATATTAAAGATTCAGAAAGTGAATTACAGCCATTAAAGCACAGAAGGCCTTAGTCAGTCTTTTCTCTTTCATCGTCATCCCATTCTCTTCCCCATCTGTAGGACAGAGACCATTCTTTCATCTGCAATTGAACAGAGTGGTGTGTTGATCCAGAGAAGTCAATTTTAAAAAACCAGTTTAGGAATTAAAATAAAAGCAGTTAGCAGAACCTGTCGCTGACCCTGACTGGCAATCACAGGTCCCTTGTAAGGGAAGGAATAGCACATAGCTCCCTACCTTAGCACAGCTAGAGATTTGAGGTGGGCAGGAAAGGTTGGGTAACTGTGTGCCAGATTTTGTGGAAATCCCTCGTCCTTCATTCTGAATGTACCTAAAAATGATCTTCTGGATGATATAAGTATCCAGTGACTTCTGATCCTTAACTAAACACAACACATAGTGCCGGTATTTGTTTTTAAAGCCCTGCACAGCTCAGGGGCTTGGATATGTCAAATAATATAAGCCTTTATGTGTATATTATCTATCTATCTATCTTCTATATTACCCAATAACCAATGCTCTCTGGGTGGCTTAGAAAATCCATTAAAATGCACTACAATACAAAAACTTCGGGGAACATCACCATACAACATTTAAAACCACATTTAAAACACACATAAGATTCCAAGAACTGGAACAAGATAAAATCTGATTGAACCTGATTAAACAAGGGGACTAATAATTGTCAGAGCAATACTACAAAACTAGAGGTCCATACTAAAAGGGAGAAATCTAGGCACTACCTCCTTTCACAAGCAAAGATTCCCTTGCATTTTTTTCCCTGATAGCTTGCCATTTCCCATCTGTCAAGTGAAAAGCAAATTAACAAATTAACCTATTTGCAGCTTTCCTTTTTTGTTGTCTATGGATACTGTGCTGTGGCCCAATAGGGCAGCATACAAATGTTTTAAATTAAATAAATAAATACTGCCTCTGTACTTTGGTAGGAGATACTTACCAGGTAATTGGACAGGCAAACCTTCCCTTTGGGGAGGGGGCCCTGTTATTTAAAATAACATTTAAAATTACAAAAATATTTCTGCATGTTTCTGGTGCCTAAAAATAATTTGTTACAAGTTGTAAATGCAGTGATGATTGCTCCATTGTGCCATGCAGTCACTTTGAAAGGGCTCTCCTTGGCTGTCAGTTGGAGATATTATAGAAAGAAAAGAAAGAAGGGAAAGGGACTGCTGTAGTCAAGAAGCGGTTGCAACTGAAGGGGTATTAGCAAGGCAGTGACAATTGCGCCAAAGAGCATGTGTGGAGTGGTTGTTACTGGAAGTGACCTGGATAAGATCTGCAAAAGCAACAAGGGGTTTTTGTTACATTGCTGAGTGGCTCATTCACCACTTCCCTAGACCCATGATGGGACTGGTTTGCCAGTTCAAAGACACAACAACCCATTGCGAGTTCCACATCAAAACATAGGTTGGCAAATGCAGTGTTCCCCCAGACAAGCTGTCCTGTGGGAGCCAGTCTGAGTAAAACCATCTCAACAAGCCCATTGTGGCTAGTTATCCACAATGGGTTGCTACGTCATGTGAACCTAGGAAGCCAGGAGCTGAAGAATAAATAGAAAGAATTTGAGAGCCGGTCAAAATACAGTTGTTCTCACAATCTTCTCTTCCACATGTGCGGCCGCAGACAGGCTTGGCTAACTGCTTTTTGAGTATCTGAGCATCAGGAGAGCCACATACTGGCTTTTTCAAACATAACAACTAGCCAGTGGGTGGCAAGAGATTGGGTGGGCCCTAGAGCTGGTGGCAAAGTCATGGGCCGGACTGACTGCAAGAGTCAAAGGCAACTGGTGAAACTTCTAGTAGCAGGGGCTTAGCAGAACATCCAGGCGGAAATTAATCTTGTCATGCAACCCTCTCTGCAAACTGCCCCCATCCCTCACCTTCTCTGCTGAATTCTGAAAGAGCAGCTATGGGTTAATTTATGGGTCAATAAAAATTATTGAGATTGGTTAATCTCAATGGCAGGGGGAGATAATTGCTCTTTAATTGCATTTTCTTTAATGTTGGGTGAGCAGAGCCCTATAGCCCACAGTAGCTTCTATGGAATCCTTAACGAGCTCTTCTGACATCTGCTTAATGCTTCAAAGTAGCATTTAGAATAGCTCTTGTTGAAATATTTTCTGAAGAACTACGTGATATGACTTTTCAACTTCACTAAAAGCTTTGGCATAAAAAACAATTTTAAGATGAATAATTCAAAATACTTTTTTTCAGTTTTACTGAGCTTTTCTGTATTCTTGTAGCACTAATTGGCTTTTTTTCTCCTTTTATCATGCAGGGGGCCATCAGAAACCTTGAAAATGTCTTCTGTCAAGCGCCTTGTATATGCTGTCATCCATTTCTTGCGAGAACAGAGTCAGATGGATACCTTCACTTCGGATGAACAAGAAAGCTTGGAAGGTTTGTAGTGACTGAGAAATGTCATATCTGATAGAAGTTGATGATAAATGTGTGAAAAGTAAGGGAGAGAGAACACTAATGTGGTGTTTGTTCTCTTCCATGACACTGATTTCTGGACTGTTCTGGGGAACACTGGAGTTTCTTGGACACTTAGCAGAGACTCCTCATTACAGGATTAGTACAGCAGGACCCCTGTACCTGCTGGCTCAGGCATGGCATGTTCAGTTAACCACAGCTGACCTCGGCCAGAAAGAGAAGCCATAAAGTGCTGTAAAGTGCCAAAAATAAAGTTCTAAGGTGCTTCCTGTAAGTGAAAATTCTTGATTTAATAAGGAAAGGGTAAGAACAAACGAAATTATGAAAAAAGAAATGTATATAGTATATATAATATAGTGTTCACTATTATCTGCAGTTTCCGGCATCCACTGGGAGACTTGGAATCAAACCATATGGATACAGGGGTCCTGCTGTAATAGCTGACGCACTTCCCAGAAAGGCAGCTTATCTAATGCTATTGTTATATTAAAAATAAAAACATTATTGATTTTAATATAGAAATGAGTGAAACAACACATTTGAAGAGATATCAAAGATATTTGGTTGAATGCTGAGAATTGAGTATGCAGATAAGTCTGATATGCTGAAGCATATTGAAAAGTATCTCTCCACAATTCACCATAGATAGCTGTTGATCTTCTTGTATTGTATTTGTCATTCATAACATTTATGAAATGATGCAAGGTCTTCCTCAAATCATCTGTTTCTTCTACGCTTCTGGTGGCTTTGAGCTCTTAGATTTTCTAAGATATGATACTTGATACAAGAATGTAGTGCACATATGTTACTAAGTTCAAATAAGACTTTGATTGTTTTTAACAATATCCTGGTATAGAATAGTTTGGAATTACAGCTCAAGCCACAGAACTTGAAATCAGATCTCTGAACTTCCCCATACCCCATGCAATTGGCATGGAAATAACTAATGTTGGCTGCTCTCTGAGTTCAGGAAAGAAACCTTGGGGAGAGGCTAAAGGAAGCATTTTGAGGTGGTGACAGGATGAAATTGAGCTGGCCTGGATATGAAGCATCCTGAAGCAGTTCCAGCCTCCTTCCTTCCCCATTTGAATCACCATTGCTCCATGACAGAAAACAGACATAAAGTGAAAATGCAGAACATGAGGAGCAGGGAGATGAAGATGCCTTCCACTGTTTCTCCCACTCTGCAAAGGCCCCCAAATTTAGGATCTGATGCTCAGCTCTACAGAATGGTGACCTTAGCATCCAAATTTTGCCATTTTTCATTTTGCCATTTTTCCCAATCTGGAAAGGATTCAGACTGAAATCACAAATCTCATCTCTCAACACTACCATTGTTCCTGTAATGTGTAATCATAGGGAAGCACTGGATATATTTCAAGGTATTCGAGATGCCATGCATAAGGGATGGCATACAAAAGTTTTAAATACATTAATTAATAAATGCTAACTTCACATGATGCAGCAATGAGGTACAGCAGGGTGGGTCCATAAACTTTGGATTGACATAATAGTATTTGCTACTTGTGACTGATAAGTCTCAGTTTCCTTGCTTCGTACGCCATAAAGGTAAAGTGATTTTCATATTGTTAGGGGAAGGGACAGGCTAAATTTGCCTGTGATTAGGAATTTCCTACATGCATGCATTGAAATGAAATGGTGAAACCATGCTGCCGCCATCACCTTTCTTGATTCTCTCGTTCACTCTGTGTGTGTGTATATAAATACATATATAAATATATAAAACATTGTTTTCTTCTGCCTTATGTGAAGCAGATTGTTGTGATTTGTTTGAAGGAGTTTCCTAGACTTGTGAATTCGGCAGGGTAGGCATATATAATTTTGGTCACTACTGTAGTTAGGAAATGTATGCTAATTTTAAAATGTTCCAAAGAAATTACTTAGGAATATACCCATCTCAGTGTTGAGTGAAATAATTAGGAAACTCTGAGAGACCTAGATTTGCTTACATACTCATGTTTCTCACTAAGGTATATCCTGTAAATAATTTCCAAAAAATATAGTTGTTGCCATTTATTTGTTAGAAAGGTAAGATGCAAAAGCATTTAGGCTGACAAATAAGCAAAGGTAAAGGACTAAAGGGTATGGAATGGGCTTCCACGAGAGGTCGTTGAGGCCCCATTGGTGAGGGTGTTCAAAGATAGGCTGGACATGCACATGGTGGGCATGTCGTGAGCAGAGCCGGCTGGAGCCGGGGGTCAGACTAGATGGCCCAGGAGACCCCTTCTGACTCGCTCTGTTTCTATGTTTCTATGTGATACTGGTAAATCATTTTCCAGCAGGAATGAAAGCAGGTCTGTTTGATGGGATCCAAAAATTCTTCCTTCCCATTTTGCAAAGGGACCAAAGCACCTCACTGCTACTGAAGAATTTTACCCGGTAGAGAGAATTAAGGATTCCTGAACAGGTAGCTTGTCTCAAAAGATTGTGCTGAATAGCTTATACAGAACTGACAGACCCTTACCATTCTCATTTACATTTATTGGCTTAGCATATAAAGCACCAGTGCAATAACTGATCCCTTTTCACTTTATAAAAATGGGTTTTCTATAATAGTATGTTAAAAATCAATGTGAATTGAAGCTACAATCATAAGATTGCAATCATAAGAACACTTACTGGGGAATGAATCCCATTAAAAATATTGGACCTTAGGTCTACATAAATCTACAGGATTTCTCTGCACTTCACATACATTTCTTATGCAGTGGTTTCTGGCAGAGAGGCTCTTCTCCTATGGAAGAGCCTCTCTGTTTACAAGGGCTTTCTGATTTATTTAATTAGAATTAAATTATTCTGATTAGCGGTGGAAGGTCAACTGAGCAGTGGAATGATATGTGGAGAGGAGCTCAGATTGGACTTAGGTTCAGGGCAGTGAACTGCTGGACCTGTAGTGGCATCATCAGGTGAGAGAGATTCAAATGACCTGCTGAAGGATTAGAAAATGTGTGGTTCATTAGGCAGACAGAAGTTGGTTCCATGTGAGCAGGCTAAGATTAGTTTGCAGGGTTAGGGAGCAGATAAAGCTCAAGTAGAAATGTGAAGCCGGACAGCTGTAAAAAGAGCTGTTGAGATCTAGAAGGATACAGATGCTGTGATTTGCTATACAGGCCTACAAGGTAGACAGGGAGTTTACTTAGGAAGAGAGATGATGTTGAAACTAATTAAGCAAAGGCAATGCAGCAAGGCAAGGGACTAATCACTCTATGGGCAATGTCACCAAGATAAGAATTGGTGAAAATACGTGAGAATTAAAGTCCTCCTTTAATAGACCTTTTTGCTAATATATGACAATTTACTTTACTTGGGATAGTACTAAATTTGGAAAACAGTAGTAATTTCTAGTGTGCAAAATGCATATATGGATGCAACAAAACCATTGGGATAAGCAAGTAGTAAAGATGAATAAAGTCAGATAATGTTATTTTCTTTCTACAGCTACAAACATGCAGTCATTAAGCAATAGAAGAGGGTAAAATCATTTCAATACCAGGAATAACCAAATAAAACAAACATACAGGTAACAAATTCAGTCACTTTAATTTTTTTAATGACAGTTTTGGATCCATTTCTTCCAGATACTAATTATCTGGTTTTTGTTCTGAAGAATTATCTTGCTACCAGGTTACAACCATGTCATGAAGAATTTCTGTGGTTCATACATGTTGGTAGATGAATACCTATTTGCTATTTAAAAATATTTACTTTTCCACAGTGGCAATTCAGTGTTTGGAGACAGTCTTTAAAATTAACCTGGAGGATTCCCATCTTGCAGTACCTGTGTGCTTGACAGAAATGTTTGCAGAGTCTTGTCATAAGGTAAAATGGAATTAGAACATATCTATATGCAGATTAATAATTTTAACAGGACACAATTGCTTATTATATTAAAGCCATTCTTGTTCTAATGTGAAGAAGGACTAGCTTTCTTACAGTGGGTTGCAGTTTTAGTTTAGAAGGGTCCAATAAGAGTACAATCCTTCTGGGAGTTGCAAGACTTTTTTCATCTAAGCATGCATAGAATTGCACCCCAAATTATAAATTAGCGTACTATTTGTAGTGGTCTAGTTTGAACAATTGCAGTTGGTTTAACATCCTGGCTTCTTTGGAAACTGATAATTATAACTTCTTGATTTAGATAAAATGAAGATTCTGGTTAATTGGAGACTTCTTCATTGAATTCTTTCTTCCCACTAGAAAGAAAGAGACTACAGGCTCAAGGCTCATTCATATCCTGACTTAGATATGTGGTTCTTATGTAACAAAGGCAAACTGTGTTTTAATTAACCCTTAATTTGCTGTGTCACATGCCACATGCAAGTCACTTCCAATTTAAATATGAAACCTATGATTGGTCCAATATGCATCCTGGGATACTATGAGTTTATTATGGGCTAAACAACTGAAATGTAACCTAGGATTAACTATAAGGTTCATCTTGGATTGTTTAATTTACAAACAGCCCAAAATGTCATGCTGCAACCTATAATTGGGCTGATTAGAGGTTGTACATTTAAATGAGAAGCAGCTTATACATGACCCACAACCTGGCAAATCATAGGCTAATTAACCCATGCTCTGCTACCATTATGTGTGAGCTGGCCCTTTAAGTGTCTCAAAATCAACTTAGCTGAGATTTCGGTAATATGTAAATTTATTCTTCATTTATCAATTTAAAATTAATAAATTAATATTTTCAGCTATCCTGATGTATGTATTTATAAACTCCCTGTACCATTTTTTTTATCTTAGAAAGGCCTACTTCATTTTGGTGTTGATAAATTTTGGATACACCTGTGCAGACATCATCATCACTTGTTTTGGGAAAAAGGCAATCAGGATTCATTCTTTTCATACAAATAGGCAATCATTGCTTTCTAAGCTGGCTGAATGAGACCATGTTCAGCATAGATTGCTGTACCTGACCTAACTGCAAGATGCTTTATTTTAAGACTGAATGTAGTCGTAATTTAAGACTGGAATAACCAACTTGGAAACGCCAGGTTACCACATTGATTTGACTAGGGCCCCGTTTCTGAGATCCACTGATAAAGAATGTGTATCAGTACTTTATAGCCATTGATTTATCCTACATTCATTTATCTACTGAGGCCCACTGAGGTTCTTTTAAGAATGGTGATAGAAATGGTTAGATCTAGTTAAAACAATCCAAACAGATTTTTTTTTCCTTTAAAATTAATATAGAGTGAGATTCTGCCTCTCTCGGATTCTTTGCCAGAGGATCTTGAGAAAGCTGACCAGCTGAAGGATGAAGGTATGTAACTGAGAAAAACACACACACCATTCCATTCTGCCCTAGTTCTCATAGTTCAATTATTGGCCATACATAGTGAACATACATGAATGATGTTCAACTGCTCAGGCATTTACCCAACTCTGTTTAGTAGAGGATAGTCGGATGGCATGTTCATTGCTTCATGTTAGTAGATGATTATCTGCTGCTGACTGTGGAGAAGATGAAAAGGCACACCAACACTAAATGCCTAATATATTCCTATGCGTGCTTCCTTGGAAGTAGGGCTGCAGAGTTTAATCAGTTAAATCCATCAACTGAAACTTGTTAATTATTAAAATGTGCCCACATTTGGGCAGCAATTAAAAACATATTCACTCACAAACTTTGGATAGGTAGCATTGTCTTAAAGCATACTCTTAAAGGCTTGAGGAGTAAACTAAATTTGCATAAATCTGCATAAGTGCAGCAACAGTATTTCTGAAGCAACTGCAAGATTTCTGAGTCAAGTATATCTCTTGCTGCAGAAATATTGCCCTTGCCCTTAGGAAGTTTTATGCCAGTTTTTAACTGATTAATTGCTGGAGGGAGTGATCCTATGGCTTCTAGACAAAGTGCAGCATGACTGTGATGTTTGGACCAGTTTCATGCCTGCTTTTGACCAGCTGTGAGCACAGTTAGCTGGATCATCTTCACCAAATTTAGTAATTTTTCCATCATAATGTTTTTACCTTCTTTTGTGTTACAATATTTATTATATTTCTATACCATCTAGTAGCTGAGACTCTATGGATGATTCACAACCATTAAAACAATAAAATACAATATAAAATGTACTATAAAACTTTAAAACCACAGGATAAAATACATGTAAAAGCTCAAATAAATGAAGCAGCAATATAAAACTTTAAAATACAGTAAAGGATTTAAAACAAAGTGGAAGACTAAAATTCATAGGAAAATAATAAGATCTTCACCTGGCACTGGAAAGAGCTAGGTAAGTGGTCAGTGCCAGGTAAGCCTCTCTTGAAAGCCCATTCCACAACCAGGGCGTCACGGCAGGAAATGCCCCCCACACTTCCTTTGGCATGGGAGATGATCCTTCTGTTGACCTGGCCTTGAATCATTGGGAACTTTGAATATTTTGAATCAGGGCTGGACATGGACCTGCAGCCAGTGCAGATGGTTAAGCAGCTGCCTAGTGTGATCAGATTGGCAAACCCCAGTTAACAATTTAAAAGCCCTATTTTTTACCAGCTGAAGTTTGTAGACCATTTTCAAAGATAGACCCATGTATGTGCTTTGCAGTGATCCAGCCAAGAGAATGCATAACTGTAAGGATATCCCAGTGCAGATAAAGAAGTAGTTGTCCCATCAGGCTAAGCTGAGAAAAGGCGCTCTGTACCACCAACTCCCCCTATGTCTCTAGTGGCAATACTGGACCCAGAAGCACCGCTGAACAATGAACCGGTTCCTTTAGGAAGAGTGCAGCCCCATTCAGTATGGGCTGAGTAGCATTCATGCAGATAGGTGATTTGTGCTTAAGGCCTAGATCCAGTGTGATGTCCATGCAAGAGAATTTGCTTCTTTCTCATAACACAGTTCAGTAGCATATGAGCCATACTTACTGTTAATGCTGTTATTATAGCTATTATGTGTACATAAGTGAATATGTCTACGGAATCTCTTTATACTTGTTATCACATCCCTTCATGTTATAGCTCTGTGAAGGAGATCATGGAAAGTGATTCCCATTTTACATATTTGGACTGCTATAGCTCTAGTTAATAGTTGGACATTACTATGGCTTAAGTGATGCATTCAAGTCCACCTGTCATTTGACATGACCTCTTTCAGATGAAGTTATGATACTCTAGCTACTGAGCTGTATTGACTTACTAATTCTACCCAAACTGCTCCATGCATAGTTCTAAAATGACAAAGCAGATCTTTCATTTCTATAAGCAAAAGTTAGGTCATTTTTGGTGAAACAAGATTGCATAGGGAATGCATGCATAGGGCCAGTTTGCATGTGTAGCAGTATTAACAGTAATGCTTTTGAAAAGATAAGGTTAATAGGATAATAAAAACTGCTTTATAGGGAACAGCTTGGAGCACACTGTGGCAGTTGACGTACATCATGCCATCTTTTAAATTATCTACAAACATTTTATTGTCACCATTTATTTTAGGTAACAATCACATGAAGGAGGAAAATTACGATGCTGCTGTTGATTGTTACACTCAGGCTATAGAACTAGATCCAAATAATGCAGTCTATTATTGCAACAGGTAAATAAATGTTAAATATCTTGGGAGATTATATTTGAATTTACTCTGTCTTGCTCTCAGCACATGATATAGTTCTTCAAAACACCACTCTTGCCCTTTGTTTGGTCATTCCTCTTCTAGAATCCTCTTCCTCCTCTTTGCATTCCTTCCTTAACTATTTTCAGTCAAATCCAAACCTACTTGCTTGGAAGTTAAGAGCCATTGAGATTCATTTTTAGGATTGGGCTGCAAATAAGCTAAATCTCGGGACTTAAAATGAACCTGATCAGATTAATGACTGGGTGGAAACATCTCTTGTGGGTATCTATATTTTTCTAGTTGTGCTCTTTTTTCACACTTCAGAGCTGCTGCTCAAAGTAAGCTGAATAACCACAGCGAAGCAATAAAAGACTGTGAAAGAGCAATAGCAATTGATCCCAAATACAGCAAAGCATATGGAAGAATGGGGTAAGCAAGCTAATAATTTATTTGTCAGATTAAAGCACGTTGCCCTAATACCATTAGACATCAGATATCAGACTGTTGCCACCACTTAGAACAGATGAGGACCCTTTTGCATGGGTTGAGAGCCACAATCCATTGAGGCTAAGCTGTTGGGCACATGCCAATGGTAGGTGGGAGAGCAGACAATGAAGGACAGGGTAACCTCCTTTCTTCTTCTCTCTGCCATCCCTTTTTCTTTCTTCTTCTCTGCCCAGTGCTCAACCCATAGTATGTTGGGGAGAGGCCAGTTGATTGTGCCAGGAGTCTCAATGTTTACCTTGTAGAGGGCTTTTGAAAATAGTTCTGAGGATGAATGAAATTATGCCAAGGGGTATACTAGCAAAAATGACTGAGTAGAAATAGCAAATATTTCCTTTTGTTATTTGTTATAACAAAAATGTTTTGTTATAACAAAAATGAATTGTTATTTTTATGATTTACATAATATCTAGTAATACCCAATACATAATAACACCAAATACTGCTTGTGATGATCAGTTTTTAACATCAAAGATAATCACAAATTAAAAGACACCTTCAACATTTAAATACAATTATATTTTATACTATAGATTATGTTAAACATGAGGCAGGGTTTTAATGATTCCTGATTTTTTTAGACTAAGAAATTGTTTGTTTGTTAATTCATTCACATATTTATAGGCCACCTATAACTGCCAAAAGGCCTTCCTAGGCCACTTACAACATATTAAATGAAATTTACTACTTCGTGATCTTCTACTTATCCCTCTTCTATCTCTTATTATATTTGGGCAGTGCTTTTTTTGTAAAAAAAAAAAAAAAGGTGCCGGTACTCACATCCCCACCTGCAATAAGCACACACACCAATCTCTCACTATCAGATAGCAGATAGCAGACACAATAGCAGCCTGCAGGCACTATGTTAATGATGTTTGCTGCTGATCTGCTACTCTGTTCAAAATCACTTCATAAAATCCATTGAAAAAAAGGTGCGGGAAAGCCGTTCCAGTGCTTTCTATGACAAAAAAAAAGCCCTGTATTTGGGGACAGTCTTGTGGCCCAAACATTGGTGGGGCATAGGATAGCTCAGGTGCCCAGCTCAGAGGTCAAAAACAGTGTTCCAACTGCCTGCCCTCTCTCCTGCCTCAAAACATTGTCACCAGATGGTTGAAAATGGTCATCTAGCAAAAAGACAGAACTTGTAGAGCAGGCAGGGGCGGGGTGGGGGGGGTAAAAATTGCCTCCATCGCTTCTCTCCCTTGGCACTGGATGAGCATGAGCCTCATTAAACTGATTTCATCCAACAATGAGGGCAAGTCAAGAAGATATTTGGAACATTTACTTGTTCCAGCCACTCCCCCAAAACTTAATTGCAGCCTGCTTGTAGCTGTTACTTAGACTGTCTAGTTGTACATATCATCTAAATGTAAGCATATGACAATTTTCCTTGATGTCCATGCAATGTGTGCTTACTCCCATATTTTTGACCAATTTTTTCCCCCAACTACTTTTTCTATTTGACCTGATATGAATTTGTCCTTGTATCTTGTTTAGCCAATAATCCATAGATCTGACTTAATGGTTACCTAGATAAATTACCTGTAATTTTCATTTCAAACTCAGATCAGTCCCTCAACGAACCATATTTAGCTATTAAGTATGCCATTATGCTTTATATTTAAGTACTGCAAAATTGAATATGGTTTTGCCCTTTTGGTTCAATAATTACCTCGTAACCTTTGACTAGCAATCATTTTTAATCAATATGTAAGGTTAAGATTCCATATAAATCTGCCAGTTTTACCATCCCTATTTTCATATAATTATGCAATTATGTTTTATCTTACATATTAGCTATAGAATTCTAATTGCAACCATGAAGTATCTGTATACATACTGAATAAAAATAAATTGTTAGGGATCATGTTGGACTCGCACAAACAGATATACAAAATTGGACTGCCAAGCATTTGAAAGAGGTGGTGCTTGTTTGGGTTTTCTGAATGCTTCAACAATCAAACTGGTATTCAGATAATAAAAGGATGCATAGACTCTGATATGACTTCAAACTATATGTGCAAAACCCAAAGCCTATTAATTTGCTTTGCTTTGCCTTCTATATTTATGAAGTTTGCTCTGTCCCACAGTATTTTATATTTGAGAATCAATTCATATTGTTTAGGTTTGACTTTCAATTTGTTTTCCTTTTCTAACTTAGGAACTACCAAGAACCATCCACCTCTGGCCAAGAAAGTTTTTGTTTGCAGAGCCCTCTGTGACTGAAACATATAGCTTTCATTCTCATTTTTATTACTTAGGAGATCAGTAGAAAATCGCTTTTACATAACAGGACATTCAACATGACCTAAAATGAGGCTCTGCTTAGTATTACCTGACAAATTTCAGACAGAGTATTACTTGCCCAAATGCAGAGATAATATTTGATCATTTATTTATTGTGATTTCAGAATTTTAGAGAACTAAAATCAACAAGCTTTCTACAAGCTATCAACAGAAGCCTAGTTACAGGCAGTTCCCAGGTTATGAGAGGGAGTTCTGTTCCTGAGAAAACAGAAATTCATCTTTAAGTCAAATTTGTATGTATCTAAGTTAGATCATGGCCCTTCACATTCATGGATGTCAAGAGTGCAGGACCCCCATGAAAGTGGAAAAACTGAATATCTCTAGCCCCCATCCACTTAAACTCACCATGCGCCCTCTTAGCAGCAAGGAAATGCTGGAGAGAGTAACTCCCTCTGGATGGGTCGGGTAGGAAGGCATGCTTTGGAGGCCTCTCTTTCTCCTCTTTTGCTTCCTATCTCTATGGTGATACTTTGGAGGACCCCCCCCCCCCGGTGATGATTTCCTGCAGTAATTTTTAAAAATTAATAGGCTTATGGCAGTTGTTTGTACTGGAGGTGTTCGTCACTTGGGAACTCCTTGTATTTACCAAATCTCAAGGTCCAGGTCTGGCCTTCCCATGAGACAGGAAGAATTCATCACGTCCGAGTAATTGTGCCTACTGGGAAGCCCTGTGCAAATTTTAAGTCCCTTTAATTCTAGAGCCTACCATCTTTTGCTTACAAAAGTTCTAGAAGTTCTGCAAAAAAAGAGGAGCACTAAGCACCGCATTCCATATGCATGGACAGAGGTTCTTGAATGATTACCATTTACTAAGACAAAACTTGCTATGCAACAACCTAGCAAGCCAGTTACTGATAGTATTCTGCAAGCTGTACTAAAATGAGGCATCAATGGACTGCTTCCAAAATTTTTGCAGAAGTCTCCTCACATTTGATGGGAAGCTGCATATAGCCAGTTTAGCGCATGGTTGTAGCGAACCAGTCTAATAATCAGCCAGTATGGATTATGCTTTATTAGGGAAGGGTTGTGACTCACTGGTAAACCACAGGCTTTGTGTGCAAAACATCCCAGCACAATTGTTTCATATCTGTTGTGTAAATATAGCCAAAGCAGAACAAATAACCAGATACTTGGTTGTGGTCATTATGATAATATTGCAATTAATAGTTGAAAGTAATTGCTGGGGAAAATGGGATAGGAATTGTTTATAAAGTTATTTGCTGATTTTATGAAAGCTTAGTAAAGCTTTTTCATGTGAGTAGTTTTTTTTATTTCACGTATCTTAATTCTTGTTTTATTGTTTGTTTAATTTGTATACCAATTTGTAGAAAGGTTTATGGACTGAATATTCACTGTTTTGGATTTGGAATTGTTAGCATTTCTAATTTGGGCAGGAAATCTGGTGTCAGACAGTTCTTAGTTTTGAGGGGGCTTCCTTTCTCCCTGTGTCTGCCTTCAGTTAATAGTATCACTCAGCATGAGAGAGTATCTTGTAGCACCTCAAAGCTTAAACCAAAATATTATAGAATTCACTTTCATGGATTAGAAGTTAGGCAGCACTGAAACAGTTAAATGAATGAGACGTACTTTTGGATTGTGCTCACATTGGCTTCCTTTGATCATGTTAGGTTGGCTCTGACTTCAATGAATAAATACCAAGAAGCAATTAACAGTTACCGAAAAGCACTGGATCTTGATCCAGAAAATGACTCTTATAAGTCAAATCTGAAAATTGCTGAGCAAAAATTAAGAGACATGTCCAGTCCCGTAAGTTAGCATTCAGTACTTTTTCATGTTGCTCAAATGTTTTAATGACTCAATGCTAGTTTATATGCTTAAGGAACATGTTTTATTTTCAGACTGGAACTGGATTGAGTTTTGATATGGCAAGCTTGATAAACAACCCAGCCTTTATTAGCATGGTAAATACATTTATTTTTGTTACTTCTGTTTCATGTCCCATGTTTAAATTTTCCTAAAAGATCATCTTGCCTTCTTTTAATTAAAAAGGCATAAAGCAGCCCCATTGACATGGCATTCTTTTTGTTTGGTATTGACAGGAGCCCCACTGCTGTGGAAACTTTTATTTTGTTATCATAAATGCTTTGGAACACATTTCAAATGCAATATACACTGTCCAGAGAGCCCTAATTTGTGCTATTGGTCATGGTCTATAAATTTAAAAAATAAGTTTCTGAAGAAAATAGGTTTGTAAAATTTCTTTCAGAACTGACCTAGATTGTACAGCCTGATGAAATAAAGTTTCCCATTAAATTCTCAATCCTGAAACACCATAGTCCATCAGATGTTGCTTTTCTCCCAAAATGTGAGGGTAGTTTGACCTTTATTCACCATGTTGTGGAACATTTCAAGCTGGCCCAGCTAAACATTGGCTTCGTTATAACTTAAAGTCTTTTTTTCTGTTTTAGGCAGCAAGTTTAATGCAGAATCCTCAAGTTCAACAACTGTAAGTATTTACATGGAATATCTGCTGAAAGATGAAAAAGCCTTGGGCATACGAGAGAGGATTAGGATGTTCTGGGGAACTCTGAATTACAGGTTTTCTCCTCATGGGCATACATTTTCCTTATTTTCAGAGGATACGCGCTAAAGCTGAAATGTCATTCAATACTTTCCGTACTAGTGATAAACAGCAGGGCAAAAATCACCCAGGGCAAAAATCTGTTGAATGATTTAATGCTGAGGATGGGTGGATGATAGACCCCATAGCATCTCTGTAAAGTCATACCATGAGATCTCAGGGATAACATAATGCATAAACAGAACTTGGCTAGTTTAAAGGAGAAGTAGCAGGTTAATATAGAAAACAATTTTATTATTTTATGAAAGAATTCTTCAGGATTTCTCAGGATTCCCATTGCACTGACTCCAGATTCATGCCTTCTAAATTCCCAGTTTAATTGGAGTTGGCCATGAGGAAATGAACAGTAGTTTGTGATAACTGACATCCCTCCCTTTGTAATCAGAGTTATGGTGACCTTTACACTTGTAGTTAATTGCTTTTTGGTGTAAATTAGGACAATTAACAGTAGAATACTGAATAACTGTTTCCAAAATGCCTGTATGTCACTATCCCAATGCCTTATTTTTCATAGGATGTCGGGAATGATGACAAATGCCATAGGAGGTCCTGCTGCAGGTGTTGGTGGCCTCACTGATCTGTCCAGCCTTATACATGCGTAAGTAACTAACATACTGATGGACATTTATGAAACTTGAACATTTTATAATGTTCCAAGAGCATCCATAGCAAGGATTTTAGCTTTTTGCCAGAGTGACCCAAGAATGAGGGAAATAATGTTTGACAGGGATGAACAATTACCATTGTCCTTTAATTTTCCTGTTTTTTCCACAAAAAATTGCTCCCAAAGTGGTGTGTAGAATAACAATAAATAGCAACATAGAAGCAAAAATAACAGCTTAATAGCAATTAGTTTTAATAAGCATTTCAAAAATACTTCATTACAGCAGTGTGTTAAACATTTCTGTGGCCTGTGAGCTAGAAGCTCTGAGTAGCTGCAGAATGAGTGTGTCATGCAAAAAGACCTCAAAAATGGCAGCTGTAATGTAAAATACATATTAAAATGAAACTGTGCCAGCCCATTCCCAGTATGAGAGCAGCACAAGATGGCCCTTCACCTACCCAATAGTCCATGCCCACAAAGGCAGTCAAGGACCCTCATTCTCCCACAAAGTATTCCTTTTAGTGGTTTCTTTCTCCTTTCAACCTAGCAGCTCCCTCAGCCTTATACTAACCCTAAAGGGATGGAGAGCCATTCCTTCAGCGGCAACCTGCTGGCAGTAACCTTGTCTTGGTAAAAAGAGAGTTTCCCCTTCTAAAGGTGGCTGCTGGGTGGTACCGCTTCCTCCCTGCCCCCCACACAAGGGCTCTTCCCCAAGCCAGATAACTGGTCAACTGGCTCCATAGTAGCACTTCCAATGCTGATAAAAAGAGGAACATATGAGGGTGTGTATGAGGAACTGCTGAAAATCTGAGTTGTGTTCAGTGTTAGTCTTAACTCTGAGTAGGATTATCATTGAATGCATCTGTGTCAGTGTCCAGGGCATGAGCTGCTGACTGACAGACATAGACATAGCAGGACCCAGGTAACTAGGTCCGAACAGCAGTCCTAACCAAATTCCAATCAACAGTCCCAAATCAGTACCAGGAGTAGACAGAAGAGCAAGGTAAGTCCACTCCAATGGGCAAAAGCATAGTCTAGCAGGCCTGGGATCAGAAACTGGTAAGGCATCACAAACAGGAACAGCTATCTTAGAGCTGGAACAAGGGAACAGAGCAAGATCCAAGACCCAGGCAGCAAAGAACACCATAGCAAGTTAGACAACCTTCATTGCTGAGGCAGTTCTCATATAGCTCTTTCCCCCCAGGGCTCCCAGGTGCTGCTTATGAGGGTCCTGGCAGCTGCAGGAGATTTTAGGACAGATCCTGCAATTACCAGGGCTGCTATTCCAGCACTCAGCCAGCAGATGGAGCCCTGAAGCTGCCTCAGATTCTGACAATCTGGAGAAAACCAAGTGTGGGGGAAGGCTAACAGAGTTTGGTATGGCATAGAGCTAGATTATTTGATTAGTCAACCCAACAACTGACTGATTTTAACCCTGAAGCTTGCATGCTGAGGATATTCCGGAAGTGGCGGGAGTCACTAGCCCACGGTTGCATGGACCAGTAGCATGAGATTCCTTTGACCTAGGTGTATGAAGCCCTTCCTGTTATCCTCTGCATGAGCATTAGGGCACGGTGCCTTCTTTGAGCCCTGCCTTATTTACAAAGTGAAGGATGCTTTTTTAAACGCTTTCTTATTCAGGGCAAATGGGGTGTCTGCTTAGTATTGGGACGTCTTTCAGCTTCAGAGTTAATCTCAGCTTTGCTTTCCTTTGGCCTGGCTGCTGCACAATAGTGTCTTCTCTCACTTACTGATTCTTGTAAAATGTTCCATACAGAGGACAGCAGTTTGCACAGCAGATACAGCAGCAAAACCCTGAGCTCATAGAGCAACTGCGAAACCACGTCCGAAGCAGATCTTTCAGTGGCAGCACTGAAGAACATTCCTGATAAAAGATGCATGTGCAAGAACACTGTTCTATGAATTCCAAAAGGCATACTGTAGCTAGTAGCAAATATCACCATTGTAATTCTTCTCAAACCTGAGATGAGAGGTCCTTTGTGTGTATTCCTTATTGTCTGTTGAAAACAGATTCATTGCACACAGATTTGAACATATCATGTATGTATTTTGATGCCTTTGTAAATGGACTATAAATAGAACTGTTGACTTATTAAAATCTCTGTGTATGAGAAAGCATTTCCATGTCAATGAGCAACAGTATGTGACACTTCATTCTCTTTTGAGAGAATGGATTTTTTGCACCAAGACTGTGCATTGAAAAAAGATCACCCAGTATATTGACAGAAGAGTGGAGGAATAGTGCTTGTGCATAGAGTACATTCTATGAGGCAGTTTCTCTCAAACTGGAAGGTATCCTCCTGCCACCCATATAAGGCTGTGGGAAGTGCAAGCAATTTTGCATGTCTTTCTGGGAATAAGTCTATACAGTAAAGGTTCTGATTTTCCCAAAGAGTAGAGCATTGCTTTACTGGAACTGCTGAAAAGAAGTAGAGTAATGGGTCTGACTGGTGAAGTTGCTACACACTGACATGATGTGGCAGAAGAAAGAGAAGAGGGTGAGCAGGCACTAGAGGGAGAAATGCATGTGTCTGTCTATAGCACCTGGACCAGGAGCCTAAAGATATGCTGGGTTTATGGGTATGTGAGCTTCTCAAATATAGCCAAGGAAATCCGTAGGTTGATAAGCATGAGCTACCTACTAATGTATAAAAGAGACCACTAGTTTAACTTTTAGGGCACATTATATAAAGGATCCTGGGTCAGTGGTAAAGGGGAGATGCTCAGCCTCTTTTCTTACAGTCATTCATTAAACAGGGTTAACACAGCAATAGTTTTGTGCTGAGATGAATGTATTGAGATGGAGGAGGGATAGTATGAAAGCCATATTTAAGATTTGTGATGGAGCAAAGGAGTCTTGGATCAGTTTGGCATGGATGGTTCAACAGAAGGATGAATTTAGAAGGGCTAACCAGAGGCACACGAAGGAATGTTAAGAGAAGGCTGTGCAGAAAGCAGGAGATTGGGATGAGAGATCTCCCAGCAATATGCAGAATGAATCTCCCTTGCATTCACAAAACCTGACCTTTTACACTGGGAATAGCTCTAAAAAACTTTATTATAGAATGATGTTTTATATTGCCATAGAAGTTTTCTGTCCATACTATCAATTCTACCTGTCCTCATTTGCCTGCTTTCATAATCCTTGAAATAATCAAACTGTTTTAAGAAAATCTGAGACAGCAGAGATTTGGTATATGTTTATGGTTGTACTGAAATTTTTCGTTTCTAATATCTTGGGTAATGTAATGTCAGTATCGTATTCTCCTTTGCGTACACTGCTTTTGTTCTCAGTTCTTCCTCCTTGCTGTTGTCCTTTATGCTTCTGTACTTTCCTTGCAGTACACATCTCCTTCCACAGTGTTTCTTTTACAATTGCAGTAGAACATGCTTACCCATTTCTGCAACAATGGTTTAAAATCACTCAGAAGGCAGGCTTTCAAGTGAAAGCAAGGAACACTCCAGAACGTAGTTTATGGAGGAAATTCTGTAATGTTGAGGTGTGGGAGTAGGCTAACAGCCTGCTGCACTGCTGTTACATTTCTCATCAGCTGCTTGGTATAAAAAGCAACAATTTGGAAGACCTTTATTCTGCATATATGTGATCCCAACTGACCCATCCTTTTAAAAGAATTCTCTTTATGTTGCTACGTCCTTTGGGTATCTGGTTAATTGGCATTGATGCCCATTTCCCCAGTGTATTAAATATATCATTCAGACTTAGGCGTTGCTGAACTAATGTAATGAGAATACCGATGTTCAGTATATGACGTTTGCTGTCAAGAGCTAAAGATGCAAACTATTCACATCATTAATTTGAGCTACATAATTAACATTTAACTCTATTAGTAATGGTAGCAGTTTTGCATTATTGCCCTGAAGCCTTTGGGTAGAAATAATCATGTTGATTTTACCAATGCCACTGGCATCCTCCAGTTAAGAAGTGGGAGCCAAGATGCCATGTCTTTCCTGACTGCTACTCCATAATTGGTTTGCTGAGTACCAGTTCAGATGTCCTATTAATCAGCTAGTTAAGATATGGCTAAAGTTCATAATAGCGGGCAGTGTTATGTTGTGACAAAGCACTAGCACTTCCACACTGCTGGGTCAGGTAGAGTGTGTTCTAAATGTACATTTAGAAAGCAACACTTTAGATAGCAACTGTTCACACTCCACTCTAATTCATTCTCTTGATTTCCCATAGTTGATTAATGAATAGGTCTTGTGTTGTCTGGAATATGTTTAATAAAAGGAAATTTGAAAAATTCAACTTTTACCATTGTTTTCCATCACTGGCTTGTAATATTGCCTCCTCTTCTTTATTTCATGAAAAAAGGCTCAGATTTAGTGAGTTGTAGTAAACCAGAGTTATCTGGAGATGTTACTGCCTGCTAGTGAAATGTTGGCGCTGAAACTGCTTATCTCTATAATGAGAACAAGCCTTCCCTAATGAAATGTCAAGCAAGAAACTGCCTTGCAATTTATTTCTAATCCTGCAGGACACTTTTTAAGTTATCCTCAAATAATATACTTGAAAAGGGGTAGGTCTAAAATTCTATATTTTGCTTGCATCATTGTAAAAGCAATGATTGTCATGAGTACTGCATGTTTAAAAACCACTGGGATGTGGTAAATATGCCATATGATCACTCTCACTGCAATTGGAGGATTCTCAGGTTGTTTGTCATGACAAACTGGCTTGTCTCCCCATCAACAGGTGAGAGAAATGACAATAAGCAATGGTTTATTTCTCTCGGTTTGTCAGTGGAAGGACAAGCCAAAGTTCCTAATCTGAACATCAGAATAAAGAGTGTCCTTGCAAAGTTTAGTTGCAATATGCAGCAACACATTCACTTGTTCACAACAACCAGGGGCTTTAAAAAAAACCCTGGGTTGTTGTGATATTCAAAATAAGTCATAATGTTTAAAAAGGGATATGTCAACATCTTCCACACTGTAGTGTCTTGAAGGATGCTGCTGTTCTGAATCTTGGATTGAAGAATCATTCACAGGGAAAGTATCAATGCCTTCATTTTATCTTGATGAAACTGAGTCAGTTTCATGGATGAAATACATAACATTTAATATGCCTAGTAATTATGTTTGAGCAAAGTACTTTGATTCTACATCTGTACTGATCTAGGAAGTCCACATACTAACAATCTGTAAGAACAAGAGTGTCATCAGTGTACTTCACAGATTTTAATGTTTTGGTAAGGGTTCTTCAGTTTGTATAAAATCAAAAACTATTTTACTTTGTACAAGGAATGACAACATGTCAGAGGGCAAAAGATGTCTAAGACTGATATCTAAGTGCTAGCTGATTTTGAACTGCTCAATTTAGTTTATTTCTAAAATTTATAAACATTTATTTGCAAGGGATGCCAAGGCATTGTACCCAACATTAAAAACATAACCCAATACGAAAAAATTGACATATTTTAGCCTCATACAAATGTCTTCAGAGTTTAACAAAATGACCTTGGTTTTCACTGCACCTGTAACATCTCATTTACAAATCCCAAAGTTGGGGGGAAGTATCAGAAGCCACTTTGAACCTGTAGTGTCTGCAGGGCCTGCTGTTTAAACATTGCTGTTCCCAACTCTCAAGTGCCATGCTGGATCAAACCAAAGTCTGCATTATTTAGTCTGCATTCTGTTCGCATAGTGGCCAACTAGCTGGCTGCAGGAAGCCCACAAATAGGACATGAGAAAATAGCATCCTCCCACTCATGTTCTCTACCAACTGTTACATAGAGGCATGCTGCCTTTGATACTGTGGTGATACATAGCTATCATGACTAGCCAAAATATAAAACCATTTAGACATCAAATGCATGATATTTGAGAAACATTCTTTGGAATTTTTTCTACTGTATTTTCAGCAAATCAAGGATAGCACATCTTTTAAAAAAAACCTATGAAAATCTGAATTTTCAGTAGTTTCTCTCACCAATTCTATTAAGCTGCTTGTTTTTCCAGCAAATTTTTATCAGCAGACATTCCTTCAATTAGGCTACCCAGCTTTTGTGCAGACTGAGATAATCCATTCTAGACACAAAAATAAATGTATGGACTTTTGGGATGGATGGGATTAAGCAATCCACCCAAGTGGAGCCAAGGACCTTCCATCAGCTATGACTATTGGGACATACTTCCTTTTATCTGTCCTGAATCTCCCACCAGTCAGCTTCATTGGATGACCCCAAGTTCTAGTATAATGGGAGCAGGAGAAAACTTTTGCCTCCACCTTCTTCACACAATATGCAATTCTGTTTGCCTCTATCCAGTTGAAAAGCAGTGGCAAATTTAGTTTACCTAATTTCTAACTTACTAAGAGAAGGCCAATTCTCAAATGTTTGCAAATTTTGTCACCTAGTGTAAGGTAGACCACTTCCATTCAGTGCTTATTCATCTACTATAAATCAGTTGCTTTTCTACCCAAGGTTACTGAAATTGCAATAATAGTTAACACAAAAAATCAGAACCCTAAAAACTGACAAGATTGCACACAACAAACTGGAAAACCACAGGGTGCAAAAGCAGCAAAAAAATCTTCAATCAATACTTAGGTAGAAAATGTTTTGCCCTTTGTTGCTGTTAAGCATTAATGCCTTTGGATATTGAAATATTTTCATTTACTGGCAAACACTGGTTAGGAAATAGCCAGGCATATCTCCTCTGACAGGGAGTGCCACAAGATGGTGCTACAATATAGCATCACCAAAGTCACCTAGTAAAATAAGGAATGTGCAACAGGAATTCTCTATTATATTTCATGTTAATGTGTATATCCACCCAGAAAGTACAGTACAAAGCAAGCAAAAGAATACAGGAAAAAAGTGTTTCTTCACTCAATATGCAAAGTCTGGAACTTTCGACTGGTCTGTGATCATGGCCACTAAGTAGCTTAAATGGCTTTACATCAACATGAAGCAAATTCATCAAGGATCTGCAGATCAAAGTCACTAGTCATAATAAGTAGCTAGTAGCCTCCAGGTGTAGAGATTACAGCAACCGATACTTAGCAGCATGGAGACCAACAGCGGGACTGGCCAACGCTTAACATCCTGCTTTTCAGCTTCCCCGAAGTATCTGCTTGGTGACCATACTCTGTTTCAGAGCTTGTGTTCCGAATGGTGCCACTTGCCTGTTCCTTCTTTAAAACCACTGGCTTCCCACATCTTATTACGCACATAGAATTAAATCCCCAGTGTATTTATCACAAAAGCACCTGTACAATATTGTTCCTAAGTTTACAATATCCAGTCTTAAAATGTATGACCAAGGGGTAGCTGACAGGTTACTGTTGCTTCTCCAGTAACACAAGTTTGTGTTTCTTAACTTGCACAGAGTTACAAGAAATGTAAGCATTCAGAATTGATCCATGTACTGCAAATCACATTACAAAGCCCCTGAACTGAGCTCTATGGAAATGTGATACTATTAAGGCAATTACATAATTTAACTACTTTATTTTGAAAATAGATTAAAATACAGATGGTTTGCTCTTTACAAGTGTTTTTTTTTAAAACAAGATGCCAGAATGACCTCCAGAGGTACAGTTAAATTGGGAAGTATCTCCAGCACTACCCCCTTACAGATGGATACCGTTTGGCTTAGTCATGTTGTTTTCAGATAGTTGGTCCACATATCCCAAACAGGAAATATTAAAACAGAAGAATTATTTCAGTTTTCTTGTATTTTTGAAGAAACCACACAGACTTGCGCAATATCATCATACTCATATGTTCTCTTCAAAAAGGTATCTGTTAATCTCAAGCCAGAGACGCTCTGAAATGGGAAAAGAGGGGTTGATACACATTTTAATCTACTGTGAGACAGACAGGAATCCAAAGTGAAAGAACAGGCATGCTGAGTATGCAGCAGGAGTATGCTTGCGTGTATCTATATGAAGGGAGATCTTACCTGTAGTCCTTGTACAGACGACAGCAGTGTAAGTGTCAAGTGTAGGGATGAGGTCGGGTGCAGCTTGCCCAGCTGCCTTCCTGACACTCCACACCAGTGAATGGAATTAGTATTGCACATTTCCAAAACCAGATCCATGGTCCTTTCACTGCTAGATAGAAAAATGAATGAATGAATATGGATTGCACATTTTTCTAAGGCTTGGTTCATACCCAGCTTTTCTCTCCCTTTCTTTCCTCAAAGAACACTTGAGTTGTGTAAAACATGGACAATCGATTTTATCCTCACCATTCTTGCAGTTAATTAAAAGCATAATGTATTAAAAAAAGGAAAAAATCTCAATGTTCAGAGTTTAAAAAAGAACTCCTAAATCAGTACAGAAATATGCATCAATATGCAGTTCAAAGCTCCCCAGCAGTGTGTGCATATGTTCATCTGATGATGCAGATATACACATCTCTTCTCCTCATATAATAAAAAAAATTGTTTGGATTTCTAACTATCTTCTCACATCATTGCCTCTTAGCAAGTGAAGGACTGGATCGTATGTACTCAGAATTTTCTACAACCCATTGGCTCCAGAGAAACCCTTTGAATCCAGTATGTATTCCCTCTTGCAGCATACATGAGGTAAAATGAAAGTCTGGATGAAGGAAGAGTTTCTTTTTTTGGAACCTCTAAAAATTTACTGGATGAAACATACTGCAAAAATTCTGTTTACTCTTTACCCTTTTCATTACCTGCAGTTTGTTATTTTACATGTAATATCAAATGGTTCTTCCAGGTTTACTGTGTCTGGTATGGTTTCCAATGAAAGCCTCACATCACCATAGCCTGGGGCCTAAGGAAGCACAAAACGTTTACCAACACACAAGAAAGGTAATATTTTATAGCATTAGTGAACTGTAGAATGACATTCTCAAGAAATTAAATGTAACTTTTTTAGCTTCATATTTAGGCTAAAATACACTCATCACTTGAGTTTCTATGAAGAGCAGCAATTCTAAATAGTTTTTTCAAAACCCCAAAAGACAACACAGCTCTAGATAACCACTAAAGAGCATGTAATTCACCAGCCCTATTGCATGCAAATGTCTCCATAAACTGAACGGGAGTCATACAACACAGGTTGTTCGCAACTGTCCTTTGAACAGATGCAGCTTGTTTCAATGAGATCCTGTGCTGCTGATGTTCCTGTGGGTCTGTGTTAGAACACAGCAGGACTGTTGGCTTTTTAAGCCAGGGTGGTGCAGTAGTTAGAGTGCTGGACTAGGAACCTGGGAGATCCAGGTTCTAGTCTCCACTTAGCCATGAAACTCACTGAACCACTTTGGGCCAGTCTGTCACTCTCAGAGTCGTTGTGAGGATAAGACGGAGCTATGAAAGCTGCCTTGGGTCCCTCACAAGATGAAAATGGGAAAATATTTTATTATTATGAACATTAAATAGTGCTATATTATCATGTGTATGAACAGATAATATTCATTTAGAAGGACATAAGAGCCCTGGTGGATCAGACCAAGGTGATGGTCAGTGGTCATATGATGTAAAACAAATACCTGCCAAAGTGAGTCAGTGGACAAGCTCTTCCATTCATGGTGTAGAAATTTAAAGATAATCCAATGCCAGACTAAAGCTAATATTCTGGAAAAGACTTACCATCCTTTGGAGTTGACTGGTTTGCAGCCTCCCCCTTTCACCCAGGTTTGTCTTCCAGACTATGTCAAGTTTCCCAATAACTGTTACGCCTTTAATAACTCCAGCTTTCTCTGCAAACTCCTGCTTGGGTTTAAGGCAGTATAAATACTGGCGTGTATCCATGGGCTGTAAATATGTCCTTGTACCAAATGTTGACACACTAGAAGAGAAGAAATATGTTCACCTTCACTTACTGCAGATTGCTCTGGGTATGGCATTCATTTAGGAAAGAAAGCAATTTGCCTCCAGATGAAGCAAATAAATGAAGCCAAGCAAGGAAAATGAAAAGTATCTCAAATGTCTGGGAAATAGAGACAGTTTTCATGGACAGCATGATCTTACAAAGCCTGTTTTGCTAGTTTTGGGGCCTGTTACGTCCATATTAGTTTTTTTGACCATAATTCTGGTGGTGCTTAACAACCTTTTGAAAATATATAAAGGTATGTGCTACAGTTCAGAAGGCCAGATACTGAAGATGAAACTCAGATACTTTGGCCACCTAATGAGAAGGAACAGCTCACTGGAGAAGACCCTGATGCTGGAAATGATTGACTGCAAAAGGAGAAGGGGACAGCAGAGAATGAGGTGGCTAGATGGAGTCACTGGAGCAGTTGGTGTGGGTTTCGGTGGACTCTGGGGGATTGTGGAGCACAGGAGAGCCTGGAGGAATGTTGTCCATGGGGTTGTGATGGGTTGGGCATGACTTTACAACTAAACAAGAACAGTTTGAAACTGTGAAAACAAAGCACTGTAGTTTTCTTCAAATCCTAAGACTTTCAGAACATCAGGTACAATATGAAGAATGTGTGATTTCAGTAACAGATCTAATACAAGGTACAGATGATAAAGTTCACGTCAGACCATAAACACCGATAACAAACTTGGGGCACAATCCTCTTCATGTTTAGACATTAAAAAGTCCTATAGATCTCAGCACTCCCCTGCCAGGGCCTTATCCTGTATCTGCAGAGCACCATACCCCTAATCCTTAAAAGTACAAACCACAATTCAACTATAGGGGTTGTTCTTCCTGCAAAGGCTTTCCATTAGATGTTGATGGAGAAGACAGGTCCATCCTTGTAGGAGGATATATACCAAGCTATCATGAGAACTTGTCACCAGGCCTATCTAGTCCAGCACTCCATACACGTGGTGGCATCCATCTACCCAAATAAGAAGGCTTTAAATGGGAGCACTGCTGAGCAGGGCTGTCAAGGAATAGGACATTTTGGAGGGCATTCATTTACAGGGTCACCATATATCAGAGCAGACTTGATAGCACGTAACAAAAACTGCTATGCATTACTCAAGTATACCCTATGTGCAAGCATATCACAGCCCATAGCATCAGATTACTATTTAGGCCTAAAAACTGCCACCATATGAACTCTGCATCTGGATAGCAACTTGCATTATTTGCAATCCCAGTGCAAGAATTTGTTGTTTTAGCCTGAATTTCTACTTCACTAAGTGGCTAATTGCCATGAATCAGCCTCTCTTTTATGATTGCATGCAGTAAATTATTTCCCAGGTAAAGAATATTTGCTGTGTTGAGAGGCCAGTCTTGTTTTGGTAATATTGTGCAAGCAGGATTTGTTCAGAACCTGAAAGATGCTGATACCATGTCTTCAGGTCTGTTATCATGTCATTATTATGAACGAGCATCATTATCCTTGTAGAGAGGCTTTGTGAAAGTGCCCAGGGAGTCAAAGGTGTTGATATTTTTGTAGTCCCAACAATTTCAGCACATCATTTTTCAGTTCCAGTAAGGCATTTTCAGGCCTGATCTGGATGAACGCAATTGATACTCTTGTTGAACTGCCTGATGACAAAGTTTCCAACTTGGAGTTCATTATGGATAAAATAGAAAGTATGGAAGGTAGATATGACACATACTATCCAGCCTGCAGAAGAGTTAGGAGGACTGCCGTTGCCGGCTCTGTGCCGAGTGCTTCTGACTTACTTGCACACCAGAAATGGTGCACATCATTCATCTTTTACTTGGACAAAGTAATTTATGATACTGCAGAAATACAATATAAAAACTTAATTTCATGAATTTATAAAATAATACACCAAGCCATAGAAATAAATGTCCGTTCCTTTGTTTATGAAGCATTTCTGAAAATTACACAGTAAGTTTTGAACACAACCACCAAACATTGGCAGACATTTTTAAAGTTGAAAGCCCAATTATTAGAAAAAAATTGGCAAGCTAGATTTTTAAATTGATATACTTTTTCTCATACAGAAACATTTGGTTGATCTAATTCCCACAAAATACTACCACCTTTCTTGATTTTGGAAAAGTGGCCTATCTAATAGGTGAAGATACAACAGTACTGTGTTGCTGGGCAGCAGCCAGAATGGTTTGAATAATCAAATATAGCTCTTACCTGTCCTCACCTTGGCAGACCTCATTTAATTCTGCTACATTGTACATAATAGATGGTTCCAAGGACACCTTCTCCATAAACATTGGAGAAGTAGTGATATTTTGAATCTGAGCTTCCAGAAAGACTTCATCAGTCTGAAAAAGCAAAGGAAATGTCTAAGTAAAATGTAGGCTGAACTGATAAAAGCACCAGTGTTTTAAATATTTGAACAACATTAAACCACAAACGAAGTTAGTGTTCATGCCTGAAAAAATCAAACAGTGATTAAATGCGAGAAAGGTCTTCATCCCAACAGAGAGTAATAGAAGCAAAAATGTTAGTCAGGTAGAAGAGTGCCGATCAATGGATGTGGGATAACTTCAGTACATTCTTATATTTTAATATGGTGACAGTGTGGCCTTAACAAGACTTGCATATTGAGCTCTAAAAGTTCACATCAATTCAGATTTTTTCAAGGAAATCAAAGTGCACTTTAGAAATACGAAATGATCACCATACACAATGTAGGCATGCCATGCTAGATTAAGGATGCATCAGGCTGCGTACAAATAAAATGTTTAAGAGAGCCTTAGCAGGGGATTTATTTTTTAATACACATCAACTGCTATGGGGCACAGATGTATCTTTTGAGTACTGTTCAAATTTACTAGCTATAGTTCATTCATAAACATTTATCTGGTCTCTCTGTTGTAAGGGTTCACAATGGTACAAAGCTTGTTTTCCTACTACCCCAAAAACATTCCTGGTACTAAGCCACGTAAAGTAAAAATCTATTTTCTCTCCCAGTTTGATGGCTAAAGGAGTCAATGCAGAAATCGGCTTTATGTTAGGAATTTTGATTCTAGGCCTCTGAAAGGGTTCATTACCTTAGAAAGAGATTCAGCCCAGAGGGCAGTGAATCACTGAACTCAGAGGGTAACAATCAACCAAAGCAGAGCCGAAAGAGCTTTTTGCTTCTCTGCACCTCCTGCTCTGTAGTTTTGGTAAACAGTTGTTTTCAGTCTTCTGGTTGGGATGCTTCCAAGTGGGGGAGAAAAGAGGCTGCAGAGGACACAGGCTACTCTGGCCTATGCAGTCTCTTCTCTTCTCCTCTTCCAAGCAGCCTTTTCATGCTCTCTCCAAGGTGAAGTTCCCATAAAGCCATACTCTAGTAATACAATCACTGCATGTCTTCCAAGAAGCAAATCGCACTGACTCCAGTCGGACTTGCTCCCCAGCAGACCAAGAGTGATCATTCCCTTCCTGGAGAAGAATGGCATAGAATCTGGGCAATATTTTATGCTTACTTCTGTATTCCCTCATATTAACATATTCTGTATAGTTAAATTTTGTCAGACACAAAACATGAAGCTATGGAAAAACAGAAGGAAAAAATACGTATGTCTAATACATTTGACCTAAGAATAAGTGACAGGGATTAATCTTGCATGAACCCTTAAAAGTTTATAAATAAAGTGATGAATATTTTACTAGTAAATTGTATAGAAGCATTATTAAGAAATTAATGGTTCAGAACTTCAAAAGGCCACATTACACTATTAATTTCTAAATGAGAGTGCAGAATTCTATGCACACTTGCAAGTAGAAACTGCATAGTTTCTCTTAATGAAGTGATGCTACCATACAAGTTGGATGGTACAGATGCACTCTGCACAAGATTTTAATTGTGCAGAAAAGGGTATCTGGCAATCCAACAATGAACTCAAAACCTGAGGACAATCAAAGGGATGCCAGTTGATCAAGAACTTTAGCATCATTCCCCCTTACAAGCATGATGATTTCCTATATAAAGGAAAGCTCCATCAGCAAACCAGGAACTAAGGTTATCTACAGCTGAACATAGAATGGTCCCATAAGCTATGTTCCAACAGGAAAAAAAACAACAAAAAGCTAACTTGGAACTGTGTGTTGAGTGCGAAAATTAACTGTCAAATAATGTTCAGCCTGTCACATTCCATATTGCACAGAGGACTTTTAAGTGGTATTGGAGACATAGGGCTGGTGCAGATGTTAACACTAAACCATAGTTTAGCATTACAAGAACAAGCCACACTGAGGTTTGCATGCTTTCTCCTCCTTCCCTCCCTGCTTTGGCTCTGAGAAGTTCAGAAGCTTTTGCATCCATGTTAGATCGACCACAGGTTGCCATGCTGTCTGAACTCTGCAAGCATTTACAATATGATTAACAGGGGATAATGGAAACAAAGCCAACTTTGAATCCTCCTTTATGTCTGGTTCACACTAACCTTAGTTAAGAAGGGCTTGCATAACATGCTAAACTGCGGTTACTCTAAAAGAGAAGTTGTTTCTCATTTCTTTACAGCTGCAGCAGTGGAGGAGAGGGAAATGTATGAGTGCAAGGCTCTCTCAGGCTCGTTCTCATGACCCAAAACCATGGCTTAGCATTGCTCCCAAACAAAGACACACGCAAGCAAACACCAAAGATAAAACAGTTACTTTGTTTTTAAAGAAAACTACCATGTCTTTTAGGACCAGGGGATTTAAAATTTTGTATTGTTCTGGAAGACTATCCCATTGTTCCATTCCTTATGCCTATGTTTGCCCAATTTCTCATCAGTATACTTTAAAACAGCAACCATAAGCAAAAATTTAGTTGAAGGAAGAAAACTAAACCAAGCATCATAATGAAAAAGCAAGGTAGCTTAAAATGAGGCAGGGGATGATTCATCTCAGTAACATTATTTAGATCAAAGTAGCAAGATTATTACATCCCCACACATTGAGATTTGTGAAATCACGCTGTAATCACACCATTAGAATCACTGCCACATGCAATGAGGAGTTTGAAAGCAGAGTTCTAGTAAGCATGTAAAGGAAGATGAGATACAATCATGGGCTCTCTCCTCCCATCCAGTGTCTTTACACAACAGGTAACAGGTAACACAAAGTCATGATTTAGCATGAAACAAAATAACATGCAGGGTTGGATGTACTTCATGCTACCAAAAACAATCACAAAAAACAACAAATTTACACTCAGGCAATCCAAGTACTGCAACCTGAATAAATTATTTCAATTAAGGAAGTTTTCATATTGGGTTGGCTCCAGAAAAATGGTGAATGGAAAGAGAATTGCAACTAGAAGACTCCTGCAAACCATTTGTGCAAGGGCTTGACACAGCGTTATAATAAATAGGTTATTTGGTGTCAGGTTTCTGCTTGTACAAGAGATGTGTACAGGACCACAGTGTACAAGTATACAGGACCACAGAGCCCACAGGCACTGTACATCTTTCTCAGATACTGACTGGCTTCTGAGGTTTCTGTCCATATTGCCTATATATCTTCTACCACTTCTTTACAGAAACACACTCATCTTCTTAAGGAAAACAGAAATTATTAGGAAGGTGAATCTGTGTCCAATAAAATATTCTTTGCTCCTGCAGCACTGCAAGACAAACAGCCCCATCCATGTGAACTAGTTGTAGCGCATGTGCTACTAGGAACATTAATTGAACTGCTGCATTCAGCAAATAAATTCACTGTTTGTCAGAGCACTTTAATGAAATATTTGTTCAGCACAAAAGTCTGAACTACTAAATACTGCTAAACAATGGATACAAGGAGAGAGCTGATAGGTCTGAAGAGTAGTTTTGTTCTCTCCCCTCCAATTTTTTTTTAATCCAAGCATGGGGTGGGGGAAGACATGAATTGATATAAGAGAATGGTCACAACAAACATTGCTTTTCCATTATGTTTTTAAAATAATGTTAGTAACAGGCAGAAAGACAAACAGAAGACAAGCATACATACATATTTATAAATAATAAATAAAATTACCACAGAACTGAGGTCACTCTAATGGGAAAATAAAAAAGAAAACATTAGAGAAATTAGGGTTAAATGTTAAAGAAAAAAGGAGGACAACTAAGTTTCAAATAAAATGCATCATTTTGCATTTTTTTTGTATATTCTAAGCAAGACAGCATTAGTAAAAGAGGAATGTAAACCAGCAATAAAAATAAAAAGAACCATTTATAAGAAATCTTATTTCTAAATAAGACTTGTGTCAGCAAATGGTATGATGAAGAAAGAAATTATGTGGAACAGTAAACACAGTTATTGCACAACAAACACACTGAAAAACCAGCACATGCTCACAAGAGAGGCCCATTTTTATACTGAGTATTTCTATTGGAGGGAAAATAGAGTATCTCCCCTTTTTAGTTGTCAGGATTCCACATATTCCCTCGGGGTGGAAGGAGAGCAGAATCCGGTCAGTGCTGACCTGCTTTTTGTATATAATCAACAAATTGCAAGAATATGGTAAGCACCATTCAATCTTTTCCATTTGGACTTTAAAATTTCTATTTGTAGCTTTGAGGCTGTTTCAATGTTTTACTATGATATATGGTTATTTTTGTTCAATTATACATTCAATTTATTGCACACTGCCTTGGTGACAAGGACAATTGCTAAATGCACTTTTCTTCCAGTTGCAAATGTTCAGAACCTACTCTTCTACCTTATCACAACAGTCTTCAAATTTGAGGCATGCTTTGTCTTAAAATATGAAGCTTATTTCAGTGCCAATTAATATTGTCCTCCAGGCCTCTGAAATACAAGACTGTGCCATTGGCAAATGATAAGCTGAGTTGTCCATTTTCTGTCACCTGACAGAAGTCTTTTGCTATAATTATAACATAATTCAACAGGTTCAGCTTTCCCAGCTGGTGAATGCACTAGATACCTGAATAGAATGGTCCCTAACCTAGAATGGTCCCTAATTTAACATCAGTAATAACTAATTTAAAAGGAAAATATTCCACACTTCACCTCTGAAAACATCTCAGCCTTTGGACAGGAAAGTCTATTTCATAGCTGATGATGTTAAAAAAAGCTTTTAAAAATCTATTACAAACACTTTTTACCCAGTGATGATGGCAATGACAAATGGAGATAAAAATGAAAAGGAAAACAGAACAGATTTTACTCACCTGCTTTCCTTACACTTAGCCAAGTAAGAGGGCAAGATTACTGTTTTTTCCCAAGGCTGCAAAAGCTAGGCAACCATTCTTATATCTAGCATATAGGAACTTAATGCTGGGACCAGCATCCCCTTTTCAGCATTGGATGTGTTCTAGGTGGCTTAAGGGGCAATCCTATGCATTCTTGGGGGAAAAAAAGGACCTACAATTCCCAGCATTCCTTAGCCAGCATGGCTAACTGGGAATGCTCAGAATTTTCTGTGTAAACACATGTAGGAATGTGTTTAATAAAGCATGTTGTAAGTATATTTAAACACACCAGCTCTTTCTGATAGTTTTAAGATCCTTCTAGGCTTTTCCCTCTAATTTTTCTTCTCTGTTTTTGATATTTTCTATTTGATGTCTGTTTCAGCTAACGGCTAGTAAAAATTGCAGTGCTCAAGTTCCCAAGACTTTTCAAAATAACTGGAACAGGCTAGATATAGTGCAATACATGCAGAAATGAACAACTGAAAATTCACGGCCAGGAGAGGAAGAGTTTATTTGCCCAGGCAAACAGAGAAGTACATGAAATTATTACATCTCAAACAGGAGAGACATACATTTTAAAGTCCTGATTAAAAACCACAGCCCCAATCCCAAAATAACATATTTTTATTGCGAGCCTGTATTATGTACATTATTGTATATTATGCACCAAGCACAATTTTCTGTACTTACCTCAGCATTGTAGAATTTAGTTTTCACATCTAGTGGTTTGAGGACCTGTTTGAAAAAGGAATAGATACTAAAGGGAGATTTATCAGACCTCTCCATCAACACTTAGTACTACCTGCTTCTGTTTCTCTTAGTTTCTATGTATTCCCAAATAAAATTATACATTTTGAGTTTGTTGTACTAATCCAGTGCAACTTGTGCTTATATACACAAACACCAAAGCTGAATTTAGTTGAAGGGCCTAGCTCTGCTCAGCCTGCTTCTTCTTGTCCATGGGCTACAGATCATACAGCATTTTGTTTAAAGGTAAAAAGAATGCAGAAAAAAGGAAAACACATTTTCCCAGAACACAAGTTTTGTTACATGAAAGGCAACATTCTGCACACTTAGTACAGAAGTCTCCTTAAAATAGTGATACATTTCTGAATAAGCAATATTCACTTGTAATGATTCTTGAAAATAAGAAATGCAAACATGCCTCTCAAAAAACAAGGTCAAAACTACTCTTTCCTGGTTGCTACAACTGGAAATGTCAGCCTTTGGGCTGTTCAGCTGTAAGCAATCATACACTCAACCTCTGGGCCATCTTTCTAACTAGGACTATACAATTTCTGCATCTGCAGTAAGGATCACTACACTCAGTATCATCAAGTATCAGACATTACATGTAACAAATTCATTTAAGTGTTTTAATTTTGCACACAAATGATTCCGTCTTGATATCAAGATAGACTGCAGGACTTGAGCAATTCTTATGGCAAAGCAGCATCGGCTCTGACCTGGATGCCACAGAAATTGCAAGATCAAAATTGAATTTATTAAGGATGTAGCTTGCTTAGACCATTCAGGATACTTTTTTACCCTCTACAACCTCAGGATGTGGACACGATGTTTGAAGTTTGAGGCCTGCCATCTGCTCAGTGGATCCCTGCCCTTTCTGGCTTGCAAAATCTGCCAGGGCTGAGCTTCCAGTCTGAAACTGATAAGCTGATACCTACTGTCTACTGTCCCAACAAAAGGCGATAGCTTAGCCTTCATTGACGATACCTAAACTGGACCCTACTCATTTTCACAGCTTTCACCCTGAGTCAAATTTACCATTTTTGTGCAAAGAATTGGAGTTCTTTTTTCTCAGAGCCAGGAAATGTTGCATTAAATTGATCAATTGGATCCACTTCAGTCTGACTTATTCCCTGGCTTGAGGCTGGACAATATATGGTAGACGACCCAAACTAGAAAGTAGATAGCATAAGGGGTACACAATCTTCTCAGTGATTTTTATCTGTCTGAGCCATTTCTCTAAGGTGGGACTTGGCAACATAGTGGCTCCAGTCCTACTGCAGGGACAGATTTGGAAGCTGGTGCTAGGGTGCTTCTGTTCCATTGCATAATCACTGACCTTTGGGATGACTTGGGGTTCCATCTTGTTTACCCCCTCCCCAGTTTTCAGCATCTACATGAAATCACTGGAAGAGGTCACCAGGAGTTTGGAGCTAAGGTGTCATCATTATGCACTATTCTTTTTCAGTACTAGTTCCAAGAAGGTAGTGGAAACTCAGAACGAATGGAAGCACTTTTGAAATAGAAGATGGCAAATAAGCACTTCTACAGGCTAGAAGTACCTGTAGTTGGGATGATGACCAAAGCTGGATAGAGATTTGCAGCCAGATTTGATAAGGCTGCACTCCCTCTGAAAATCTAGTCTCTTAGTTTTGGAGCTATTCTAGATTTAGTGCTATCTATGGAGGCAAGGACAACATTGGTAGCTAGGAGTCTTTTACTAGCTTAAGTTAGTCACCTGCAACCCTATCTGGGAAAAGCAGACTGGGTTTCAATTAAGCTTATGTTGGTTACATCCATACTGTAATGCCTCTATGTAGGCCTACCTTTAAAGGCTGATTAGAAACTTCAACTGGTACAGAATATTGCCACTAGGATGCTTGTGAAGCCAAGCAATTCTGTTCATATTAAATCAAGGTAAATGAAATGTTGCTTGGTGTGGTGATGATTCCAAGTTTGCTGTTGCAAGTGGATGTATCTCCTGAGCAAAGTTCCACTCACAGATGTTCCCACCAACAGACTGGGAGGTGACTTTCACTCCCTGTAGCCTCTTGTGCTCCTGAAAACCTCCCCTAAAGTGCTGTGGAACCCTCTGAAATAGTCAGAGAAGGCTGCAGAGGGAGGCTCAACTTGGTGAATTTTTTTCCACCATGCTCCCCTTTTGGATTTCAGGCTCAAGAACAGAAGGGAAAGTCTTCAGTTCATGAAACAGAATCCAAGCTAGTGCACTTGCTTGGCATCATAGGCTACTTCTTGTACTTCATCTCAGCATTGATGTGAAGTGAAATCATGCAGAGAAACCTAATGCAGACACCCTACTGTGACAGACCATGCAAAAAGCTTCCTCCATCTTGCCCCAGAAATATTATGGGCAAAGTTACTAGTTTTGTGCAGGCAAGGGAAGAAGCGACTGAGTAACAGAACAGGATTAGGTAACCTCAGTTACAATCAGGACTGCCAGCTTTGCTATTTCAATACCTGAAATTTGAAGAATTTTCTGAAATACATCTTCTCACCGGTTTGTGTAGTATAACTTACTGCACACACTAAACTGAAAGACAAAAATGGTTTGATGGGATTTAATTATTTTTCAGTCTTGCATGAATTCTAAAGTAGAGGGGAGAAGAGGAAGAGATGAGTTTAAAAATGGCAAATTTATAATATACCTTTATTAGATTTCTGAATGTATGCGATAACATTTCTACTAATTGGAAAACTAAAGTCAAAGAATCGGGAGAAAGTATTAAGGTCTCACATGTGTGTTCCTATTTCCTTTACTTCATGGTGAATTACATCATCGATGCAACAGTCTTGTTTGAGTTCTGCCACTGCAGCACTTGAGGCTGAAAGGTTTAAACGCTGTGAACTTGTTTGTAGATCAGCCTTGGAATTAAGAACAGAAGCAGAGTAAACTGTGGATGAATTTTAGAAACTCTGTTGTAGCAGTGCCTGGTGGACTGTATCTACCAGAGAATGGTTAGCAGGGAAAGAGTTCCACAGTTCCACAAATGTGTATGCAAGAGTTCATGAATTGCCACAGTGGAGATATTCTAAGGAAATTTTTATCTTTATGAAGATGAAGTAATGAATACTCAGAGGCATGATTTCACCGCGACCATCCCATATCTAAAGAAAAAAATGTGAATTTTCCTGGTTTGATACTCTAATAGTTGGGTCACAAATTCCCCCCTACTTCAGTTCTTATGAGTTCAAGTTATAGTCAGCCCCAGAAGTGAGACAGTCAGAATTAAATGTATAACTAAACAGAAAAGGCACATCCAAAATGTGCCAGTTCCAGCCATTGCTATCTAGTCCAGGTTGTTTGATTTGATTACCTATCCTAATTCAAGATCTCCAATATTTATATTCTCTAACTAATTTTAAATACCATATTTCCAGAGGCATTCGTAAGGAACATGGGCTCGATACACTGAAAGGATCTGCTACACAAACCTTTCTAAACTCAGTGAGCATTTACATTTTCTTGCACGATGGTTCATATATAATAGATTTTCCTAACTACTTTTATCTTTGGAAAGTTACAAAAACATGTTTTTAGCCTTAAAAATACCCAACAAATAGAACAAAATATACCTTTACATTCCTCTCTGCTTTCCTTTTTGGTAACAGCCCTAATTATTTAAAATGCAAAAGTTCCTTTGGATTGGTTAGCTGAAAACTATTGGTTGACTAGAAAAAATGAAAAATGTTCTTAAACACACTTTAACTACTGAATAATATCAAACATACCTTTACCAAGATGTCTTTTACCACCTGGTGACTGTCATTATGTACACTAATGTAACTCGAAAACGTCTCCCCTAAGAATATATTTCTGTTCAAAGGAGAGAGAGAAAAAGAGTACTGGTAAAACCATTGCTGAAAAACAGTTAAAATATTTTATGGTCCACCTCTAACAAATGCATACAGTTGTGGCATAGTACTCTTAAACATCTACTTCTTGGGCATTTGCTAGGAGACATGATGTTGTAGGTACTATCTCAGTACTATTCAAAACTGTAACAAAGAACACAGCAGTTGTTTCTTCTGTTAACAACGCCTGTAGTCACAGCAGAAGGCTGAAGAAGGGGGGTAAACTGAACCAAATTAAGAAAATCTGGAGTTACCAATGGCAGCAGACCTAGATGCATGCAAGAGGGTTGCACTGGTTTTAAAAGGGAGTTTAAACAAATTTAAATAAGATATCACTAGCGATTAAATATAGCTAAATATTACTTCTGTGTTCAGAGAAAGCATGATTCTGAATATTTACGAGATGGGAAAGTTGTTACAGAAGGTCATGATTTAACAAACCTTTATATCTATAAGCATTTCTTACCCAAAGTTCTGAGGCAAAGTCAACATTTCTCCAAGCATTAAAGTTTCTGCTCCTTTTACAGTAGAAGGATCATCTTTCATTAAATGGTTAAATAGATCTCCTGTAGAATTGTAAAATTATATGGCAGGTCAACTATATCTAGAGTTGTCACTTGATTCACAATTTTTAAATGCTTGCTTTTAAACTAACTGTTTAGCTATATACTTGATAGTGCATTGTTGAAAATCGGAAGCAGCTAGCATCTCTTCTGGACAATGGCAACACAGAATGACAGAATTTAAAAAAACTGAAGTGAATTTTCAATATGTATCAACAGTAATTTGAAGAGAGAATTTACTTCTCTTCCATAAATGTTATTCTTAAAAGAAAAGCCATAGTAGTTTGGCAGTTTAAATGTTCTCTTGTCATTGGAAGAAAAAAAAAACAAGTTAAGCTTGTTTATTCTTCAGTCAGAAAAAAAGGAAAGCTGATGTTTGCATGTGCAGTACCTTTGGTCCAACCACCATTGCATTCACTTTACCCACCAGTTCTGAATTTCAGGGGATCCCCTGGCAAGGCACCCCAAATGGGCTACCTCCCTCAATAAGGGGAGCTAGTAATCCTATCACTACTATCAACAGCTGCTCTTGCTCCTTCTCCTCTTCCTTATCACTTGCTTCCTTGATAGATCAGTGAACAAGCAGGAACAAGTGAACAAGCAGAGAGTGGGCTCCACTGCTCAAGAACACACAAGAACACAAGAAGAGCCATGCTGTGTCAGACCAAAGATCCATCCATCCAGCACTTCCATACACATGGTGGTAAACCAGCTTCCCGCGGGATTTCTCAATCAAGCTGAGTGCAAGACCTCTCCTGCCCAAGCTCCTCAGCAACTGGAGACAGCATTTAGCCAGCAAGACTAGTAGGTACTGATAGCCTTCTCTTCCATGAATCTGTCCAATCACCTTTTAAAGCTATCAAAATTGGTGGCCATTACCACCTCTCTTGGCAGTAAATTCCATATTCAGCTATACACTGTGTGAAAAAGCACTTTCTTTTTTTTCTAAACTTTCCCCCAGTCAGTTTTGTGGGATGACCCCAGGTTTCAGTGTTATGGGAGACGAAGAAAAATATTTCCCCTCCCATTTTCTCCACACCATGCATTAAGCACCTCTATCATGTCTCCCATTACTCACCCGTTTTCTATACTAAACAGTCCCAGTTTTTGTAGCCACTCCTCATAGGGGAGTTGCTCCTGGCCCCTGATCATTTTCATTGCTCTTCTCTGTATGTTTTCCAATTCAGTAATGTCCATATTCAGGTGTGTTGACCAGAAATGAACACAGTATTCCAAGTACAGTCATACTAAGAATTTGTATAAGGACAGTAAGATCTTGGCAGTTTTATTTTCTGTTCTGTTCCTAATTATGCCTAGCATAAAATTTGCCTTTTTCACAACAACTGCACATGGGTTGACATTTTCATTGAGATCTCCACCACTAACCCAAGATCCCTTTCTTACTCAATAAGTGCTAGATCAGATCCCATCAACATATACTTGAAATCAGAAAGTTTTGCCTCAACATGCATTACTTTACACTTGCTTGCATTGAACAGCATTTGCCCTTTTGATACCCATTTCTCCAGCTTGGAGAGATCCCTTTGGAGCTCTCCACAATCCCTTTTGGTTTTAACCATCCTCAATAGTTAGTGTCATCAACAAACTTGGCCACTTCATTACTTAATCCTACTTTCAGATTATTTATGAATAGGTTGAAAAGTATCCGTCCTAATACAGAACCCTGTGGGACTGCTGGTCTCATCTCTGCATTTGAAAAAACTGCTGTTTATTCCTACTCTCTCTTTGGTTTTTTAAACAATTAGTGATCCATAAGAACCCCTCCCCCTTTTTATCCCATGACTGCTTAGTTTGCTCAGGATCCTTTGGTGGGGGTCTTTGTCAAAAGTCTTTTGGAAGTTCAAGTAAACAATATCTACTGGATCGCCACCGTATAGGCCTCTTCATATACTGTGAACAGCCCATTTCCACCACAGTCCATCTCCATCACAAAACTACCAGAGTTTTTTTTTTTATTTTCCTTCCCCACTCCTCATCCCTTTGTCCTTTTGTCTCTTTTTAGACTCTAAACCTGGAGACAGAGATTGTCTTCATTATATTACTCTGAAAAGCTGGTCTGGGAGACTTTTTGGCTAGAAAACAGAGTATAAATGCTGTAAGCAAACAGTTTTCTGATTCTAGATAGAACATGGTACAAGCACAAAGGCAAAGTACTTGTCACAATTTCCAGACAGCCATAGTATTTGATACTGCTATTCACTGACATGCTATACAATCCTTTTCGGACTATACCTCCTGGCATTTGCAGATACTTACAGGCTTAAAAAACTATCTCTGGAGTGTAAACCTATGAGAACTTCTAGGCATTATTAAACACCAAAACATCATTTACCTGGCAAATCTCTCTCTTCACAGGTCACAGGGATATTGGTGAACAAGGTAGGCTTGGTCAGCCTCATTACTGTGAATTTAGAAAGCATATGCAATATTATTATTAGAGCATCATAAAGAGCTCAACACTGCTAATCACAAGCCCTGATCACACATTGTTTTGCCTCTGGAATTCTATCCAAGGTAAGATAAGGAGCACATCGCTGCCATAGCCACTCTCTTCCATTCCCATCACAGAGGGGAGAAGCCAACAAGTGAAATGAGAGATCTCATGTTTATCTGAATCTCTCACCTTGTAATTTCCACTGAAAGCTATAAAGATAAATTATAAACAAGATTCAATGAGGGCATGCATGAAATAGGACACTTGCAAGAATTTTCTACTGGCCATCTCTTCTATCTGAAATCATATTTACTGCAAACATGACTACCTCATCCTTCAGCAAAAATCTTCAAGTCAGCTAACAAATGATAAAAACACCAATTTAAACATATAATTAAAGAGCAATTAAACCAGTGAGACACCAGCAAGACCACAAGAAAATAAAATTGTCTTCATTAGTTCCTAAAAGCTGCTAGTGTAGACACCAGCCAACTGCTCTTCAGAGCATTCTGCCACTGTGACACCAAATCCCTGGTTAACAGTTATCTAATACTGTTAGACAGAACAGGTCTCTAACAAAGTTTCAGACAGGTTAGACTGGGATAGGCATCCCTTTAGACATTATGGTCCAGAACACAAGCCCTGCAATAATGTGTATGTTCTGTATTCTCAAACAATGGTTACATCAGTGGGGAAGATAGAATGTGGAAAGAGTGATGAGAAACTGCCATTTTGTTGACATTGCTGAGGAAAAGTTATTAGGAAAACCTACAGTTGATAGGATTAATTTGATTCATAATAATCAGGAGTTCATATGAATAACATCAGTGTTGGGGCTGGCCTTGAATTTCTGATATCATGGTATGTTTTGGAGGCTGTTGTTGCTCTTGATTTCTTTTAAACTAGAGAACATATCTGGTTTTCCAGAGTTTTCAATAGCCCTTACATACCTTGATACAGAAAATCTTTCAGGCAAACATAGAGAGCTGTCAGAGTTAGACACATTGTGCTTGCCCTATCTAAGAGAAGTGATGTCTGCTGACACACCTACACACGGCTCATGCCATGAAGCAGAGACCATTACACACAACACCTACCTGAGGATGGGTTGCTCCACATCAGGGAAGAAAGGCACTTTTATAACTCAGTCTTCTGACCTGCTAATATCCCTTAGCCTTAAACAGAGGTATGTGAATCTGTTACTTTCATTTACTCTTACTCTGAATTTTTAAAATCTCAACTTCATTCTTTTAGGTGGAGAACTTTGCAAATGTCGGCAAATTCTTATCAAAATGACTAAATCCTATTCTTACCCACCCCTAGCTTCAAACTGCAATGGACTGCAAAACTGTCTGCCGGTGGCTAGAGATCTTATTGCCGGTTTCAACCAAACAGACATTATTTGACAATATTTAAATTATCACTGATGGATGTGTCAGGAAAAAAACTGCATGGAATTACAGAACAGTAGAGTATGAATGGGTCAATAACTGAATTGGCCCAACTCCTTGCTCAGTTAAGGTGTTCACTCCTACGGTCCCCTTAGCATGCACGCCAAGTTTCAGTTTTCTAGATCTCATGTCCTGATACTATGGTGCTAACAGACGGTCAAACTTTCATCCTCTTTTAGTATTATATAGAGTATCCTAACATATTTTAGCATAATTTAATGATGATAAAGATTTTCAAGGGTGTAAATACTGACAATTACATCATACAAATGCCAGAAAAAAATAGAAAACGTTGAGTTGCTTCTTCTTGTTATTTTGTTTGTACTGAACACAAGAGAAGAAGTGGGAAAATTGCGCTTACTGTGCAAGCAACTAGGAACACAGTAGATGTAAGTACTTGTTGAAATGTAGACAGAATATGCGTATTCCCAAACAAAAAAAACCCAATAATCAAATATGAACATTAAATGAAATATATGTATTTTATGGTGCTCATTCAGGATTATACTAATCTTCATAACATGTATAACACTGCATTCCCCATAAACCCATACATTGACTGTACCTTTTGTAAGCACTGTTTGGATCAAAGATTCCCTGCAGCACTCTTCTCTAGAATGTGTGCTCATGCCCAATCAATCCCAACCTTCCCAGTCAAACGTACATATGCTGAGGACAGTAGAATGGCTTTTTACTCAACAAACCCACCAAAGCTATAAGTATTTTACTCTCTAAATTTCCTCCACTGTCATCAACAAGATGCTGGGAGGAACTTGATGCAAATGAATATTCATAGTTTCTAAGTTTTTTAATCAAGACCTAACAACTCAGGTGGACTTCAACTGGATGGTTTGATTAGACACACACAGAGAGATGTACTATTTTATGCCAGCATTTATAAGTCAATATAATTCCTTTGAGAAGAACTGATTCAACTATTTAGTTCTGTGTATCACTGTCTTATTTTTTAAAAAATTGATTGTAATGAGTTTTTTAGCAGAAATCCTCAATAAGTATCAAACATTTCAATTGAATTCTCTGAGAAGAGTAAGTCGTGTTAATGATAAGACAACTGTAGATACAGTTTGATGAACCAAAACGGCAGAAGTCCTTACCATTCCAATTTTTAATCCTTTACTACAAACACGTATTTTATTAGAATATGAAATGTATTTCCAAACAATCATATCTACATGGTGTGTATATCTCGAAAGGGCTAAGAATATCACAGAAGTCTCAACCCTTCAGCGTATGTAACAGCTGGTAAGGGGACAGGGAATATCTAAAGAGTCATCCCATGCTGCCCAGCCATGAGTCAATTAAAACCTTAGTGACAAGCAAATGCATGCTAAACATAGAAAACATCTTTATTATTTAGTATTTTAGACAAGTAATTTCAATTGCAAAAGACATAATGGTTGAGATGCAAACTATCAGTTCTTTCAATGTATTATTCTGACACGTGGCATTATTTTTTCAAAGGACATCCGCTGAAGTATTTAAATAGTTTCAGAGGGCTTAGAACAAAGCATAATCCAGTCTGACGGAGATCAGTTCACTTGAGAGAATGCTTTCATTACGTCACCAATTTATATAGCATCCATATAGTTTCTAAAAATCTAATCAAAGGGTATTTACATAGATGTGACTTGGCTCTGAGATAGCCAAACAGGCCAGTGAGATTTCTTCTCATTCTTGATAAAAATGTGGATTTTTCTGGCATGTGTTTTTAAATCAGAATATATACTTCATTAAAATGACAAACTATGTATGATACCATATTTGTGAACAAACAAATTCAATTTTCCCCTGAGGTTTAATCTTTCTCTAATGGCATTGGCAACATATTCACAATACAGCATATCACAGAAAATTGAAATCTGGCTCTCACATCTCTGGATTCTGGCATTACAAGATGGCAGTTCACTATGTTTGATCATCCTGTTGAGCTTTATCCAAATGTCTTCTAATGTCTGATTATTAAAAGTTGAAGGTTCAATTATCCACTGTGCTCTATAGAATGCATGTAGTTTCAATTTTTGTAAGGTACTTTGCAGTTCTCTAGATAAAGGAAGAATCTGGTCTTTAAGCTTAGAGTTGGGAAGAGAAACACTCCAGGATCTCCTCAGGTTCTGTCTGCCCTTTGCTAATTGCTTTCTCAAATTGTTCAAATCAGGTTTTCCATACTCTGCTTGTAAACCCCATACAGTTTTTGTAACAGCCTGAAATTCCTTAAGCCCTTCTGTGCAGTCGTAACATGGAGAGGTGCAAATACTTTCTTCAATTGCAAGATGTTGCTTTATTTTTTCTACTTCTTCAGCAGAAATAACTGGAGGTTTTCTTCCAGGCTTGAAAGGAGTGTTGCACAAATCATTTGGAAACCAAGGTATGAATCTTGGTTGCTGTCGAACTGAAAATTCCTTTAGTGCCTCTTCTGCCATTTTTTGCAATGCTGCAGGATCCTTTTGCCATGATCGATAGTGCAGGATCACATCCATGCTTGCACAATCAGAGTCCACATGTTCTTACTTTAAAATTTTCTTGGTCAGTAGCAGCCACTAATAGCTATCATTTAAAAGAATCTTATGCCTTGTGTTGTGCAGATCAGAAGATAAACAGGACCTAGAGCAGAAGTATTGCAAGTAATAAGACATGCTAGCAGTCCTACCACCAAATTTACTATTATTCTGGTAAAACTATCCAGATTTTTACTAAAAAGTGTTAAAACAAATACAATGTACTACAAGTATATGCCATATATACTAGAACTCTCTAGTACTGAGACAGAACAGCTAATACGTGCCACAGATGCCAGTGCAGCATCCTTTCAATCTAGTTAACAGCTTTTTCTCTCCAACATCTAGAAGCGAAATGCTTCTGTTACCACCTCAATTTAAATCAGTGCTCCTATAGGCTCCTGAGGAAGCAGGCTGTCGGAGTGGCTTCGCAAGAGGCAGGGAGCAATATGCTATACAATTTTTTCTTGGCCAACTAAGCTTCCCTGGTTCCAAACTGTATGGACCGCAAAGTCCAGTTAGGGAAGTCTAGCCTTACTGGCTGAAGATATTATTGAAGACTTCAACTACATGGCCAGATTTACAGGTGCAATCATACGGGTTTTACCCTGTTAGATGGAAGTCTTTGATCTCAGAGGCTTCCAATTAACCAATGTGCTTTTGGCTACTGCTTGCAGGGGAGGAAGAGCAATGCAGGCAATTTGTCCCTCCGTTTTCCTTTTTTGTCTACACAGCTGTCTGAGTCAGTCTAAAAGTGGGGCTGGAGAGACCATAGGATTCTTTGTATCCTAGCTTTTTCTCCCCCCTCCCCACCTACTAGAAAGCTCTTTTTTGGACTTTGGATTTCCTCCAAGGCCACCTTTGTGACCTCACAAAGCCACCAAACTGGTTCTTTCTGTGGTAGCTGCAAAGAGATGGGTTTGGATTCTAGCATTTTGTTTCTAAGTTTGTAACAGCCTCTACAGCTGTTGGGGGGTACTCTGAAGTATTCAGTTGTGACTGGGACACTCTCTCTGGACTACAGGATTCTTCTCTAAATACATTAAAATTAATGTTTTTAAAACACAATAACCCTGAGGTACGCACCCTGAGAATTCATTTAGGATGCATGCCAAGTTTCTGGTGTCAAGGTTTCACAATCTTGGCATTATGCACTGCTGGGCAGTCACACAACTCTTTTATCATAGAATACACACACACACACACACACTATAATATTATATTTTACATTATGACTATTCTAACATGTAAGAGTTAAGAATGTTGTCAAAATGATTTAAGATTGATCATGTATGGTTACTTTTTTCTTTAAGGCAGGGGTTTTTCCAGTCCTATCTTGAGCTAACAGGGATGGAATTTGGGATCTTCTAGATTCAAAGCATGTGCTCTTCCACTAAACTGTAGTCCCTGCCCAATCTCCACATATCCTTCAAAGCTTCTCCTGTTCTACTTGTACAGTTCCTTTCAATGGAGTACAACTTTTGTGTAAATAGATTTGATACTAAACTCAAACCCCTTTCTTTGTGGTAGAGGAAGTCACACATCAGAGCCACAGGTAGGGACAGCAAACTATAAGAGGGGTTGTTCTTCTTATCTGATGCTGTAGGTGAACCAGCTACAACAGCTGGTATTGCATCACTAAGAAAGGATATGATTGCATTGCAATGATTAAGGGATTCCCTCCTGAGAAACTGATTAGATCCAATACTTGATAGATATATTATACAAGGAAGTGCTCTATTTTCCAACATGTCACATTTGAAAAGTAGATGGTAGAGATCCTTTATTTCAACACATTCAGGAGCCATCTGAGTCCCACATATTCTACACATCATCCATAGCCTTGGAATATTTATCAACTATGCATATCTGAAAGCTTATCTTCTACCAGCACTAGTTTACATAGTTTACAATTGTGCAAGCAGAGGAAAGGCTGAGAAATTTAACATTTCATAACTGATTTTGCAGAGCAGCAGATGCACCTCAATAAAACTATATTTAAGTACCCACACTATTAATCATTCCCCACAGAGTTTTTATATTTTGGACTGGGCCCTTCATTTTAAAAGTAATCTGAAAACATCGGGACAAGCTGGCCACCAGTGTCACATTTCTCCTTCATAGCACCTCTCTCTGACTCACACAAATAAAATTTGAACTTGATTCATGCTTCCTATTTGTTAAACATAACTTTTGCATACCTTCTGCACCCCAGAATAAGCTATGCAACCCCAAATCATGCATCCTGTCACCCAGAAACTGTCTCCTAAATGCCTCCGATGGAATTCCGGTTCAAAACCTGCTTTAACCCCAAAAGGCGCTACTTTAAAGCCTACATATTTAAAGCAAGTTGCTCTTGCCTGGTATAAAGGTACTGACTGGATATGTCTTTTAAAAGACAGTTACCAGCTATATAATTTAGGGTGGTCTAAAATTTACTTTAGGAAACAGAGATATACAAACTTCACTTTCATATTCACATTTCTTATGTACCTCTGCACTGAATAAGGAAGCAGGATCCAAGAACCAACTTCAGCCTCATTTTGTATGACCCAGTAAATAGTAACCACAAAGAAGCAATCCTTCACAGCAATAGGGGGCAGGGGGAGAATGTAAGTAATATTCATAAGCCTTTTTCCTGATTCCTCCCAATTTTAGTTAATTCATATATGGCACACAGTTTGAGTCTAACTCAACCTCCATTCATTTCAATGCATGTAGTCTTAGTAGGTCTAGGATTGGTTACAATCCCATGCACCCTTCCTTTAACTTTTTTTTTTTAAGGCAAGCAAACTTCCATAAAGCAAGGCACAGCACGGCTTCTCTTCTCAGCGGTCGAAGCACCACTCCCTTCTTCTATCAGGAACTAATGGCGAATCAAGAACCCCCAAACCTCGGGAACGTCACCTCCTGGGAAATAAATGAAACCAGTTCGCGGGGAGGCAAAACCCACAACTAAATCTTACAAGTAGGCACAGAAGCCTGTAACGCTAACAATTCTACCCAGTCCTTCGAGGATCCCACTAAGGAGCGATCCCCACTTGCACTCCTTCTGATCCCTTTAGGTGATGTTGTAGCCTCCGCCCCTCACCCTAGAATCAGATCGAAAACAGAAAAAAGAGAGGCGAGGGCCAGTACCTTTCAGAGCCAGGAGATGCTCCTGTTTGGGCTGGGTGACATCCATCGCCTCAGCCTCGCCGCCAAGAGTCTTCCCTGTTCACAGAATCAACCGAAGAGAAGCCGCCTCCAGTCGCGGACAAAACTAGCCCAACAAAAGAGGAAAGAACGAAAGGAACAATCTCCGGCTTCGGCCCGCTATTTTCTGCCAGTCATATTTCTCGCAACGCAAGTCACTGCCGTATCGCCAGAAAAACTGCAATCCCCAGCGTTCCCGGAGCTTCCTCGCCGGCTTCCGTACTTGAGTCCTCGCGTGCTCTCTTCTCCAATTCGCGTCGTGGAATCTGTGCCTTACTATTATTCTTATTCTCCTTAGACACCATACGTTGTCAGCGTGATGCACGATGGTACTTGCAGTCTCCTCCTAACCTCAAATTCCTGGCGGCTTGTAGTACGACAAAAAACCGACGAGCAAAAGATAGCTGACGAGGGGAGCGGGGCTTGACGTCGAGCACGGCCGCCATCTACGGCTCTTTCCGGTGACGTCGTGTAGCGCCACCCTCTCCGTCGCCAAGGGGACGTCCGCTGTAGGAGTGGTGTGGAGGCTGCTTCTTCGTCTTTATCCTCCGCTCCCCAAGATGGCTGCGCTAAGTGTAAACAAGGTCGGGTTTGGAGCGGGTTTGGATGCCGGGAACAGGCAGAGCCGGAGTCCCTCCGGGCCTGTGGTGAAGGTGAGGACGGCGAGGCCGGGTGGGTCGCCTGCGTCATTTTGTGGCGAAGCGCCTTTGTCGCTCGCAGTCTTTGGGGGCGGGAGGGGTTGAGCCCCTGGAGAGGCCGGCCAAGAGAAAACGGAGAGGACCCGCCCTCTTAGCTCGCTTTGGGTTTTCGTGCGGTGGCATCCACTAAAATAGCTGTTGGGGGTGGCTTTCCGCAGGCTGGAGCGGAGCAGAAGGGCCAGCCCTCGTGTGGCTCCTTCGCCGGCCTATCAAACCTGCTTCTGCTGTTATAACCAATAAGCGCCTTCCGGATGTGCTAAGATACGGTACGGAGCCTTGGAAAGATGTTTTGCTCTTCTTATTATGTCCTGTCAAGTCGTCTCTGAGTTTTGGCGGCCCTATGAATGAAGGCCCTCCAGATTTATGATGCTTTACACAATCTCTATTAGACTGGTTGATAATGATAAAGTAGGTGGAATAGAACAGGGACGAGTCATATTTAAGAAGGAACCTTATTTTTTTTCTGGCAAGGTTCCTTTGCTTTTTCAGTTTACTGAGAGGTAGCAATTAAAAAGAAGAAACTTCTTAGGACTGTAAAACAGGTAATATATTTTCTGCTTAAGCCCTGCCTGTTGTGTAGATGTCATAGGAATTTAGAACAATAGGCGGGAATGCAGTTGTCAGTGCATTAGAGGTGCAGAGTACTAAATTAGAAATGTTTCATTTGAGGAATGAAAGTCTTGAAAAGCCCACTGCAGTTCACTTTAAAAACCTCCAGAGGGCAGTCATTTGTACTTTTTTCTGTAAAGACCTCTCTTGGGATCAGTTCTTTGAAAAGTTGTCTCACTTGCTTAGAGGTGAACATGTACTGAGATTAAGTCTATAAATCTGCACCCATTTAGCTCTGAGTAAGCCTCTTGGGTTTGGTTAGCCATACTTCTGAATAAACATGTCTAGAATACTATTTTGTATTTTTTTAAGGAAACGCTCAATCCAAACCAACCAGTAAGGATACTCTTTGTCTAATATGCTTTAAGATGTGGACTGCATCTAGGACAAATTGAGATTTTTAGTGTATAAAGCCAGTACGTTGGTCTGAGAATTAAATGGGTCCCAGTGGGAGGATGAGGCCTGTCTTCACTCCTCCTTTTGTGATATCTGTTGGTCATATATGCTGTGCACATTCTTGACCATTTAAAACTGAGCATGTTTCTCTGTAAATTGTAGGTTCTTGAGTGTGGAGTCTGTGAAGATGTATTTTCACTTCAAGGAGATAAAGTTCCCAGGCTGCTTTTGTGTGGTCATACTGTCTGTCATGACTGTCTTACTCGTCTTCCTCTCCATGGCAGAGCAGTTCGGTGTCCTTTTGATCGGCAGGTTACTGAGTTAGGTAAGACTCTCTGAAGTTAAAATTGGTGATACTCATATGATATTAAGGTGCAAGCATAACTTGATTTCATCTAGTTCTGTATTGTATCTGTCCAAATGATAAATATATAAACCTGTTTGAAATATCAGAGGATAGTTGGATATCCTGAAGCAAATTCCTGCTTAAAACAGCTTTCCTCAATTTTGTACCTTCAGATGATTTGGACTACAGTCCTCATAATCCTTAAACATGGTAGCTGGGCAGCATGAGGTTATGGAAAGGCTGGTTTAGAATAAAAGCACTGACTTTTGTTGCAAGGCAATTTGGAAGTTTGGATTGTGCATTTCAAAAGGTTTAGCTCTGTGGTATGCTGAAAAGTGAAAGTATAGTGCAAAGACTATAGAAGCTTTTAGGGAAGCAGAACCTCATGTGCAGTATCATACATTATCTAGCAAAGCTTTGGCAAAGCCTTGTGAGGTAAGCCTGAAAACAGCAAAGAAAGTAAGAAGACTCCTGCTGAATTGGACCAAAGGCTGATTTAGTCCAGCATTTTGTCACTATATGGCTAACCAGAAATCTATGTGAAGCCCTGAAGCAGGACATGAATCAGGATCTATGTTACTGGGTCTTCTCCTTGATCAAGTTAACTGGGAAGTAATGATTTGTTTCTTTAAGTGTGTGCCATATTTCATTCACTCAGAACTATGAACTTTATGCATCCATAGTGATCTTGTACACTCATTGCTTATGAAGTTAAGTTGACTTGTGCTTAAATTTATAATCCAATATATCTGGTGACAATGTTAGACAAATTTTAAAAAGATTGATTTGAGCAAGGTTGTGTTCACATTAAAGGATATTTATTATTTATAATTCGTATTTCCTATTATGTCATTGACATGCATTGACTTATAAGGAATAATGTAAGAAAAATGCATGTTCCTGTGTTCAGAAACTTACTATCTAAATGTAATTGGTAGACTAAAAATAAATGAAGAAGCAAGTGTAAAAGGACATAGATATATGCAATTACTATTGCTTTTACTGTGGTGAATACTAAGAGATTAGGGTTAGGGTGTTAATGGTGAAGGTGGGTTTTGATAAGGGAGGTGAATGAGATGAGAAAGAGGTGACATTGCACAAATGTTCTGGAAGGGATAGGGCAATTAGTGAGCTGTTGAAAGGAGCAAATTTTTTTGTTTGTTTTGGTTTAGTCCTTTTCAGATTCCTCTTAAATTAGGCTGTGGTGGAACCATAACAAATATTTGCAGAATTGCAGTACCACACCAATAATAAAATTGTGGGTTAGTTTGTGTTCATAAACATTACCCTCAGTGGGATAAATTAACCTAAACACACTGGATATAATTAAAGCTAAACAAACTGGGAAGAAATCGACAACATGTCTGTTGGGGGGTAAAACTCCAGATCTAGCACTGCGTTATTTTTCCAGATATTAAGAGATTGAGACAATACAAGTTGTCCTCATGCCCCACCCATATTTATTAAATTACTGGATATCAATTTCATGATTTATTAGTCATTTTCTAACTTGTACACAGCCCCTTCCTAGGGGCATATAGTTATTTGAGTCAGGATTGGCTGTTTCTGTTAGTGGTTCCTGTCAACTGCATTAAGGATCTGCATCATGGAGGTTTGCTAACTATGGTGCTTATAGAGCCCCCTTCCCCTTTTAAAAATTTCTTGGTAGTCTTTACAACGAGAATGGTGTGCCTTCAAAGTGGCTGCATTGAGATGATCATATATTGGCTTACTGAAAGATGAGCATGAGTGTTAACCTGCTCATGCAGCCCCTTCATTCCTTCCTTAATAGCACACAGCAATCAAATGAAGAAGTCTCTCATTTACATTAGTTAATTGCTGGAAGTTGTTTTAAGATCCTGACTTATTCCAAAGCTAAAAACCTTGAACAATTCAGACAAAACAGGAAACTCTGGTTATATCAGGAGTTGCTGTTTGGATCACTACTTGTGCAGAGGGGCTCTGTGGGCTGGGAATGGTTTGTACATATCTTGGCTGTCCAGATATTATTGTTCAAATTAGATGAATGTTTCTCTTGCAGGAATAGTGTTGCTTTTGATATCTTGCATTACACATTGCTGTGATGCTTTCAGTAGTTTGGGTCTTGTAGTCCAACTCAACAGAATCTCAATATTAAGTTGTATCCTAAAGTGTGTGTGTACCACCAGGCTAGAAAATAGCCATTTGACTGACAATTAGGAATCTTTTATAGGCAATTAGATAGGAAATCTTTATTTGAATTGATCTTAGTAATGTGTAGCTTATAAGAAACAAGCATAGGTTTGTTTGGTCAATTGGGTATGTAAATTTTTGAATTTGTTTGCAAGGCTGAGAGACCCATTTCAGTACATTGGCATGGAGCAGAGTAGAACTAGAAGCCAAGTTATACAAGAGAGAACAGTCTTGGGAACCACAAATAACAACTAATACAAGATCAACAAAGTGTGTGAAATATTCCTACTGATGTCTGTTGGTCAATAGATTTTTTAAAAATTCCTCTTTTTTATGAGACAATTGCAGCTATCCTTTTGGAGTTTTAATCTAGTTTCTTCAGCAGTAGCATTCCTCTTGATCTCTGTTTCTGAAAGTAAACTTGTGTTCTGGCTCAAATGTTCTAAGGGATCAAAGAGGATGTTAGATGAATAAGTGACAGGTATGTTGAAATCTGTGAGTTTTGTATTTGGTTCAGGATTGCCCACATTATTGCTGTTTCATTTTTGATCTTTATCCTCCCTCCTAATTAAGTTTGATGCCTTTTCTAATGGCAGGCTGCCAAATATGATTGGATTGTCAAACTTAGAATGTGTTATTTATTGCATGAAATAGGCATATCTATGAAATCTTGTTTATGCGGCCTGTGGCAGAAGTACATAACTTTGTAAGAAACAAGACAATACTCTAAATGGTTACTGCATTTTTTGACATGAATTCATATGGACTTACTCAAAACTGACATATATTTAAGTACTATACTGTAATCCATCCATGAAAACATTACCATGTGAAAAAGTGGAAAATCTGTTGTCCACAAAGAATTTATCCTGGCCCCCAAAATATTTGTGTATATTAAATAAATATGAAGGTTGCAGAGGTTGTAGCCTCTTTGGGGGGGGTACTATGCATCAGCCGCTTGCAAATTTGGTGGAAATACCATATTTAATGGAAGGTTTAAAATGAATAGGACAATGCAGCCAAAGATCAGCATTTTTGTGCACCATTAATTGTTTTATTATCTTCCATAGAAACAAATTATCCCAAAAGGGTCTTAACTTCAGATTTTGTATCAGGTTACTACCCTGTAAAGACATGTAAACTAGCAAAAGACTTTCACAGTGCTGTGCCACCAGGTAACACAATTTCAGTCTAGTATGTTTGATATATTGAATCATGAAGACCTAGGCTGTAGTGTACTATAAGGAGGTCTTAGGGAGGGCTTGTGCAAAGACTTGCACAAGCAGAAGAAAATCTCTGGTTTTGGGATCTCTTTTCTGATGTATCATTCTTCTACTAGGTAAGAAATAGCCCTACTTTAAGGCTTCTACTACCAGAAGGGTCCCTTCTGATCCAAGCTAAATGCTCAACGTTATGTGGTTTTGATGGCAATCTCATTGACAAATTCATCTTCTTTATTAGAATAAGTAGAGGTTGATAAGTAGTAACATCTGACAATAAGATTTTTGGAGATGGTCTCCGAGCAAGCGAGCCCCCACCTCCCTGCTGGCACGGGCCGGATGGATGGCCATGGCGGGATGGATCTGTCCTGCTGACTGTAGTTTGAGGACCCATGCTTTATACTTTACTTTGTGAAGTACCATTTTTTGTGGTGTTCAAATATTCTTTAAAATTTAAAGACTCTGACATTTGTACACATCTTGTACACAAAAACATTGCCTGTTTACTTGTAACTTAATTATCATTGTTAATGTAATAAATTGTTCTGCTTTTATAATATCACTAGTCAGTACAAAGAGTGTTTTAAAGTACCAAGTCCTTGAGTTGAAGAAAAAGTAAAGAATAGAATAATTTTATTATTTAAACCAATGAATAATTGGAGATTACTTCCTAAATTATTTTATAGTAATTAGTCAGGACAGTTGGTACAAAGAAAGCATTATATATAAGCAGAAAATGGTAAAATTCAGGGGATAATAATGAATGCATCTGATTGATTATTCTTTGTTTCAGTGACAACACTTTGGTATTTTCAACCTTTCCCCCCAAAAAACAGGTGATTCTGGAGTCTGGGGCTTGAAAAAAAATTTTGCTTTGTTGGAGCTCCTGGAGAGATTGCAAAATGGCCTTGGTGGTCAGTGTGGGACAACTGAAGAGGCTATTGGCCTCTCTGGAGAGGTAGTAGTAACTAACTTTGCATCTCATTAGAAATATCATGTTCACTGTGGTGATGACTAGTCTTGTTTTAATACTTAAGTTTGATTGCCCTTCTCAGTTATGTAAAATAATTGTTTAACTGTGTCACCATTACAGCTGGTTGCAGTGTTAATACATTAAGATCATTGTGACTTAAAGCCAAACTGCATGTTCAGAAATATTAAGTCATACAGACCTTCCTGTACTGTATTACTCCATATTTTAGTTGTAGGGGAGAGTTTTTGTTTTTGAACGGTCCCTCATGTCAAACAGTTCCTGCACACAGAAAGAAAATCTATACATTTGGGAGAGAAGATTTGGCTTGAACTCCTCTCATCCTCTTAAGCTGTTAGCTTTCAGTAGCCAGTAAATTCCTGACATAGGAAGCTTTCACACAAAAGACCCCCTGCATATAATCTGAAGCAGAACAGTCCTCTTAGCTATGGAGGTGGACCTTAAATCAAGGATTATATATTTTGAAGAATAGTGTGTTAAAGTTTTAGAATAGGCACCCTTAATGTTTAATTTCATAAATTGGGCAATGACTGGGATAGTGTTGGAATTCCAGTCTGTAGCCAAGATAAACTTTTATAGCTACTACTAAAATCAGTTTTGATTGAGCACTTATTATGTTCTTAATGAGCACCAAACTTAAATGTTGAATTTCAGATGTGACGGTATAATGTATTTGCGTTTAAATTAATTTTTCCTATTTCTGTACATGTTTTGCCCTGATACCTGGTATGATGAATGGCAGTCTAAAATTATTTTAATAAATCAATAAAAAGGATGATAAAAGATGGCAACTGTGACAAGGGACTCTATTTATCAGCTGATATGCCAGCTATGGCCCTATTAGGAACTGTTTGATCTAGTCAAGATAACCTCTTCCTTAATTCTTTCTAAACTCTGTTACTGTAATGTGCTTTGTCTTGCGCTGCCTTTAAGACTAGCATGGAAACTCCAGTGCAGGTGCTACAACATTAATGGAGGCCAGGAAAAAAAACAGCACCAGCTTATTCTGATTACCATATCCAGGCTGATCTGAAAGTGCTGGTTATTATCTTTAAAGCCATAATAATTTGGAAGTAATATATTTAAATGACTGCCTATGTTTTAATCATCACCAGAGGCTCTGCCCATCCACTGTTTAAAACAGTGACTCCATTTCTGCTCTTGTTTTCTTTACACTTGTAGTGCAGACCCTAAAAAAAACTTAGAATTTTTATTCAAACTGGCTTTTCCTGAGTAAGTAGTTAAATATTCCACATTCAGTATCTTCAAGCTAGGCTTAATTCATACCATTTTTACAGTGCTGTTTTGTATATTAATATATGCTTGTGTCCATTCCCTTTAATATTTGTGTGTTGCTTTATAATGGTATTTTCCTGAGAAGTGAGAGGCTGGGTATGTATTTATTGAGTGAATAAATAAATGGAGTGTATGTTTGTTTCCTATTAGTGCATTATCCGTTGTGATGAAGATGAGACCCATCTTGCTTCTGTGTACTGCACTGTGTGTGCCACTCACCTCTGTGCAGAGTGTTCCCAACATACTCATTCTACAAAGACACTAGCAAAACACAGGCGTGTTCCACTTGCTGATAAACCTCATGAGAAGACCATGTGTTCTCAGCACCAGGTGCATGCTATTGAATTTGTGTGTCTGGAAGAAGGTTGTCAGGCCAGTCCTCTTATGTGTTGTGTCTGCAAAGAATATGGAAAGCATCAAGGCCATAAAGTAGGTTTTTCTCCACTCTTTATTCTACAAGTTACATCATTATTAATACATGACTATCTGTGTCTATATTTTATTTTATGTATTTTATTTATTTGATGATTTTTTTTGTATTTTATGTGTGATTTTATTATTGTAAGCTGCTCCGAGGCTCATGCGATGGGGTGGCATATAAGTTGTTTAAATAAATAAATAAATAAATAAATAAATTTCCTGTCAATTAATTATCAGCCTGTATTTCATTCTGTTTCCTGCTCTTTAGAGTGCTGCTTTACTAAAATAATTAACTGCATTACACTTTGGAAGACTGCCTTTCTTTCAAGCTGTTTACTGCAGGTCCATGATAGGACTACAATCCATGAATATATTTGTTGTTTATTCTGTAATCCCATTTAATTTTCTGTAGCATCTCAGAAATGTAACATCCTTGTATCTGAGTTCTTATTTCATACATCTGTCAGGGTCAGTGATGCTTCTTAATTTCACTTAGTGATATTAAACATATATTTTTTTAAATTATACCCCACCATTCTGAACTAATTGCTGTAACCAATGGTGTCATTCTACAAATTCAAATAGAATTAACATAGTTCTACTGAACCTTCCTGTTGTACGATTGGTTGTACACGTGATTATGAATTACATTTGCACAACTGTGCTTGTAGAAACGTAACTTTATTTGGATTCTCTGCTTGAGCATAGTTTAAAGCCTAGCTGTTGCTAGTACAACATCATTTGTACTAGCAGAATGACATAGTTGGATACTGCCCTAGATATCCAAGGCAGTAGCCAAATTCTCCCTTCAGTTCTCATAATAGGTGAGGGCACAGAGGTATAGGAGACCTTTGGGAAAATATTTCAAATTTATTTCTGATGCTTTCTTCTTAGCACAGTGTTTTGGAACCAGAAGCAAATCAGATCCGTGCTTCCATTTTAGACATGGCTCATTGTATAAGGACTTTCACAGAAGAAATATCAGATTATTCTCGGAAGCTTGTTGGTATTGTTCAACAGATAGAAGGAGGAGAACAGATAATTGAAGATGGTGTTGGAATGGCTCATACAGAACATGTAAGTGAACTTGCTTTACTCATTCTAACTGCAGTATTTACTTGCAGGAATATATAATAAATATATTATAAATTATATTTATATCCTGCCTTTTCCTTTCAAGGAAGTCAAGGCATACAAAATTGTTCTTATCTTCACAATCCTCAATAGATTGTGCTGGGAGTCTGTAACTGGCCCAAAGTTAGCACCATGGCTGAGCGGGGACTAGAACACAGATTGCCCAAGTCCCAGTCCCACACTCTTAAACACTACTCCACACTTGCTATAGTTATAACATCTGAAAAAAACTAAGCTTTAAAAAATCCTTTCTTTGGTGTTTTAAATGCAGGAATATCATATGTCGTGAAAACTTTTCAAGGTAACTTCTCATAGGTGAATTAATATCAACAACGACCTTCTACAAAGACTGGATAGAGCCAAGAAGTAAACCCAATTAACTCACTGGGGAGAAGCATGACATGCAGGAGATCCTGCAGTCACCAGGAGAACAGGCTTGCATATCTCCTTGGAGAAGCCAAGAATAGATTGAAGCCAGGCATGAGAGCAGAGCAATTTCATTTGCCATAATCCACTCCCTAACTTGTAACTTTTCCCCAAATGATTCAGCAACATCTCAAGAATGAATACTGTTATGTCTCGGGAGAGATGAATTATATGACCCAGCCAATAGAAAATCTGCTAACCAGCCAAATGCAATTTAAAGTCAGAATTGGGACAAATATAAAGAGGATAAATCTACTTTAGTCAGTCTGAAACAACTTAATAGCCTGTCTCTTTAATTTCATAAACCAGGTCCCCGGTACTGCAGAGAATGCTCGTTCATGTGTCCGAGCCTATTTTTCTGATCTTCATGAAACCCTCTGCCGCCAAGAAGAAATGGCACTTAGTGTGGTGGATGCCCATGTGCGAGAGAAATTGATCTGGCTTAGGCAACAGCAAGAAGACATGACTATCTTGTTGTCACAGGTTTCGACCGCTTGTCTTCACTGTGAAAAGACTTTACAGCAGGTAGGGGATATGTAACGCTGCTCAGCCACCAAATATGCTGCTGAAATTTTGCAGTGCAATTGCAACAAATACATGATTTTTGCAGTCATGAAAACAAGCCCATGTCTTATTGTAAATTAGAATTGTACTCTGTGGAGGATGGTTTTTAACAACAGAATCATAGCTTTTTGTTATTATACCACTGACTTTTAATGGGAAATTGAACTGGGAAAGGTGCATATGTGGTCTTTGGACAATGTATTGTCCACTCCTGCTTTAAATATTTATACAGGGAAATGATTCTTAATGAACTTTAAAACAACAATACCTTGTTCCATGTTGTGTCAAAAATGAAAGAAAAGAAAAACAGCAAAATGGTGTTAGCAGAACTTTATCCTCACTACTTTTTCCATTCAAGGCTTTGGCAACTCATCAAATTCCATTTCAAGTAACAAGACATTTTCCTGTGTTCTTTCTACTGAATGTAACAATCAGTTCATTGTTTCAATAAGTATATAATACTGCCATATCTTCCTTAAGGTCAGTTGTGAATAGTATATGAATTCGGTTGTTTGATTAATGCAGCAGAGATTTATATACATTTTAAATTTAGTTATATTAACTAAACTTAAACTAACTAAACTTTAGTTGAACTAAGTTTAACTTTTTTTGTATATGGAAGATCTTGTTCTGTTGGATTTTAAAATGGAAACTCATAGGTGATGCTATGTTTGTTGAATTAACCATGGCTGCTGCTGCTTCTTTTTAGGATGACTGCAGAGTTGTGTTGGCCAAGCAAGAAATTACAAGGCTTCTAGAAACACTTCAGAAACAGCAACAACAATTTACAGAGCTTGCAGACCACATACAACTTGATGCTAGCATTCCAGTTACATTTACAAAGGTATGAATCTTTCATATTTCAGCGGCTTCAACTCTGTGAGCATGAATCCTGATAGGTAAGACATTTGTACTTATTTTCTCTCCTTTCTCTTTCTCTGCAATGCACACATACAAATTGGCTTTAAATTTGGAAAACTTTAAAAGTAGTTTGTGACCTCATATAGGAAAGTGTTTGAGTGAGGGAAAAGCTCTGCTTTGTGCTTAAAGGTATCTGTTAGTTCACAATCCAGTGCTAACTGTCCAGCTAAATTTTTAAGGGTAAACTTGCAATGCAAGGAGCTGTCCTATCACACAGAAGGATTTCTTCCTTTTGTTTAATGTTCTGTCAAGTTATCCCAGATGGAACTGAGAATGTGGGGGCTGTTGCCTTCCACAACTCAAAATAGTCTTTAAGCTGTTTTTGGTATTCTTTTGATTGAACTAACCAGTGATGAAGACTATGCAGCTTCTGAATTGCAAAGATTTAACAGTTAGCATATTTGTTAGGTAACAGAATTTCTTTTACTAAACTATTTGGCATGTTATTTAAAAGGCAAAAATGGCAACAATTCCGGTATTGAATTGTGCAGTATCCCAAATCCCAAATAGAGTCAGTGTTACATAGTTCTTAAGAGCATGGAACTGGGACTTAGATCTGGGTTCTAGTCCCTGCTTGGCCATGGAACCAGCTGGGTGGCTTTGGGCCAGTCATAGACTCTCAACCCAACCTACCTTGCAGGGTTGTTGTTGTGGGGAAAAGACGGAAGAGAATAATGTAAACCACTTTGAGTTCTTTATAAAAGAAAAAGGCAGGATATAAATTTAAGAAAGTTAAAAATAAATTACCTGTTCAGATCAGTGAATATGTGAATCAGAACATTTTTATGCATTGTAGCTTAGTGGAGAACAATATCTATAAACAGTAGCTGGCACTGAGCAGCACAGTTGCCTGATATTCTGATACAGAATAGTGGAATGGATGTATCTCAAGCAGCAGTGTAAGATCTCTCACTTCCACAGGGTGAGGCAGCATAAGTAGTGCTATTAGCAGAAGGATCAAATTAATCATAATACCACTTGGAACTTACCTGAATTTGTTCTTACTCTTGTCTCAGGGCAGAAACAGCATCCTTTAAAATGAAATTTGGTTATCATAAATACAGTACTTTCTAAGAGTTCTAGAGCACTTTTGTACACCCAGACACTTCTGTACTTGACTAGGGATCACTCAACTTCTGTCTGCAACTCCTCAAAAATCTTTGCAACTGGAAAGTTGTGTAGTTGTTATTATCAGGCATTGGTTCAATCAAAAGAATACTGAAACAGCTTAAATGTTGCTATTAATTGTCTTATAAGGCTACTGCATGATTTTGGCACTTCATGAAACCTAAAACAGTAACTTGTACCCTAGAAATTAAAATGATTCATCACATCAGATTTTTCCTTGGCCACAAAACCTGGAGCTAAATAATGTTCTGTGGAAAACAACATCTTCAAAGCTCTATCTTTAAATCTTTCTGCTACAGGACAACAGGGTACACATTGGACCAAAAATGGAGATTCGAGTTGTAACCCTTGGATTAGATGGAGCTGGTAAAACTACAATTTTATTTAAGCTAAAGCAGGATGAATTCATGCAACCTATTCCAACCATAGGCAAGTAACAGTGATTTTGGAAACAGAGACCTTACATATAGAAGTTTTGTTAAGACTGTGTGATTGAGTGCCTTTCCCTCTTCCCCCTGCTTAGGTTTTAATGTTGAAACTGTAGAATATAAAAATCTGAAGTTCACCATTTGGGATGTAGGAGGTAAACACAAGCTAAGGCCTTTATGGAAACATTATTACCTCAACACACAAGGTAAGTGTGCTATATTTTGTAAACTTGACTTAGTGAAATATAAAATTGGTAATGAGAAACCAAATGTTTGTTCCAAGCCTGCAGTCCTATGGACATATGTCTCTGAAAGTAAGTTCCATTGAAATCTAAGGTGCTTGCATATTGTGTCATCTTGTTGTCTGAGTGATAGGCATAAATATGGCTCTATGCCACAATTATATATTATGAGATTGAAACAGGATCAGACCCAAAGTTCCTTACCGAAGGAACAATTTTCATTGGTTCCTCCATCCCCTTGCCACTCATTTACACTACTTCCCATGCTTATTCATTCCCCTCTGTAACAAATTGATGTGGGGGAGGGTCAAGGGAGCTGCTGTGTGGATGCAGATTCAGTGAAAATTGCCTTCTGACCCTTACCTGTGAAGTCCTTGGTCAAAGTTTCTGGAGCCACCTACTGTGGTTCTTATTTTTCTTGTAGTTTTGGATTCTGCTTCAAGCTGTTGCTAGTTTAGACATCTATGTGATGCAATTTGTAGAGAAAATGGTCTAATTATTAGTGTGTAATTTGGAAAATATGAACAATCCCTAGATGTTCAATTTAAGATTGAAATCTGATCTACAGAACAAGTTATGATACCATGCTATAGGATGACACCGTTACAAAATGTAGCTGCCTACTTGTTTTCTTCTTGCAGCTGTGGTGTTTGTTATTGACAGCAGCCACAGAGACAGGGTCAGTGAGGCGCACAGTGAACTTGCCAAACTGTTAACAGAGAAGGAGCTGCGGGATGCTTTGCTGCTGATCTTTGCCAATAAGCAGGTATGGTGGGCCCTTGTGACTCTTCTCCTCTCCCCATTACACTTTATTTTGCTAGCATGAAATGGGAGTAGGAAAGAAAATTAAAAATTTGTATTCAGTTTCCTTCCTGTCAAAACAGATCAGTTTAGTGATTTGTTTACTGGATTGCTATAGAATTCACTGTTGTTTATAGAATCTTAATGAAGGCTGGGTCCCCACTTCCACAGGAAGCCCTCTTTGTGAGGGAGATGGAAGGCTACATGGAAAGCATTCAGCTTGACCCTTTCCTTGACATAGCTAACTTCTCTCCCATTGATCCAATCAGAAGGTGGTCTGACAGGAGCAACAAACACTTGGTCTGGGCAGACAGAAAGGTGCTTTCCCTTTGGTACCTTCACTGACTATAAATAAAGCAGACCCTCCACTAAACTACAACTCGTACATGTGGACAAGGTGCTTGGACAAGTTCATGCAATCACCTCTGTGCTGGATTCTTGCCCCCCCTGGCTTATAAAAGACAGCAAGAAAGGAACAACCAGCTGGGTCAAGGAGGTGATTAATGCCTCCTAATGTAGACATGATAAGATCACTTCTGAAAACATCCTCCCTTGACCCAGAAGATCTGAATAACTTTAGGCTGGTAGCAGACATCCCTTTTCTAAGCAGGATTCTAGAGAGTGTGGTTGCTAAGGAACTCCAGGTGCTCTTGGATGAGCCTAATTATCTGTGCCTATTTCAGTTAGAGTTCAGGCCTGGTTTTGGCACAGAAACAGCCTTGGTTGTCCTGTAGGATGACCTATGCTTGGAGAGAGGTGGGGTGGGGGGGGGGGAGTGCTGGCCTGTCAATACTTCTGGACTTCTTGGCAGTTTTTGATACCATTGACTTTGATATCCTCCTGCAATGACTATCAGAGTTGGGAGTGGGGGACATTGCACTGCAGCAGTTCTGTTCCTACTTGGAGGGCCATGTCCAGAAGGTGGTGCTTGGGGAATCCTTTTCAGCCCTGTGGATTCTCAGGAGTCTGTTTTATCCCCCATGCTGTTCAACATATACATAAAACTGCTGAGTGGGGTCATCTGGAGTTGAGTACGTTGCCATCAGTATGCTGATGACATGCTGCTCTAGCTCTCTTTTCATCATCAGCAGGTGAGACTGTGGATGCACTAAACTGATGCTTGACTATGACAATGAACTGGATGAGGGCCAAAAATTGAAACTTAGCCCACACAAGACTGAGATGCTGTTGGTGGATGGTTCTTTTGACTGGATGAAGGGCATTCAACCTGTTCTTGATGGGGTTGCAGCCCCACTGAAGGAACAGGTTTGTAGTTTAGAGCTGTTCCTCGATCCATCAACATCACTTGAGCTTTGGGTGGCACCTTCTACCAGCTTCAGCTGGTAGCCCAGCTATGCCCCTATCTGAACAGGGATAGTGTGGCTTCAATAGTCTAAACTCTGGTAATCTCTAAACAAGATTATTCCAGTGCACGCTATGTGGGGCTGCCCTTGAAGATGGTTCAAAAGCTGCAGCTGGTGCAGGGTGCAGCAGCCAGATTAATAACCAGGACCCACAGTCATTAGGCCCTGCTCTTTGATGTCGCCCAGCCTGCCATCTTTATCCAGGGCTGTAAACCAGCTCCTGGGCCAAAAGTGGTTGCCTTTCCTGCTGTCTGCTATGCTTTGCTGCTGTAAGCCAAATCGTATAAAGTTGTGACCAGCATCTTCTTCAGTACATTGCTCTGTATTCCCTCCCAAATCTGCTAGCTGAACTCCCATCTTTTGACAGAAAGCTGTTCCGAGAATAATATTTACTCTGAAATTACTATCTGCACATTTAACAAGAGTATGATTCTTCTTTACAGGATGTAGCAGGAGCACTATCGGTAGAAGAAATCACAGAATTGCTGAGTCTCCACAAACTCTGTTGTGGCCGTAGCTGGTACATCCAAGGTTGTGATGCCCGGAGTGGCATGGGACTGTATGAAGGACTGGACTGGCTCTCAAGACACCTGGTAGCAGCAGGTGTATTGGATGTGGCTTAAGCTCCTGTTGAAATCCATTAAGCTTGAAGAGCGGTTAATTTATTTGTGCAACTTGAGATGGTCAAGCAAACTTCTAAATCTGTTTTTTCTAAAGAAAACAATGGTTTGGCTGGAATGGAAGGTGTGGTACAATGTGTATACCATTCCTGTAAAATACAGTAATTGAACAGAGTGGCATAGTGGATTTTCAGGAGAGGTTGAAGAAATGAAGATCTTCAACTACACTACTAAACAAACTAATTGATAACAGTACTTTTACAGGACTTTACATTATTTGACCTCTCTCTTTTGAGAGTTGGCCTTGTTGCATTCACTTTTTGAGATCTGACGTGGACACTGTGTGCACAGTTTCTTCACATTACCTGAAAGGTCACAACTCCTTTATTCTGGTTAATAGCTCTACTTCTTAAAAACAAAAGTCAGATTAAGTCACAACTTTGGATCCAGGCTATGAGCTCTTTAATGCTTTTCTGATGCTTTACCTCAACATTATTTTACACACAGCTTGTGTGAGGCTACCATCAAAAATTTATATAGACCACATGCTTCCCTGCTTATGTTAATAATTTATTCTTTATTTATAGAGGCTACCTTAAAACATTTATTGCCAATAAAGTAGACACACATTCATGTTAAGTATAGGAGAACTTAGGAACAATAATCAGATATTATAAATTTGAAAGCCTACTAGTTTTGAAATTGAGATTCTGTCAAGAATAGGACAGAAGACGTAATAAGTTATTTGTTTTAGCAATCTGTGTTATTTGACAGTCTGGCAGATTGTTCAATGATATCTTTCTCTTCTTATTCCTTCCTGTTATCTGTCTTTCCTGTGTACTTAACTGATGGTACATAGTTGCATAAATCTTCTTTTCATCCCAAGATCAGGCATGGTTTATCTTTATTCTTGATGGCAAATTAAGTAAAACCTTGGGAAGTATAACATCCCTATTTATTGAACATTGAAACAAATTTTCTCTCCTGTGTTATATTGGGTGCACTTTCATTTCTTAAGCATAGAGTGAGCAGTGCCTCAAATTTCGACCTTTACTTTTTTTTCCTGTACTGGATAAATTCTGGTATTAGTTTGTTTATGGAGAACTTCTGTAACAAGTTCTGTAGCAGTTCCCCTTGTTAAACTTGATCTGTTTAGTACTAGGTTTAGTAATCATATTTTGCAGTTCATATTTAACCTAGTTAACAATAGCATAATAAAACCAATTGTCAGCAGGCGGTTTTATCCTAGTGCTTTGATGACGTAGGACACAATACTTTGATGGGACATTTGAAAAAGAAGACTTTAATAATTTTCTGCAAATCTGTTGATAAAGATTCTGCAGAGCAGAGCTTTTAAATATTTTCTATTTTGTTATTTTGAGGAAGCATTCTATATTTTATACCATAATTGAATAAGAGGCCACAGTCTACTCTGCTGTTGTCACGGGTTCTGTCCTCTTAGGGGAAGATGGCTGGATGAGGCTGGCAAATCTACAATGCTATGGAGCACAGTTGTATGTTTGGGGGACAGATTCTCTTTCTTAGCAATATGATGTTCTTCAAAAATGGATAAACAGCTCCCCCATATTTTCCCTTAGAGAACAACATTAAGTCATTCATTAAACAATCCTTTGGAGTACCAGAATGTAAACTTGCCCTAAGCACCTCACTAATAAAAATGTTGAAGTTGATTGGTTACACATTGGAAGCCTGGGCCCTGATCATCAGGAATTCCATTTGTGCTGTTGCATGGGGTGTGGGAGGAGGAACAGCTTGAAACTAGAGACTGAGGCACAGAATGGGGACAGCAGGTAAAGAGCTCAACTTTGGAGGCTGGCATTCCTCTCTACATCTTGGTCGTAGAAGCATCCAAGAGTGCCTGCCCATGCCATTGTGGGCTTCAAACTTCAACTGTTCTCCTTATTACCCAGCAGGTGGGCTGGGGAGGGAATTGGCTAGCAATCAGGCTGCCCAGTGACTGAATCCATGCCATGCCAAATTATGTAAATTGTAACCAATACAAGTTGCTGCAATTTTATAATTCATGCCAGGCTAAGAGTATTTGCTGCCCTTTTTATCCTCCCTGTTTGTACTGCTGGCATAAAGCATGTCTAAAGAAACGCCTGTTCACTGCTGTTTGCTGCTGTGGACAAGCCCATGCTGTGTTCAGTGGGGCTTCCTCCTGGGTAATAGTGCAGAAGATTGGAGCCTTTGCTACCTTTCTGCTCCAACTTCTGAAATGTTCCATGTAAGTTGTTACAGAAAAATGTTATCAGTGTTGTATTTCTCAAAAAGGAGGTGAAAATGCCTCTGAAACTGAGCAGAACTGTGCAGTATCAAGCTCTGAACTGACTGAGCACCTTCAAACCCTTGTTGGTTTCACCTAATGGGCTAGAAAGGAATATTGCATAGAGTAAGTGATGAAGTGATGAAACTTACTAGAACCAAAATTATACTACCTATTTGAGGTATGATCTTCAGGGCACAATTCCTTCCATGTTGGCTGTTCTAGGCAAATGGAATAGTTTTGCATTTCACAGCTATTCTCATTTCAACTGAAATCTTGGTTACTAAATCCTACTTTGATACAGTGAATGCCTATAGCTGTCCAAAAAACAAAACCCACAAAACTTGGAGATTACTTACTTGCAGCAACTTTTCTTCAACTGATAACATGCTCAAAATAAACTACAAGGTTAGACTTAATGATTTTGGTTGAAAAGTCAGTGTTTGAAATAATCTTGAAGGCTTTCTGTTATATTTCAGTGAAACCAGACTTCAGCTTCTAGGTTTTTATTTTTAACACTATTGAAATGCATGACACCACTTGATACACAGCAGTTGGAAAAGCTGAATGTGAATCGTTAGTTCTTCCATGTCTTTCACTGCTGTAGTTCTACTGTTTTGAGGCTTTGCTCCTTGCAAAGCACTGAGTGTTGATTTTAGGATGTTGTGGAGAAATACTTGTTTCTGGAAAACCTGTTTTTAATACTGATAAAAACCAAGCTTTGCTACAAATGTAGTGTGCTTGCATAAAAGTATTATTTAACTAAACTCTATTCAAGTGACTGTGAAGTATTGCGGTTGTCGTCTCAATTCAAGTATTACCAAATACTCTAAGCAACTTGTTTGTATATAACTACTTCAGCTATACACTTAAGCTTGTTTCATATATTGTTGAGCTTTAATTCAGTTTCGTGTACTGATGTGTACCAGTTTTTTAAAATGTCTCATTCCAAGGAGATTTTTTTTAAATATAAGCTGTTTTAAAAGCAGACTATATTTGAATAAAGACTTCTTTGTAAAATAGTTGGGTCATAGAGTCTAGTTTAACTGTGAAACTAAAATGCAACAGTAACTGTAAAGAAAGATAACATCTTGCTGTAAAAGTAACATCATAATATATTGAGCTTCATTACTTGACACATTCTAACTTTTAACTGTGTGTTATGAATTATTTTCTAATTCTGGATCAGGATGGATGAAAGGATGGAGGTGAGTTGATTGCTCCAAGATGTCAATGTTTTGAAACTACACTAGTTGTAAAACAGCTCTCAAAAAAGAACAGCATTTGGTTTAACAATCATGTTCATGCAGTTTCAAAATGTCATTGGATGCTTAAATAAAAATTCTTTAACCCAAAGTTTGAATGGCTTCTCCTTTCTGATGAAGCTGATTTTTGCCATCTGCTTGTTTGCTTGTCCATTTGTTCTTTTTCAAGATGATATTTGATGGTTCCAGTATTGCTAGAGTATTAACAGATCCTACCAGTTGACTGATATATTTTTACTGCAGTGAGAAGGAAAATACTCCCACTGCAGTGACTGAGATATATGCATGCATGCTACAGTTTTATACACAGACAGCATTGCACTACATGAGCAATCTTGTTCTGAGATGTGCAAAATAGGTGGGCGGGGCTCACATCTTGCCATAGTTCTTTTTCTACATTGCCTCCTAACTTCTACAGCTATCAACTGATCTTATTCTATTTTTTCAGCATTCTTTTTAAACTATGGCACACAGAATCAAAGCATTTTCTTTACTATGAAAATAGAAATATAAAAATTGCAAAGATGCAAATACAAAAATTTTGGAAACTGCTAAGCACATGCACAAGTTGGGATGGGCCACATTGTAACATATGATTAGCTTTGTAATATTGATTGAATATACATGTAATACAAATCTTTGTATTTCAATGATAACAATACATACCAAATCTTAATTTGCTAGTCACTGGATTCTCACTTTTTGGTAATTAACATTTGATCTCCTGCCAACAGGTTTTCCACCAAGCATACACATGAATTACACAATTGTCGGATTATGTGAATTTTCTAGTATATTTTTTACCACTTTGTCAACAATGTTGGGAGAATATCACATAATGCTCATGAAGTCAACATGTGCGTATATGCATTGTGACCTCCTGTGACCACCTCCATGCAGATTTTTTAAACCACTTTAAAACCTGTTGGTTGACAGATCTTGGAAGTGTGTACCTAATATCAATTTCAAGTAGAGCTATCTTGAGTGTAGCTCATTAAGTAGAATTAGCAGAAAAGACATGCTCTAGGAGCCTTCAGACTAGGTCTATATTGCTTTATCACCAACTGGTTTCAAGTTTTAAAGGGGTAATGCGATCAGGGAAAGGTACTGTAAAAGATTTGATAGATTTTGAAAAGTTGATTGCATAACATGATCGTTTATTAGGAAGACTTACAGTTACTACAGCATGACTCTGAAAATCAAGACAAGAAATGTGTGACAATTTGGAAGCAAAATCTTGGAAAAGAAGTATCACCTTGTCCAGGGGTTCTCAAACTTTTTCACCAGGGGGCCAGTTGAAAGGTGCCAGTGCTGGGTGCAGGCCAGAAAGGTGGTGCCGGCAGTGTGCGCGGGCCAGTGAGGGGGTGGGGTGTGGGCACGCACACGGAGATGAGGCGAGGCGGGGGCGGGCACGCACGAGGAAGTGGCTTGCTCGCTTGGAGATCGTTTTCTCCAAGCAAGCAAACCGCTGCCTGCCATGTGCAGGGCAAGGTAGGTGGTGGCGTGCGTGCGCATGTGGAGGGTCCAAATGGGTATGGCGAGCCGAATCCAGCCCCTGGGCCATAGTTTGAGCACCCATGACCTTGTCAATGAGAAACTGTATGGAAGAAATTAAATTCACAACTAGCCAAGCACTGAGAGAAAATTGGTATGTTTTGTTGGTATGATACGCCAAAAGATACAGACAAAAAAGAACTATAATGGAAAATGTAGGATGGAACTTTCTACTATATGGGGTGGACTTGTGAAACAATTAAAAGATTTTGGAAATTGGTACGTGCAGAAATACAAAAAAACCCCTTTAAAACTAAGTTTCCTATGAGTCATAAAAACGTGCTTTTGAATATAATGCCAGAGACATTTTTCAAAGAATATGTCAGAGTTGTAAGTTATTTAAATATATGACAATTGCCTCTAAATGGAAAATACCAGAATCCCTGACAACTGAAGATTGGAAAAGTAAGTTGGCAGGATGTAAAATGGCAAAATTAGCTAATTATGTAACTAGAAGACCAATTGAAGAATTTAATGACAAATGGAACTTCTATTATACCCAGTACAAATAATGGGATGTAAAAGAAAGCTCTTTAAAAAGTAGGCAATCTATAATTGATTTGAAACAACTGGAAAATATGCTGGTATGCAGAATAATTCCCTTTTTTCTGAACTTCCATATTGTGCTGAATGATAGATATTTTTGGTCTCTTTGAAATTTGCAGGCTTGGATGTGTAGGTTGTACTTGTTCAAAATCTCTTCAGTTTTATTTTACTTTTTCAAATATAAATGCTTTTCTTTTTCTGTATTCTGTTTGTGTCAAGAAAATATTTTTAAAAGAACTAGCTCTACATCAAAATGTCCTATAATTTCATTTTGCTGGTATCAACAAAATACGGACTATTTTGTTTAGAATGAAACAAACATTTTGTTTAGAATTCTGTTTCATTATAGAATGAAAGAATATAATAGAATATTTAGAATATTTCTTCTGTTTCAGTAATATTGGTAACTTCTAAATTTTTTTTCTTTTGAATTTGGGGTATGATCAAATGTATTTTAGTTTTTAACATTAAGATAAACATTTCATAGATGTTTCATAATGCAGCTGACAGAGAACTTCTGTTGGAGCTTTACCAGTTTTGAGAATCAGTCATTAATATCTATTTACAGAGGTTGCTTTTTAAACTATATGCTGCAGTATGTAAGTAGTTCAAACTGTCTAGGAAATAAAGCATTTTTTGAAAGACCTGTAATGTAGCATAGTCATGGGATCCTGGTGTCCTCTTTAATTAAAGCCTCTTTTTTCAATATTCTGAGATGGGAATGCCTATCTTTGAATGGCTGAATATTTGGAAGTTCTGCATGTTTCATGTAAATAGAAAACTGACCATGAACAAGGCATGCAGCATAACTTCTGATACATAATGCATCTTAAGTTGTATTAACTCAGGGATGGGAAACCCCTGGCTTACAGAGGTTTCCCATCCAACCCATAGACACTTTGGCTTCTTACCCTGGCCTGGAAGCTACCAATTAAGCAGTAGGCATCCCCTTATTTCCACCTGTAAGGATATTCACCTTACTTTGCATGCTGCTCCTGCATATGGAATTAGGAAGAATGAAGCCAGTAGACTGTGACTAGCAGATGGTGTCTCTGGACCACTCAACAGGCGTGGTTAGTGAGAAAATATATGTTTGGTGATGTTTTAAGAACTTGCTGTTTTAAGAAACATTTTTCTAAATTAACCACTTATAAATATTTCCTAAGCCCTTGGGAATGCTGCTGCTGTTTCTTAGCGACACTATTTTGTAGGATAACAAGCTGAAAGCCACATATTATACTGGGACATGGAGACAATTCTGCTAAAGTGCTTAAATTAGAAAGCAATGAATGCACGTACCTTATATGAGGAATGCAATGCCTCTTTCTGTCCAAAGGCCAAATTCTATTTCATTAGATACATTAGCAGGGCACATTCTGATGGTGAGGAGGATGAAGGCAAAAGGGGTAACTCTACCCCAAACTAGTAACAGCATATTTTACGTTACCAGCTTTACTGTCAGTAACTAAGCAGTGGAAGAGTCATCTTAAACTTTTAGGACTGGGAAAAGTATACAAAAGCAAGGAAGTTACCAAATGATTGCTGGCCTGGGAAAATGGAATGTGGACTTCTGGGAAGCCCCAGAAGACCTTATCTAGCCTCCATCCCTGTGGTTCTGCATCCCTACCAAAAACGGAGAAGCACAAAATAAATTCTAAGACATTTGGCTTTTATTTTTATTACAAAAAATACAAATAGTTTAGAATATCACAGTCACATGATAACTGGAAAGGCTGGTATCTGCTCCAATGCTTATTATAGCAGAAATATTAGTAGACATGGTATTCCTTATACTTGGAAGTCCTTCTACCAGGCATTTTCTTATAAATCTTGTTTCACTTCACTGTGATATTAATAATGCTGACATCTTCATAGGGCTTGTCAGTTTTTGGATTTACTTTCACATTTGAAATTCTCTGAACCACTTCCATCCCTTTAGACACTCTTCCAAACACACTGTGCTTGTTATCCAGCCATGGCTGTATACAGTCATATGAAATTGGCAGAGTAAAAGAAAGAGAAAAGCATTGTTAACACAAGTTATGGTAGCTACAGAGTAGTAATGTAAGCCATCAAATGTGGAAACTACAAAGACTACACAGGCCTTTCCCTGTTTGATGTCTCTGGAGGTGCTGGACTGTGATGTTGGCTAAGAATGATGGGAGTTGCAGTCCAGAACCTCTGGAAAACATCAAGTTGGAGTAGGCTCGACTACACTCTATTAAATGGAATGCTTCTTTCCTTACTGTCTTCTCCATTCCATCCAAGACCATCCTGGACAGAAGCAGGCTGCTGAAAACATACCTGTACTCAGCAAGTGCTACCTACCAGCTTTTGCGGGCTGTGAAGCCAGAGCAATATGCACTAGGCCGACAACAGAACTGCCAATCATCTGACGGGGGAGAACAAAGCCCTCCCACCCTCTCCACAGACAGATGATTGGTGCTATTTATCTTTAAAAAATTGTACCCCACTTTTTTGTTTGCTGGTTTCCAGGGCAGTTGAATACAAAGCAATTAACCCAGTCCTGGATATAAAATGTGAAAAAAAATGATTTGACTCGGGCTCCTTTGCCCAGCACCAATCTTCTACTGGGCCTTGCAGCCCAGGAAATGTTAGTGCTGTTTCCATCTGTGAGCACAAATGGATAGACCATTGATTGAGATCAGACCCACACAATTTTTTGTCCTTAGGCTTTTAGTATGCAAACTTTGCATGCTCACAACAAATGTGAAAGGGACATTGCTTAATGTAATCAGAGGTTTCTGTCTAACTTTGGATGGAGACCGGGCGCTCTATGCCAAGCCTGCATATCCTCTGCGCCATTAAATGGTGCTGGTGATAGAGCTGAGGCTGGACCATGCAACATGGCAGAGGCACTTACAGCCATAACTGGCTCGAAGTGCAGCACTGCACAACATAAAGCCAAGAGGCTAACTGGAGCCTCCTGAAAAGCCTTTCAGGTAAGAGCACATCTCTGAACCTGCATTAAGTTTCAGAAGTGCACGGATGTCCTCCAGACAGAAGCCGAGTGAGACCTCCACTGATGCAACTGTGCCTGTCAGCCAAATGGAGAGGGGAGCAATTCCTTTTGTGCCAGCCACACCCCCACAAAATCACCTCTCGAGCACCAGGGGCCCTCCAGGGTAGATTGGAGCACACACTACAAGAAGAGAAAGTCCTGCTCACACAAGGCTGGATTCTGCCTTTAGACTTCTTCCTGCTGCAGCAAACCATCTAAGCTCCGAGTTCCTTCTCAGAGCAATTGGGCTGTGCACCCTGTCCCATGCAGTGATCATCTCAGCAAGTGCCAAGGGATGTCTGATTTCGGCTTAATGCTCAGTCCCATCATCACCTGGCAGACTCAACCCTTCCAATCCAGCTCTGAAACATTAATGCCTCAAAGCACCTTTCTGGTCACAGAGCATCAATTCTTTTCCCATCATGACTTTTGACAGTTGCTGTGCTACTTACTGTTGGTACTACTGTCACAAAGAACTGTGAGCCATTAGTGTTTGGTCCTGCATTAGCCATACTAAGTGTGTAGGGCCTATCATGTCGTAAAGTTGAGTGGAACTCATCCTCAAATTCTCCTCCCCAGATGCTTTCACCTCCCATTCCAGTGCCAGTTGGATCACCAGTCTGAATCATGAAGCCCTGCATGGGAAATAAAAGTCATACCCTTTTATTATCAGAAATGAATGCAAGCAATGTTGTTTCTCAACAAGTACAATGATCAAAATCTCTACCATATATCCCTTTAAATTGTACTCTTTTTCTAAAGTCTACAAGCTTTGGACTTGCTTTTAAGAAGATAACCTCCTGATCATCCTTGTTGCCCTTTTCAAGCTCTATGTCATCCTTGCCGAGATGAAGAAACCAGAAATGTACAGATTAGTCCATATGTAGATGCTTGGTTAATTAAAACCATTTTTTTGCCATTTAATGAAAAATTATTGCAAGTAGAGCAACTTATTTTTGTCTGATTCTCCATCCCCTCCCCAATATTCATGCTTTTTATTTAATCATCATCCCTGGCATTTTGCTAGCAAATTAACATATTTAATTCTGATAGGTTTGGGGAAGTTACAAGATGTCTAACTCACTGTGCACTGGCATTCCCGGATGGCTAGTGAAGTAGAAGCAATGCACCGGTGCTTTTAGTAGACAAACGTGGTTTTGTTGGTAATGGCCGCTACAGCAAAGTCTTTTGTTGCAGCAGCTACTGTATCCCAATAAGTGATACACTATGGTTACAGCTAGGATCTACTTTAAGCAATGCAAATCCCTAGGAAGGTCTTACGTATGGGATGGGGCACAGTTCAGTAACGCAGCATATGCTTTGATCCCAGGCAATGGTCTGACTCAGTAAAGGGCAGCTCCCTAAGTTCTTGAGGAGCATGCATGAAGCAGGGGGGGAAATCCAATAAATAAATAAGGCATTCTAGGACCAGCAAGTCAAATATTCGAAAATCGCAATTTACATAAATGATATTAAACTCAACAAGACAGTATAATGGAACTCAGAACAGGAACATCTACGAAAAAGGTTTATGAGTCACCAGTTACCTTTATGATCCGGTGAAAGGTATGGCCATTGTAATATCCATTCCTACTGTGTACACAGAAATTCTCTACTGTTTTGGGGCACCTGCAATCAGTTGGGATTCTGTGTTATTACAATGTCTTGACAACTGTGCTATACAGCAAAATGGTATGCATGTGCAGACAGAAAAAAGTGTCATGTTTTGTATTAGACATAAGAACAGGCCAGCTTTCTGTTCCCAGTCAAGTGCCCAGGGGAAACCCACAAGCAACACAAATGAAATAGGACTCTCCCACTTATGTTCCTCAGCAACTGGAAGCATCACATAGCTGTAACACTCAGTGGTGACTGATAGCTTTGTATCCAGGAATTTGTCTAATCCTGATCTAAAGAAGGTAAGCACCTTGTGCCAACAACTTCCACAGTTTAGCTATCTACTGTGTGACCTTTCATCTGCCAGCTTCACTGGATGAATTTATGAGAGTACAATCCACTTTCTTCACACCATTTATTTTCTAAGCTAAAAAGTCCCAAATGTTTTCTCTGGTAGGGGTTACCACCGCCCCGCGATCATTGTGATTACAACACATCTGCAACATTTTCAGCTGTACAAATATCCTTCTTGAGATGCAGTAAAGAGAACCATACATATTATGCCAAGTGTGGTTGCACCACAGGTTTGTATAAAGGTTATGATATTGACCTTATGAGTTTCTGTGTTTTTCATGATGATCCTGAATGTTTGCTTTCATTGAGCTACCCACCACAGCCCCAAGACCCTTTCTTTGGTCACTTGCTCCACCTCAAACTTCATCGGTACGTAGTTGGATTTTGGGCTTTTTTTTTTTTTTTTTTTTGGTGGTGATTTGCATCACCTTCTATTTGCTTACTTTGAACCATATTTACCATTGTACTGCCCATCCTTCTCCCCATCTTCAGGCATCCCTCTGGGGCTCTTTGTTATCCCTCTTTATTCTCAACACTCAAATAATTTGGTGTCATCACCAAATGAGTAATTACTACTCATTCCTGACTTCATGTTATCAATATATGAAGAGATCCTTGGGGAACCCTACATTCCTGCTCCACTTCCAGTTTTTTAAACAATTACTGATCTCATTTCTGCTAAGTTGGTCTTTCCCTTTGTCAGAGATGACTTGAAAGTACAAGTAAACAATATCTACCAGGACAGTTCTATCCACATGCTTGTTGTCACTATGAAATAACTCTTTTTTAAAAAAAATATTGCTGAAAATTGATTTCCCCTATTAGAAGCTATGCTGGTTCTTATTTAGCAAGAATTACCCTTCTATATGCTTGTGGCTTTTTCTTAATGCTTACCATCAAAATACCCAGAATGTTAATCTAATCTGCCTATAATCTCCTTTGTTGTTCTGTGCTGTCATCACTGATTTATGGCTACCCTATGAATGAAACCTCTCCAAAATGTCTTGTCCTTGACAATCCCACTCAGCTCTTTTAAGTTCAAGGCTGTGGGATTCCCCCCCCCAAAAAACCCCTATTTTCCAGCCCTCAGGAAGAGGAATCTTGACTACATAGACAGATCAGCAATTTCACATTTCAGTTCTTAAGGATTTACTGGATGAATACTACTGGATGAAATGAAACAAACATTTCACGTGGTTTTTGTTCATCACCTGGAACTTCATCACCTCATTAAGCTCAACTCGTCAGACTGAAAATATCAGTTCAAGCATTCCTATCTTTTCTTCAAGATGCTACACTGTAATTAATGGGTAAATCTCCTAGAAGAGCATCCTATAGGAACACAGCTCTAGGTTCACTATATAATAATCATTGTATCTGTTTAAATTAAGAAACAGAAATCTGCCTTCATCATCCTGCACTGGGGAAAAATGTATACAAGAGCATGTGTACCTCAGCTGGAAAGAGATGCAATGACAGCTTCCTTAGTTTTTATTGTGTATCTTAATACAAAAGAACATGCTACTCCAGGCAGACAATGGCAATAGAGATGAGGGAATGGAGCAAAAGCAAACAAGAGGAATAGGTGGAGACCTATCAGTTATCTCAGTGCATGGCCCATTTGTTCTAGACAATGAATGGTCGAAGGTGTTTTTGTCCCCATCCAAATATAATAAAATGGAAAAATACTCATATACATACTCAACAGGAAAGAGCTTGACATGAATATCTCCCATGCTTGTATGGATAATGGCACTATCAGAAACTCGTTTGGGCCCTTCAGCTTGAGTGGCCGCCATGACTTCTTCTTTAGATGGTTTCTCATTAAATACATCTCTGTCAGAATCTGCACTTTTGGTGTCTTCTGGTTCACGTTTGGTAAACTGAAGGACAAGACAGTAGCATCCTTGTTTCTCTTGTACCGTTAAGACTCACATGGAAGATATCCAGAGAACATATACTGCAGCCCCTATAACATGCTGTAGACTCTGTACCATATTCACAGGCCCTGTCCGACAACTTATATAGTTGCTGCTTGCCATCTTTATAGCTTTCTTCTGCATTTGCAGTTGTGCCCTGCAACTTAACTTAGTATTTTAATGCTTGAATCAGCATGCTGCTCTTGCTCATGACCCTGGTCTTGAAAATGATGTTTCCCAGGAACAGGTTCTAAGTTGACTATGGAAAAGATCTTGATATCATAATAGACTTCCTGAAAATATCAGTTGGGTGTAGTACCAGCAAATATATCTATATATAAGCATTTAAATTATTAGCAAGAAGACTAAAAATTAAATAGCAAGTACATGATGCTATATATAAATCTGTGGTGTACCCACATGCAAAATGATGGTTGCCTCATCTCAAAAGGGATATGATGGAAAATACAGGTACAAAAATCAGACAAACAAGCAATCAAGGGTAGAAATGAAACCTTTTTTCTTATGAAGAAAGGCTTAAGACATTGTGAAACTTGAATTTGGGAAAAGTGGAAAGCAATCAAGTAGGACCTAATAAAGCAGTATAACCTTTAATTATACTAGGACTAAGAGATTGGAGCGAGTATTGGGCCAGCTCATTATCTTTAAAAAGCCATTCAGTTGTTTAGATGACAACGTTTTGTGAAACTACTGCAGTGCTGTTACCATTAAATGGAGTTCTCACAAGAACATAATCACCTGGATTTGATAGAAGGAAGACCAAATAGATGTATGTACAAAAATGCATATTAGAATTGGGATAATGTTGTGAGATGAAATTTCAAAGGCAAAACAGAAATAAGCAAACTATCCAGGGCATTCAATTTGAAAGAACAACCATACCATATAAAATCGATTCTTTTTAAAGGCAGTACAGATTATAGTTGGATCTGCTTGGATGTTCTGGAGAACAGGATTATCAGACGCTTTCATCTCTACAGTAATAGCAGCACGATGTTTCTTTGCTACACCCTGGAACAGAGCCAACTGCATAACTCTGATGTTTTCTTGTTTGCCGAGGATTCTAACACATCTACATATAGGAAATAAAAATCCGCAACCTCCTTAATTAAATTTCAAGGTCATCATTCCATCCACTGCTCTTGAATCAACAACATTTGCAACAATATTTTGGAACATCCTAAGTTCATTTGGTTTCTTAAAGTATAATATCCTCACAAATCTTCTATGAATTTTAGCAGGATGATAGCAATGAAACTTGTCTCACTCTGCATTCTGGAAGTTTTATCATTTACATGAAGAGTGGAAGATAAAGTTTCAGATTGGATTAATTCAGAACTAGCTAGAGAACTCAATAAATGGCCCTGTTCTCAAGACAGCATAAAAATAACAATTTATGTATACATCTATGCATATCAGAAACTAGTTGCAAAGAATCAGTTTTCATCTTCTCGGCCCTACATGGCAAGTTACTGGCAATGCTTGTATAGGATGTTGAATCCTTTTATCATGTAAAGAACACCACATTAAGTGCATAGTCTCCTTCCAGCATCAATCCAGAATGGGTGACACTGGGCATGGAATCTCCACATGGTTGGGATGCTCCACATGCTAAGTACTGTACAAATGTCACAGAACCTTTGGAAAGGTACTAACAACCTGACAGGATTTTTAGTCATTTCCCATGCAGAGGCCTGTAATGTTTGTCTATGGCAGTGATGACCACACTCTTTACTCTGAGACTTTTAATATCAAGGTAGTGTTCTGAAGGCTCAGTGTAGTTTCCTGCACAACCAAACTTTCTTATATACTAATAGGTGATTTGTTTTCTGAATGTGAATTCTAATGTATCCAAACTGGTGCTATCCATATTGAAGTCCAAAATTGGCAGAAGTAATAAATAACTAAATAAATCAAAAAGCCAGCAAGCTGTCAGTTTATTGCACTAGGATTAGTGATACAGATGTTGAAACACCCATTGCGCAGCATAAATTTAGCAGAATTGGGACTATCACATTGTTGCAGGTCTGTGGCTGTGTTCATGTAGCACAAAAAGCAAAAATTCTGAAGACTGATCTGATAATGAACGATCTGATGCACACATTCCATTCACTTCCACTTTGCTCCTCCTCACTAAACAAGCCAAGACATTTTCTTAACACGTTGTCTGAATTGAGGTTTCTGGCTTGTCATTCTTTGGCCAGGACAGAATTGCAAGACAGGAATGTTCCTGGCTTACTATTCCTGGATTTGTTATGAGTGACAAGCCAGGAATTCTGTTTTGGATTATCAGACTAAACAAACTATTCCTAGTTTCGGAGCAAAATAGGTATCAGCATGCCAGACATTTCTGTCTTAACATAAATAAGGTGTGCGTTGGTGTAGTCATTTACCTAACAGAGTTGCATGCATTTGTCTGATCAACTGTTACCAACACATAAAGGAATAATCCTCCCCAAAAGTACAATGTTCCAAAAGCTAATAAAAATGGTAAACATTCTAGTAGATCAATTTCTATTAATCGTATACATGATGAAATAGATTACATTTCTGATGTACAAACTTGAAGGAAGTAAAAAGGAACCTCACAGGAATGCTGAGGTTACTATCTTCAAAATTTCTAAGCAAAATCCCTAACCAATATTGGTATAGCTACTTTACTGTAATAATAAAAGCAATACTTACCGGTTTGTTTCCACATTTATGACCTTAATTCCCAACATTGTCCCATAGAGCACAAAGTGTCCAGTTTCATCGAAAATGATATTAATTAATCTTACAGCATCAACTTTCTCAAGCTCCCGCTCCACAGCCATACGCCGGCCAAATTCCATATCTGGCAGTTGTTGTCTCATCTGCTGTAGCTCAGTAAACATCTAAAAACACAGCACACTTACCTATGAGTGTAACTTGTCTTGGACTTAATATATCTATACCTAAAGAAGAAATCACAGTTCCGACAGTAGCCCTATTGGTTTAAATTCAGTACTTGTGAGTACAAAAGGACTCCAGGCTAATGTGCTAAAAATGCTTATGTTCCTAGAGGATAAACAGCTATCTGGCAGGGATGCTGTAGATGCAGTCTCCATGGTATATTCTACATTGAGCTAAGGGTTAGAACATATGAATTCCAAGGTCACTTCCAACTATGGTTCTATGATTAACACAATATAATTTTTTCTCTGATCAGGGAATATAACAGGGGTAGCCATTTTAATCAGAATCATTACCATAATGCACACTTTTACTATGCTCACTTTTGAGGAGCATAAGTATTATTATTATTATTATTATTATTATTATTATGGCTGAATATATAGTAATAACTTACTGCACTGGAAATTTTTAATGTATCTGGCTCAGGCTTAATACATTGATAAATATGAACTGATACTGTGTTTTAATAATTGTTATTTCCTATCTTGTAAGGAATGCTAAATGTTGGAATGTTACTACTACTGAAATAAATTGTTTGGAATGCTATGACATTTTGAAATGCAATACTCAGCCAGTTATTGCAATGATATATTGAAAGAGAATCTTGTTTGTGAGCTACTGTTATTGTGACAGCATAAAAATTAATATAATCATAATGTAATGATGCTGATTAAAATCTATCAGATACTGCAATCTAAATATGAAAGCGAGAAAAAGAACTTTTAAGGATAAGTTCTTGTATATATGCCTGCAGAAAATACCAGTTTTGAGAGAATTAAAGATCAGTATCTGTTCTGAAAAGTAAATAAGTATGTAAAAAATTAAACTTACACTCAGGGATTCATCAAAGACCCTCATAAGCTTCCCTGTTAAGAATCTGAAAATTCGGACTTTTCTGTCAGAACCAATAGTAGCTATTTTTTTGCCATCAGATGAGAAACACATACTGGTTAGGCATGCTTTACATTTAGCAAATTCATACAAATCAGTGTCTGTTTTATATTCCCAGTTCACATTTTTGGGAAATTTGTATTCATGAGAAGGCCCAGTCCAGTATTCAATCATCCCAGATTTATCAGAAGATACAATGACTTTATAGACTGGGTTTAGTCGTATCTGAGTAAGAGGGGATGTATGGAGTTTATCGAAAATATGAAGTGGTTGATTATTTCCTCGACCATCATATATGAATATTTTTCCAGTACTCTTCTCAGAGGCTGCAACTGAAGATATAGCATCTCCAGGGCAGTACACCCATTCACACTGGCCTGGGTGATACCTATAAATAAAATAGAACAATCATAACAGCATGATTTTAGGTTTAAATCATGTCAATACTCCAAACACATAAAAAGACAAGTGATAATCAAAATGTACATAACAAAGAATATTATATAGCTGCTTTAGTTCAGGGGTACAGAACTTTCAGTCTGAGGGCCTATTTCCATTTGAAAATATCTCTCAGGGGACACATTCCAGTGCATGGCTAAAGGCAAAAGAGGCAGAGTCTCTTTTTCTCATTGCCAGTAACTATGTCTCATAAGATGCCTTTCAACCTTTTACAAGAGGGAAAAGTTTGCACATGATTTAGGAACCCAGCAAAGAACTGGTGGCTGGGGGAAAGGGCTGTGACCTTCTGTGGAACCCTAAAGGGTTGAACTAGAACTGAAGAAGACAGGGCTGAAGTTCTATGCCCCTGCTTTAGTTTATTGATCTTTAAATCAGAAACCACAGATTAATTGTACTATGATCCAGTTAAATCACTACTATTTTGCTCTGTTATAGTGTTTCATTCATAAAATGTGAGACAGAAATGGCAAGACACAGACTCTTTCTTTCAGACACACACTGTAATAAGGAGCTTGCCTCCTCCCTCTTACACACAGTGACAGAAAAAGCACACATGGAATTTCAGCTATTTTAATGCAGACAGCTCTAGATATGAACCCCTTTTCATTCAAGAGTCCCCCTATACTGAAGTATCAAGGAACAACTCTGTGTGAACAACTCTGAAGCATTTGTAGGGTTCACCGGCTGGGAAGGGGACTTTGCCCTCCCAGATGTTGGACTACAACTTTAATCGCACCAATCATTGGCCATACTGTCTGGTTTGATGGGAGGTACAAACTTAATACCCCTGCAATGTAATTGTTATTTATGAAAAATGCCTCATCTTAAGGGACCCAAGTGCAATTTTAAATGAAGTAACAGTTTCTCTTTATACATTTCTGATATATTTCCTCCTTGCATTTCACAATCATGTGCAATATAGTATATTTCTGCCTCTGGCAGTTAGATTTGTGTAACCATCCCACCTTCCTTCCTCTGTTAAAAGTATGTCAGTAATTAAACATGCTACAATTTCTTCTAAACCACAAATGACTAGCTAAATAACCCATGTTATTAACAATATACCATCTTTGATCTAACCCTATTTAATTTTCATTAGAAATGAACTTATCAGACATAACTTTCTCTAATTTCCTCTCAGGCAAAGGATTCCTAAGGCGTGTGGTAATTCCATCAGGACTGTTACAAAGAGCAAAGTGAGTTACCCAAGTTTGAACATGTTGATCATATCAAAGTTCACCACATCAAAAACCTTCATTGCTTTGTCATCCCCAACAGAGCAGAACAGCACCCCTTCTGAACTAGCTGCAACACTCTCAACAACACCTATGAATCAAATCAAAACAAAAAAATATTTCTGCTATTACATTAGTATATAAATATTTAAGATGACACTACATCACAAACTAAAACAGATAAAGATACACAAGGCTGTAATCCTACATATGCCATACTTGTTCAATTAAACTCAACAAGACATAGTTCACAGGTGGCAGAAAAAGGACTTCACTGCAAGACAGGGCTTTAAACAGAATGCAGAGCTACTGCAATTTACTTAGCTCACTGCAGTTTTCCACAGGGTTTCAGTCTGTTTTTTTTAGAAGATTCAAGGGGTGGAAGAAAGACTTCAAAAGCCTAATGCATCTTACTTAAGTTCATCACAGAGTTTTCTGAACCTTCTCTAGGACTGGCATGCCAAGCACTTTGCCTGCCTGAAGAGCTCCTCAAATTACATATCACTCTCTGAGAAGGGCAAATCTAGTAATGCTTAAAAAGAACCATGGATGCATCAACATATTAAAAGATGCTTTCCCCACCCTTGCCACTTCTTTGTACCTCTGTTCCTAGAACAGCATTGTGCCTTCTCAGTGGTAGAAGTAGCTAAGGAGGAAATTTGGAGAAGGCTGCAGAAGTAGCAGTTCAGGTGGGTGACAGAAGTGAGGGGAAGAAGTAAGGAGCAGTTGCAGTGCTAAGAAGCAGAATAGAGATCAGATGGAGGAAGGGGGGCAAGACAAGTGTGAGCCGAGGAAAGGAAGACAAGAAAGAGCAAGAATCTAGGAAACTGGAGGGCAAATAGGGAGGGAAAGGAGGTATTTAGGGAAGGAAGGGTAACACTCCCTCAAGAATCAATGGAAAAGGGGGCCAAGAAAAAGCAGGGATCAGGTTAGGAGGAAAGCCTGTGAAACCCCAAAAATAGTCACATGAACCCATGGACCTGAAAGGCTGCCCACCCATAGTACAGATTTTATTTTTAATATGTTACATGTCATATTTGATAAGTAACATTAATTTTAGTGCCATGGATATTAAGTGCTTTCAAATTATATACATTAAAAATTCCACTATTGATCCATCTAGCTGCAAATGAGAATGAAAATACAATAGCGTAAGGTACTTTGAAAAGATACAGAAAAAATGACAAGGGAAAATAAATTCAAAAGTAAATCCCTACACACATGCACACATACACACAAAATATCATACCTAAATGGCTACGAAAATGTTTAACAAATTCAATTCCTTCTTCTACTTTCTTCCAGAATTTGACATGTCCATCATGACTGGCTGTTATGATAAAATCTGTCCTGGAACAAGAAGCATGTAAAAGAAACATGGATCTGAATCTAAACATGCTGGTGTCCCCCAATTCGCCATACTTTACCAGTTTCACATTTGGCGGTTCAGCACACGGTTTAGTAATAAATGAGATTAAGAAGCTGACTAGAACTCCTGACTTAGCAGGAGAACAAGACAACAGCACAAGAAGTGGATGTCAGCAGGTGGTATAGGCTTCAACCACTCCTAGGATCTAGCTCCCTCCTGGAGTCATGAGAAAACAAGAGGAGGGTGACCAACAATTCATTGGGCATTGCTCTATTCATGGCTCCATTTAAAAGGGTGGAAGGTAAATGCAAATGCAAAATCTTATTTATTGATTTATGATCTTGCTTTAGCACTTCTGCTATATTTTCTGTCAGACTTAGTTTTGTTATATTTTAAAATTGTCGTGGATTTAAGCTTTTTCATAGGGAGGGAGAAAATACAAACAATTGGTGATACTGATTAATACACATCTGTTTTTTGCTGTCTCACTGTAATGCTGAAGCTTCAATGGGTGCAAGCCTATGATTACATAATACAAACAGAAGCCCCCACATTCGAGGTTTACAAGGATCTTATGCAGAACTAGAGGAGTGGCAGACTCAGTCTCTGTCTCTCAGCATCTGCCACTCATCACTTTCACGGATTGTTTTTTCCAGCCATCTAGCTGGGGCACACCAGCAGGGAAGGGAAGGAGGCTGCAGAGAATACAGAAACACCATTTATCCACTCTCTGAGTTGAGTTTCTATGCTTGCTCAGTGAGGTGACACAGGACTGGAACACAGATCCCCAACTCCAAGGTCAGTATTGTCTCTCAAACTTCCAAAGTATCCTATGACCCCCTAAGCAGTTCCTTGGGGAACGGGATTATTCCCTTACTTGTTTTTGATTTACTTTCAGCTACTGATGTCTTAACGATTAGGATTAGTTTATGACAGTTTTGTTAGCCAAATATGGATTATTTTTTTTTTTGGTTATTTTTCATACTTATGAATGCTCTTTATAGATACTGGGAAAGAGTTATAATGTAAGCTTGCTAATGTGGTCCTAAAGATGGCATTGCGCAATGGGTTTTATTTATGATTATTTCTATGTGCTTATATATAGATTAGTTTAACATTCTTGTGAGCTGTTCTGAATATGGAAATGCTGCATATATGTAAACCTTATGATGAAAAAAGGCTATGATTAGCAAAGAATCCTTTTCTTAAACAGAAATATTGCAGGACATATCCCTGCAAATGTACATAACTAGAACATGCTTAAAATATGCTACCATATCCTATTCATTCTCTTTTTAAAAAACTATTGACATGCCATTAGCAGCAAAATTCTGCCCATATGATTAAGTGCTATTTTATTTATTTATTTATCTATTTAAACATTTTTCTGCCGCCCCATTCGCCGAAGCCTCGGGGCGGCTTACAACAATAAATTACAATAAATATGAACATTAAAAATACAAAAAATACAATATAAAATAAGCCGCCCTGACCAGATAAGATCAAATAATACTAACAGTTAAAATGCCGCTTAAATATAAAGGTCTTCGCCTGGCGCCGAAAAGCAAATAACGACGGCGCCAGGCGGACCTCTCTGGGGAGCGCATTCCATAACTTAGGCGCCACCACAGAGAAAGCTCTCCTCCGAGTAGCCACCCTCCCAATTTCTTTCACGGAGGGTTCCCGGAGAAGGGCCTCTCCGGCTGATCTCAAGGGGCGGCTGGGCATATATGGATGTAAGCGCTCCTTCAGGTAACCAGGACCCAAGCCATTAAGGGCTTTATAGGTCATTACCAACACCTTGAATTGGGCCCGGACTTCAATAGGAAGCCAGTGAAGCTGACGGAGAACTGGAGTCATGTGACCAAAACGCCCAGTCCCCCGTCAGCAGCCTGGCAGCTCTATTTTGAACCAACTGAAGTGTCCGGACCATCTTCAAGGGTAGCCCCACGTAGAGCGTGTTACAGAAGTCAATTTTAGCAACGTTGTTCTTCCAGGTTTCTGTATAATCTAAGTCTTTTCCTATTCAAATCTGGAGGTGCCTTAAGCACTTCCCCCAAAACTTGTTTGTTTGTTTAATTAAGTATATAATTATACCTTCCAATAGCCAAAGCTCTCTGAACAGTTCACAACAATTTCTTGAAGTAAAAAGGAAATACAATAAAAATACAGAAATAATAAAACATAAAATAGCAGTACACCAATCTTAAACAGCTAAAAATTCTAATATACAGAATTTAAAACAGTTTACACATCTAAAACAATTTCAATATAAAACTAAATCTAATCTAACTTGTTATTAGAAGAGGATAGTTTTTCTTTGGATGGTCTTTCTTTGATGACAGGCCATGTTGGTACACTATGAGCAGGAAAGCAGCCAGACATACATAAAATCAATCAGATTAAATGTTTTGTAACCTTTCCCCACACCTCCAATAGCAACCTTCCAGTATCTGTATTATATTGAAAGGTCTTCCATGAAGGTTCATAAATTTGGCTGTTCTTGCTGGCCATACAAAATGTGTAGGCACCAGGATTCTGCCTGCTTCTCCAGAGATAATCTATTTAAAATGTGAGCTGCTCTGTGCATAATTTGGAATGTCTGCGTATACATAAACTCAAAGATTAAGCAAAGTTCAATTATAGTTACCAAGAATTTCTTTTTAAAAAATATATATGGCAGTATCTATGGGTTATCTCCAGTTGATTTACTGAACTTGGAGCTCTGGAAGGTGGTGTGCAATTGCACAATAGTGCAATTGTGCTGTGTTTCAGAGCTGCTTCAAATGGCCTCAGAAACACAGCACAATTCATAAGCCACAGCCTTCCTCCTAAGCCTGGAAACAGGAAGCAAAATGCAAGAACCCACCCCACAGTTACATTGCATTTCTAAGCACTCATTAAGCAGGACACTCTTCCTGGAACACACACCTGAGCCACTATTGCAGTGCTAAAACTGAAGAAATAAAAGACTTACTTAGTACATACTACATGTGTGATGACATCTCTGTGCATATAACTGCGTTCATACATTGAGGCACTGGGAAGATTATCCAGGTAGACATGTTCAAACTCAAGAACTATGAATAAATTAAATATATGTTTCAATTAAATTGTATGATCTCATGTTTCAACTGAACTGATTTCTGTGTAATGCTTATAGAAAATGAAAGCCAGGACCATCCTCAATCCTCACGGAAGTTATTTAATCCATAGCCTGACTCAAAACCACACTGCTCAGTAGTACATTTTAATGATTTCGAACAGACTTTTTCCCGGGTAATAGAACTAATTTGCTACATCTTAACAATGTAACAGGTTAGGTCAAAAGATACAGAGATTTATGCAAAGACACATAGCTGCACCTCTGAAGTCACATTATGCGGTAAAATGTAATGTGATGTAATAATAATTTGCAGCACTTCAGAGGCAACCCACTACAGGTATTCAGATCAGCCCTTGTACCACATCATTGCTCACAACGAGATCTATAATAGGATTTAATTCGCCGCCTAGGGAGAGGGACAGGATTGCGCTGAACAGCAGCAATCCATTGGGTATTTACCTGGGAGTCCGTGTGACTCCCAAAGAGGCCTGCCCAGGCGCACAAGGTCACCACTCGTCCCATGCGAGGCGATCGGGGTCAGAGGCTTCTCCCTGATCCGCCCCACTGCTAGTACTATGCTTTTGCTTCCCTTACCTTTCCGCTTTTTCACTTGCACGGCCTCCCCAGGTAGAGGGCCCACCCAGCGCTCCTGCTCCCCTTCTTCCTCTTCCTTTCCCCCTTCCCCTGCTTCTTCCTCTTCCTCCTCAGAGCCTTCATCTTCTCTCGCCCCTTCCTCTTCGTGGTGCCTTTTCTTGCGCAGCGATTCCACGGACGCCATGCCGCCTTTACGTCACATTCCCGCGACAGAGGCCCCCCCAGGCGCGCCGCCGGCAGCGGGCGGGGACGTGCACCGGTGCTCCTCCCAGAACCCCGGAACAGCCAATGGGCGCCCCGCCCGCGCAGATTTGGAAACGGGGTCGCGGCGGCGCGGCTCGGTGCCGCCGCTCTGCCACCAGCTCCGCGAAGCGGCGGGGATAAAAGCAGGAAGCGCGAGAGGACGCCATGGTAATGTGGGGGCGGGGGAGGCTGTGCCTGGTTCCTTTACTGCAGGGGCCTCCCTTTTCCCAAAGCCCTTGGAGAGCCCTCTGCCGCCTGCCGGGTAGTCTTCCGGGAGCGGTAGACCTGCACGTCCGGGAAAGCAGAAGGTTGGGAAAGGCTGCTGTAGGGCAGCGGCGGATCAGTTGTGGCCCTTCGGATGTTTTTGCTGCAGCTCCCATTATTCCTCACTATTGCTTCTGCCGGATAGGGCGGAGAGCAGTTGTAGGCCAAAATACTCGGAGGGCCACAAGTTGCCCACCCGTGCTATAAGCGAAGGAAAGAAGAACTCGTGCTTGGACCATTCTGCTAGCTTTCTCACACCTGCCCTTCCTTCAACTCAGGGAACTATAACTTGAATAACTTGCTGAGGAGCAGAGTACTATTTCCCTCATCTACTGGGAGCTTCCTAGTGGTGGTCTCTGGTAGACCTCAGAATGGTATACTGGCTATGCCTTTGCTCTGATCTAGCAGGGCTTTGCAATAGGAGTGGAAGTTACTGAAATGCTCTAGTGTGGTGAGCTCTAGTGTTTTTAAGGTATATGATCAGCACAGCTGAGGCCTTGCAGCTACCTTCACCCCTGACAAGACGCTGCACGCCACTGTTGCCCCCTTGACCCCCACAGTTAAGTCTTACAGTTGGGAATTGTAGGGCCAGCTCTAGCACAAAGTTTGCTGATCCTTGCACAAATTTAATTGGCTACCATGTCCCATAGGACAGTTATGGCCCTGCATAGTTCATTGTTCTGTGAGAGGATCCTCAATAGGTCTGGCTTACCATATCTTGCCTATAGAAAAGAACTTTCATATTACTGTTGAAGGCACAGAGTCCTTATCTGGTAGTGGACCTGGTAACATTGCTTGCTGCCTTTGTTCTCACTGGTGCTTTGGGCCTGCAACAGCTGCTTGTCAGGCAGGAATACTGTGCCTCTAGGAAAGTTACTTTGGTTGTAGTTCTAGCTGTCACAAAGTTCTAAAAAGCATGGACCCTGTATCAGGAGAAAAGGATAGTTACTTTGTCTGCTTAACACTCCCATTTTCTGTCATGTGTTTATCAGAGATTTGGGGTGAAATTCAAACCTATTGAAACTGATTGCACCTTGCTGTTGAGTTCAGTGAAACAATTTCTAGACCTTGACAATATCCTATTCAGTACAACCTGCTAAATATTTAACTTGCTATTGGGAACATTTTTAATCAATGATTTTGAGGCAGTTTACAAAATTTAATATAATATCAACAATAAATACATTATTGTTTGTAGGCTGAGAAATTTGCCAAGGACATGTCTTTATATAAACAAGATGTGTCCCCAACCATCACCAGCACAATACTAACTTCAGAAGATGCCAAAGAGCAACTCTTACAAGAGTGTGAAGAAATATGGAAACAGATGGAAGAGGTATGGGTAATTTAATGATGAATACTGATGTTTCAACTGCATATCTTGATGCAGTTAATAGAACTTCACTCATACAGGTTTAATACAAATATTAGTTTTTATTTCTCTGATGTCTTGCTTGTGCATGTGCCTAACTAAGCAGAAGAACCCAGAGCAGAACATCTAGAGAAAATAATATAAAACACAGATAAAAGTAATAATGTTTAAATGATCACATCCTTTGCATTTTTATAGATGTAATGGAATATCATAGATTAAATATAGAATCAAACAAGGAATTTTTACTCTATTTTACCTGTCATACTGACAAAATATAAAGACACTATTCTAGTAATCAAAAATCTGGTGGAAAATAATAGGAGAAACAGTGCAATAAGAAATTTAAAGATACTATACTGGAGAGAGAAATGATCAAAGACCATAAAAGTAAGGAACATTTTCCAAAACAGAGAGGTTGTACAGCGTAATCAGTTTTGCTTCTGTGATGCCAGATGAAATGCTTTTAGGTTCCATCTATTTCAAAGGAAAACAATGCAGTTTGTGCTTTTAACTATCCAAAATATACTGTGTTTTAACCATGGCTGAAATGTGCCATTAATATTTGAGTTCTAACATGTTAAATGGTAGAAGATTTTTGTTGCTCTTAAGATGGAAAAGATAAGTATAATGTAGATTTATATGTATTGTTTCAACCAAGTAGATTTTTATGTAAATTTATGTTTGGTTCTTTTTAACCAAGTGTCAGAACAAATTAACACTTCAGGAGAGAGAAACGCTTCCAGTTTCAGATCCCAAGGTAGGACTATTGTTTAAAAATGGTCAGTGAAAATATTTTTTTATTCATACTGTATCAGGTTGAATAGATTTCCTAGAGTGTTATGCAAGTAATTCACTGATTATCTTGACCATTTCATCCCAGAGATGGAGCAATGTCTAAAAATAAACCTATTTTGAAATTACTGCGAATAAACGAAACCCTTAAAAATTTTAGCCCCAAACAGTTCACCCCTGTTGTTGTTGTTAGTCGCGAAGTCATGTCCGACCCATCGTGACCCCATGGACAACATTCCTCCAGGCCTTCCTGTCCTCCACCATCCCCTGGAGTCCACTCAAGCTCACACCAACTGCTTCAGTGACTCCATCTAGCAACCTCATTCTCTGCCGTCCCCTTCTTCTTTTGCCGTCAGTTGTTCCCAGCATTAGACTCTTCTCCAGGGAGTCCTTCCTTCTCATTAGGTGGCCAGAGTATTTGAGTTTCATCTTCAGAATCTGGCCTTCTAAAGAGCAGTCAGGGTTGATCTCCTCAAGGACTGACTGGTTTGCTCGCCTTGTGGTTCAAGGGACTTGCAGGAGTCTTCTCCAGCACCACAACTCAAAGGCCTCAATCCTTCAGTGCTCAGCCTTCCTTATGGTCCAGCTTTCACTGCCATACATTGCAACTGGGAAAACCATAGCCTTGACTATATGCACTTTTGTTGGCAGGGTGATGTCTCTGCTTTTCAGTATGCAGTTCACCCCAGCTACCAATAAAAAAGAATGTTTCTAAAATATGCTTAATGGTCCATCTAATTCAACATCATGTTTCCTGGAACAGTCTGTCAGATACCTCTGGGAAATCCATAAGTAACTCATGAGGGCAATAGTTTGTTCCTGAAACTTATAGGCCAAGATATCTAGAGGTACAGCTACAACAGTCTTAGTTACTATACAAGTCAGTGGTGAGGGATGATGAACTTATAGGCCAATAATATGCAGGCCACATGTTGCCTACCCTGATGTTGGGACATACTGGGTGCAGTTGAATGTCATGCTCACCTAACCTCTCAGTGAGTTTGCACTCCATAGCAACTTATTACAGCATCTTACCATGCTGGGTTGGTTCTTTGGCAAAGTACCCATGATGAGCCCAACAAATGATTGGACGTATCATGAGCACTTAATTCCATCCTGCTCCCTCATTTCAGCAGACAGCATGCCAGAGAATGCTGTGGGAGCAATCAGTCACCACTCTTCCCCTCTAGATTGCAGAGCAGTGTTTGGCTTCCTGCAGCTTTTTTGCCCTTTTAAATTTGGGTTGTGGGGAGGAATGAAAGCCACCTTCTCAGGCAGCCGTCCCCATCTAAGCCCCAAGGAGCTGTTCCTTAAGAATGCCCTTGTGGCACCTTGGATGGATTTGGTTGGATGGCTGACCAATTTTTTTAAATTATTTTTGAGAACAGAGCTGTGTGTAAGGAATATTTTTAAAATGTTTCAATCGCAGTTGTGCCAAACTGCTTGTCTGCTCAAGCACAAATGGATTCAAGTCTGGGCTAGGACACATCAAGGGAGATACCTACTTCCAAGGGGTGGAAGGTACCTGCCATAGACCTTGCATCAGCCCAGGCTTGACACGATTCTGCCACCACTGCCCTGCAGACTACAGAAAGTGATCTGGTAAGAGCAACCTGAGCTGTAAGGGAAATCATGCTAAGAAGGGGGTATTTGGGGGACTTACCCCATCCTACTTAGCAAGAGCACCAACTTTTTCCATTCTCTTCTTTAGCTCATATGGAAGAGCCACTTTTGTACTGTTCTCAGTCTTTTAGGAGCTTAGGAAAGATTAAAAGTGAGTCTTTCAGTTTTTCAAGGGAAATTGATAGTTGTCTGTCAAAACTCAGGGTTCCTTTAAAATGTGTGGGGTGTGACTGTGAAATGGTGGATTTATACTAGGTTGTACCTCTGAGTGTGTCCCTGTCCAAATCCCTGAGGTCCTCTTCAAAACCTCCATTTTAAAGTAGCCCTGAGTTTGGCAGTCAGCTATCATGCTTGCTAAAAGAGGTGGGTGGGATGCTGTTTTAATATTTTCTCAGGTACTAGGGGGGCAGAGAAAGAGTACAGGTTGCTCCTCCCATGGGGACTAAAGGGGTGGAGGAAGAAAAAAGAGTTTATGGGAGATTTCTTGTGCCTTGGGAAGTTTGTGTGTGCGCAAAAGCCTTTCCAAGGTGCTGCTCAGGCTCTTTCAAGAAACCGCCATTGGCTCATCAACTAAAAACTGTTTGCAGTTGCAATGTGGAGGGCAACAAGTCGGTACCAGCAGCCTCCAACTGCTCCTTGGTCTCCTGTGGGCAGCTGTTACTGGTGGGTACCTGGACGAGCTTGACAAGAGTGACAATGGCATTTTGCCTCTCTTGCTTAAGCCCGTGTTAACCAATTCCTAACACCCATAGTGAGGTCAAGTCACTCAGGTTTGACCAAAACAAGAACCCATCATGGGTGCAACTACCTCTACAGCAACCCATGGGTTGCCAAGGTTCTTGTTGCTCTCAAACAAGCCACCCTGTAGGAATCATGTCATGCAAACCCAATCAGAGCCTTCATGAGGATTCCATATTGCCATCATGACTAACAGCCATAGAGGATTAACATGCTAGTGAGTGTGGTGATGGTTGCCTGTTAATGACAAGAACCTATCCTTAGCAATATCAGTTCTGACATAGGTCTTTGCTCACACTGAAGCAGCTAACACTGTGCTGGAATTGTTTACCTGGTTTCCTTTCTCTGCCTGCCTTCTTCCAACTTAATCTCATGTGGTTTGGGATGGAAGAAACTTACGCATCCATTGAATGGAAGCCCTGGAATAGCTGCATGAAACATAAGCAAGTGTCATGGTGTTGTATGGTCTCTAGTCCCACTGTATCATAGAATTTCTACATATCTGTACGCCTTCTTTAAAACCATTCCTCTGTGCAAGTTTGGCTTCTTTGCTAGCATGGGTTTTCTCCATTGCAATTTCTGCTAGCTCAAAATGAGCAGAAGCAGCTCCTGACACTGGGGAACATGCTGAAGCTAAATGACTATCAAGATGTATATTCTGTCAGATCATATTTGCCAAATCTAGTGCTTTCCAGTTGTAATAGGTTACAACTCCTATGAGCCAGTGGTCATGTGAGCTAGAAATGGGACGAGTTGTAGTTTAGTGTCTCTGGAGGACACCAAATTGAGCAGAGCTGGGGGAATGGAGGAAATTTGGTAAAATTTCAGTTCTGTGTTTCCAATGGTTGGTTTTAATACCTTTAAGTGTAAAACACACACACACACACACACACACACACACAGTTTACTTAATTTTTGCAATGTTTGACAGCTTTCATTGTTGCTGATGCGTTTGAAGGCTCTCACAGTGGAATTGAACCAATGGCAGAAAAGAAAACCAGAAAGTAAGGTTTTTTGCTTTTTAAATAGAACTTTAAACCTGAAATTTTTGAACTCTTAAATGTTCAATATGTTTGAGTTTCTGTGGAATTGTTGTGACCCTTCCAAGGGGCTTTAGCTGCTGGGGGAGGGGTAATAACAATTTAACAAATAAAGTATAATCATTGCCTTAACTAGTTATATCACAGTCTCTATCTGTTGTGTTGTCTTCTCTGTATTTTTGTAGGCCCTTTGCCCCCTTTCTTGGGCAATGTCATCCTTTAACACTTTATTTTTTCTTATTTTGTGATAAAATCTGTTCTTCTAAATAGTGTATCTTTGTTTTTGTTGACACTGAAGTAATGCAGTAACCACTAGCAACAATCTACACAGGGAAATGTAAAGATTTCTTCCTTGCATCATATCTAATGTTACTTTCACTTAGAAAAACTGGAGCAACAATTTTGTGTTTACAATGCCTTAGATATCATATATTCTTATATCATCTAAATAACTAGTATCATTTTAATTTCAATATGATTCTGTGGTCATTTGCTACTCCCACTCACTCTACGGTCTTAGGAGCAATATCCTAAGACACTGTCCTAAGACCTTTTCTTATACTTGTCTGTTGTTGTTGGTCTCACATGCTCTCAAGTTGTCTCCAACTTATAGTAACCCTATGAATGAGCACTCTCCAAATTGTCCTGTCCTTGATGGCCCTGTTCTGTAAACTCAAGGCTATAGCTTCTATTATGCAATCGATTCATCTCATATTTGGTCTTTCCCTTCTTCAACATTTGCTAGTATTGTTTTTTCCAGCAAGTCTTGTCCTCCATTCAAAAGAAATGCCTCATTTGTCACATCACCTGCAACTCCAACCTTACTAATGGGGAGTGCAAACCTATAATCCCTGGGTGAGCATCTCAGAGAACACATATGGTGCAGGTTACCCACTTGGAGGTTAGAAACAGTGATTCCACCTTGGAAGAAGGAGTTGCCTCGCTTCACTCTTAGCCAGTCCAGGGTGAGGCACACCAGCTTCCTCTTGGGAAGTTTCTTTCCCAAAAGATGACTTCAGAGAGGGAGGAAAGGGGCCCTCCCAGTGGGCAAGCAAGAGAGGAAACTGGAGAGGCCAGAATTCAATCCATCCTGAGCCTCCTTGTCACCTGCTCTGAAGCACTTTGGTAGATGGGCTAAAAAGCTTGTCTAGCAAAGGAATAAAATAATCAGATTATTGCCTCTGCTGCTCCTCATACCCTTTTGGCTTCACCCTGGCAAAAAAAGGGGGCCCAGGAGCCTCTTCAAAATTTCAGAAGCCATGTCATCATTTGACCTGCTTATGGCATTTTATCTGATATTAGGGTGCATTTGCTTTAAATCAAAACTATTTAAATCATGATTTAAAGCAGCATTCATCAATACTTGATTTAAATCATGGTTTTGCATGCATGCCTGCCTTACCCATAAGTAGTGGAACTTTATTAAAATGTTCCCAAACTGAGTTTCCTTTATGACCTTCTGCCATTATAGGTTTTCTCCTCCAGGGAAAGAATTATATGAGAAACCTTAGGCTACACACAGAGAAGAGTATTTTGCTCAAAAGAGTTCCCTTTCATTTTTACTGCTTGTTCCTGCATCCTTACCCTTAGCTTCTTGTGCAGATCTATTTGTGGAATTTTTTGAAACTTAGCATTTAAGAGGAAACGGGTTGATTCTGTGTACATAGATTTGCAAAGGAACAATGGGATTAAGGTCTTTTTCTCAACTCAGTATGTTAATTTTATAACATTTTTGATGTGAAGAAGAGGAATGTGATCTCTGCAGACACAAATTCGCAATTTTGAGAACTGTAAAACTAAGTATCTGTGATAATATCTTCTAGACAGAAAAAATGTTCAGTAATCTTTCAGAAACCTCTAGAAGAGCGTGTCATTGTGAATGGATTAATGGAATTCATTTACCAAAAATTTTATACAAGATATAAAATATACAATAAAACAATCCAGATGTTAAAATACTGGGAAAATAAAAAGGGTTTACCTTGGCACTAAAAAGAATAAAGAGTTGATGCCTGGCACACCTCCCTGGAAAACAGATTCCACAGTTGGGGTGCTACCACTGAGAAGGCCATTCTCCTGGTAGCGAACTTGCTAGACTCTTTCATAGACATCTCCCAAAGAAGGACCTCACAGATGATCTCAAGGTCCTTGCCACAAGCTACCTGAGATTCCAAGGATAGGTCTGGAATACCCTTTAATATCTACTGCCTTGGTCATTTCTGCATTCCATAGAGCTAGCAGAAATTTGACAAGTGCACCAGCCATATCAATTTGAAACTCCCCCAGAGCTCTCCGGAATCCTTCTGGATCCATCAGACTTTGGAGTCAGACCATTTAAGGGTGGAAAGTAAATCTCAAAATGAAGTGATCTGACCATTACAAAGGGGTTGATGTCAGTTCCCCCATTTCCAGATCACTGTCTTCCTGTCCAGTTGAAAAAACCAGGCCAAGAATGTGACCTTTCTCATGGGTCAATAACATGCTGAGACTGTCCCACGGTTGTCATGGAGGCCAAGCAGGCCTGAACCTGCTTCAGGTTCAGAAATGATTTTATATTAGGTGCCTTTAGAATGTTTCCTGAATCAAAGGCAATACAGGAAACAATGTGTATTGGTGCTATATTCAACCTGTTGGAAAATGTGGGTATTTCTCCAGGAATATTTAGTGGATTTTATTTACATAGCTTGAGTGAACGCTAATTCCCTTACACAGTAAATCATCTGCTGAAAGCTTTCAATCTTCTGAGGGCATTACGATGTACTGTCTCCATCTGTTACTCCATTCAGCCTCATATGGAAGCATTTTTCCATCATTGTCTTCAACTGAGCCTATTTCCAGCTCAAGTTTCCATGTATATATTTCCTATATACTAGTTTCTTATATTAAGTCTGTAACATATTATTGTACATTTCTGTGCATTGCTTTTTCCACTCAACATTTCATTAATCTTTGCATTCAAGCATCTATATTTTTCAGCAGAAGTGAGATAGGCAAGAGCTATGGAGAAGCTTGATGAGAAATCCCTTGGATTTGGACTGTTAGCAGTCCAACTGGCTTGGACTTTAAAAGCCTTTTGTGAGGTGCTGTGCTATTCAAAAGACTGCATTCTGTAAGAACTTCCACACATTCTTTAACAGGTTATCTGTATTTATCTTATAACACATCACCTTCTAGTCAAACTGTGCTGCCCCACAGAGCACTAGTCTTTAGGCTTTTTGACCTTTGGCAAATTCAATATATACCAGCATATATGGTGACTTGCATATAAGATGAGGTTGATATTTTGGGCTGTTTTTCAGGTATTTTTCATATATTGGGCATATAAGATGACCCCCCCCCATTTTTGCTTCACTGTTTTCCATTTCAGTGGACTCTGTATATATGGGTATTTGTCAGCTGGAAGCTTCTAGATTCTCATAACATCACATTACATATTCTAGTCATGTCCCATCTCTGATTTGGAGGTTGGTGGCAGCCCACAAGGGGATGGGCTGGCTGGGGTCAGTTGGGGTGGATGGCCAGTGGCAGTGCTGTGGGTGGAGGGGGGGAGCAGATGCCAGATACCAGATGTTGGACCAGGTCTGAAGCCACACACATAGTTTGCAATGCAGGACAAGCTCCTCCGGTACCCCAGGAAGTTTTTTTTTTATGATTGTTAATAAAAGGGAGCTTGTAAATGCAATAACTTTTATTATCCTTGTTTTTAATATAATATTATGAAAAAAAATTATCTGGTGTATAAGATGACCTCCTGATTTTTGCCTCATTATCTCCAGTTTAAAGGGTCATCTTATACGCCAGTATATATGGAAAATTAATACATCATTCCACCCCGTGGTCCCATCACAGTATCCCACAACCTCCAACCTCCCACAAGTGTTTTTGTACAAGGCTCTCTTCCCTCATGGTCCTTCCCACCAAGACAGTGGAATATGCTTCTCTGGCCTTCACCTTTCATCCATTGGGAAGATGAAAGCCATCTATTTTGTGGCATGTTTCCTTTGCTGTTAGTTTTTAAGGTGCTCTTCTTGCTTTTTCTCTCTACATTTTGTCTGCTGCACAAATTAGCATTGCTTTAATCACAGTTTCTTACTTTGCTGTTTTCCTCTATTTTGTGTTTGTTCTACTATGATAGAATGAAGGTTCTGTGGGTAGAAACACTGTGCATAATTTCATAATATCAATAAATACATAGGACTTGTCCATGTTGCTTTAATGATTCTAGATTGGTTTTACAGTTATAATTAAAGTCTCTCCATTACAGTTGATGGGACACAAAGTTAAAACGATTAAAATCTCATCATTAGGGTAAATTGCACTTTGCTTGCATGTTCTGGAGGAATAATTATATTACATGGAAACTGGCTACTGATAGACCAGAAGAAGGATCTGGAGGAGGCTAATTTCAAACCTAATTGTCTACTTAAAGTAAAAGCTGCATAATCTATACAACAGTGCCAGATCCCCAAGCAGCACGAGGTATGTCCATGCAGATAGCCAACAGACCAAGATTACTGGAGATGATCTTGACTATAGCTAGGTCCATAAAATCCAGCAAGGATTGGCCAAGTATGATGTGTGGACTTTTCCACCTTCCTCTACCCCTTCCAAATCTTAGGAATGTGGAGAGAAGAAAAGGCACCTTCCTTTTGGACATTTCCCCATAGTGGTACCTGATTTACCAACAGAATCAGTCACCAGTGGGGAAAGGAAATGGGGTATATTTCCTCAAAGTGGGGAGCAGGGGCCACCTCACAGTCCAAAGTTCGGTGAGGACTATGTACCACTGGGTGAGACCCCTGCCCTATGAGAGATGTCTACTGTCCTGCTAGCCTCAGTGTCAGGGCAAATTAATAGGCAGGTCCACCAGTGAGTCCATAAACTGGCAGTGGCTGAGAGCCCCTGTTCAAGTAGAACAGAGGCCTGAGGTGCAGCCAACTTCCAAAGATAAAAGCAGGCAAGAAAAGCACAGTATAAAAGCAGGGGCAGGCAGGGGTCAGGGACAGTACAGAGGCCCAAGCACGATGCTGGGTAAGGAACCCAGGCCACATGGCACTAGATGTTGTTCCAACAATGGTTGGACTGAAACTGAAGGTTTGTATACTCAGTATTTCTAGCTCAGCCAGGGCTCAGCTGCAGTTAGTTACAGGCCCTTGGGCAAAAGGCCTGACTCATTAGGGCCTTGCCTTGGAGTAGTCCACACTTATAATCAAGCATTCCTTCTCAAAGGAGTCCTGCTGGTCAGGCTCACCTACTCTGTGCTATGACTGAGCAGGCACAAAAGATACTCTATCATTATAGACATCTGTGTGCTTTGCTCAATTAATTCCCCATAAATATGAAAATTGTAGAAGCTTGTTTTTACTTGAACTAATTTTGTAGTGACTAATGCTGGAAAGAGAAATGCAATTGTTTTAGTCAGACTAATGCTGTGTGTTGCAAAGAAAAAACCTGGCAGTATGTTCTATTTTTCAGTAATGACTACAAATCCAGATGTTCTGGTAGCAGTAGGAAGAGACCAGGTATGTCTTTTAAATGATGAGTTAATGGTAAATAACAGTCTTAGGAGGAAAGAGGCATTGAACTAACTTTTCCTGAGAAGTTATTGGTGCAGTTGAAGGAGCGTTGCTTCTTATGCATGAACTAGGGGCAAACTTACATGGTGGCTACTGTTTTGTAAACTGCCCAAAGCTTTTGATGTTGGTCGGTATAGAAATTGAGTAAATAAAGCACTCAGCATAGAATAACTACAGTTTGTATACATTTATATAAAAGGTATAATTAGGATTGCAGTCAAGTTGAGCTAGTTTGACTCTATACCACATGAGGGGTATAGAAATTCATCCTCTGGCAGGACTGGGCATGTTGCTTTCTGGCCCAGCCTTCTGGGACCAGACAATGTAGGAAGTGGCCACTTCCCTCTGACAACATTATGTAGTTTCTTCATGCAGAGAAAGCCATAGAATGATTGCCCCTGCCCTTCTGCACAGAAAAAGACTGCTCTTTTCTCTCTGCAGAGAAAAGCATGGAGTAGTCACTCCTCTGTCTCCCAGCATGGAAAATGAACAAACAAAAAGGTTTTCTTCCCCTTTCTCCATGCAGAGAAGGGTGCAGAGCAGTTTTTCCATGCCTGTCTCTGCATGAAGAATGGGGCAATCCCTCTCAGTCAAAAGAAAAGAGGCCTTTTCCAGTTCTGCTAGTACAGGAAGAATACATTCCCTGTTTTCTAGTGCTGTGAGGAGGCATGAGGCCTGGATTCATCCTGCAGGCCAGAGGCTCCTTGCCCCTTGCTGCCAACTAGAGCATTGCACACAAGAAGTGAAATGACATCCGAAGATCTTATTCTGTCTGCACAATAACTGCACCAGGAGGAGCAAGTCAACTGCTTTCTTATTTACCTGGCTGCAATACCAATCCCCAATCTTTAAGATTAGTGTTCATGAAAGTGTGTGTGAAAGTGAATTAGTCACTGTTTTCATTCCACTCAGTTATTTGACTCCAGCCCAGTTATTGTGGTATAATTCGTGCCTTGGCTGTATTGGTTTTTACTATTAGTTTTTATTTTAACTTAAGAGAGTGTGAAGAAAAAAACATGATACTACTGAGGCCCATGTGTTTTTGACAGTGATCCGATAAAGTCCCAAATTTACCAAAGTTGGGTCAGTACAACTTGATGAGCCTTCAAACTCAGAATGGATCATCAGCCATGACAACTTGTCCACCCTGAGGGGAGCTGCAGTGGTGAATATGCAGCCCATGTGTAGCTGGTGGATTGCATTCACCTTAGTGGAATTAAGGCTTGCCTAAATGTATAAAGATATAAATCAAACATCAGTCTATAAAAACTTCAATATTTTATAGAAATAGCATCTGCCAATATTATTCTTTTGAATTCCTCCAGACTTGGAGCTAACAAGCAAATCTAGAATGTGCTAGAGTTGGATTTCAACATATTTGTCAAAGAATTGCTATGCAACATTATCTGGGAAGATTTTTGTGGTTCCTCTGCTAAAATAAGTGATTATACTATAGCTAATAAATGAAATCATGTTTACATTATAAAGTTTGTTTAAAAATAATGTCTTTACCTTCCTTCCACTGGATTTGGTTACTTCCCAACAGTTTTCTTTAACCTTTTATTAGAAAGGTGATGGGAGAAGACCAGCTAATACATATATTGTCTCAATAGAGTGATTGACTAACATCCTTCCTCTGAGGAATTGTCATACCTCCTATATCATGTTGGATTTGATATTTTGCTTTGTGGACAGTTTAGCCAAAAAGCTCAAATGCTCACTGTGTATATGTGGCTTTATTCTTAAAATATGCCTATATTTGACATTATACAATTTTAGAAAAGTCATGTAATCATAATATTCTGTATATGAAAAATCTTAGATACAGCATTTTATTAATTATGCAACAAAGGACAGCATGATCCAACATGGCTACCTGTAATTCTCCAAATTCAGAGCATTACAGACATCTTATTGACGGCAGGACAGGAGCAGAGGCCAGGATTGCCTCCATGCTACTCCCACTGTGAAAGGCACTTGGCTTTTGGCTTTCTACAGGTTTTTGTGTGTGTCCACAAGACAGAAGCTGAGGTCCTACCAATATGCGTTGTATCTTGCTGGACCCTCACTCCTCCCCTCCCTGCCTTCTTCGGTGCCAGCTCTGAGGTCGGTCTTCCCATCTTGAAGCCTCAACAGCTGCAGAAAGAGCCAGAGTAGCTATGAGGGCAGAGAGGTGGCACTCAGAATTCAAAGTGTGAAGACTGCAGTCAGAGCTAGAACTCTGAAATTTCCTATGGCCAGCCAGCCAGTTTCTACTGCCATAGGATTGTGCTGCAGTGGACACAGTGGTATCCTTATGGGTCATCTGGCTATATTGGGTTTGGGAGGCAAAGTGTCTCTTCTTCAAGAACTATGTCTGGTGCTGCCCCTGTTATTTCATCCCACTCTTAGTTAAGAAGTGGAACTGGCTATGTTATGATTGCGCTTGTTTTAACTGTTTTGAGTGTGTTTTGTGGTTTGGTGGCTACAGCAATACCCTTTATGCTGCTCTTTTAGTTTTTCGATTAAGCATTAATTATTTAACTATATTTAACAATTGGATATTGGTGATGCGCCGTTTCACTCTATCCCTTTTGTTTACATTGTTTGAGAGCGAGCTGCTTCAGAAGGAATTTTAGATTTGAAAAGCAGCACAAAAGCCTCAAATAAACTTCCATTACCAAGATAGCATCACTCCTAGGACCATGCAGGATGATGTATAAGGATACCATGAATAATGGTGACAAAGGCCAATGAGAAATACAAGAAAATGAATAGGGTCTTGCGCCCCTGTTCATCTCCTTCCAGGGCACCCAGAGCTGTTTCTGTCCTGTAACCAGGGCTGAAAGGCAGAATCTAATGAATCCAAATTAGTGTGCTGTCTAATACTGGAGATGAAATGCCAATACCCTCTCTAGTATCTAGCGGGGCATTTTACACCAGCTAATAATTATCAAAGCCTATGAGATCCAGCTTTGATTTCCTTTTTTGTTCTTTTTTTGCATTTCAATAAAACAGGACTTTTTTTCTTTTCAGCTGCAGAAATTAGACCATGATCTTCAAATGGTGCTATCAACACTTAATGCAAAAAACAAAAACCTGAAACAGAACTTACTAAGGTATATACCATGCTCTACCAAGCATTCTCCTGGAACTGTTTTTGGTTTATGAAGACAAAATGGAAATGATGAGATTATGTAAGCTGCACTGGGTTCTTTGCAGGAAAATATGGGGTAAAATACAATTAAAAATCTAAAAAAAGAAAAATGATTTTTCTGTTTTGTCTGCTATTTTTCCCACACTGTTATTCTAAGGGAACAGCGGTGGCTGGAGGAACAGCAACAGTTAATAGACTGTCTCAACCAAACTGAGGAAGAAATTAGCACTCAAGTTGTACAGTTTTCTGAGAAAAGGTATTTAGACTTCCTTGTTTTTTTAGGGAGAACACCAGGGAAATGGTAAGAGAGCACAAAACTACTACTGAATTGTTTGGTGTGAATAAAAAACAATGACCAACTTTTGGGTGCTTACAAGTTGGTCTGATGGTACTAGTATTACTGTGGTGTTAAAATTCCCTTATTAAAAATGTCATAACAATTAAACTTTTTTTACATCTTAGAGCCTTTCAAGAATTGAAAAGTAAAATGCTAAAAATAAAAGCCTACAAAGATGAGATTTCGAATGCTCTGGGGGAATTCCTTGAAGAACATTTTCCTCTCCCTGAGAATCATGGAGCTGCAAAAAAGAAACGAGTATGATTATTTACATTTTCATATTAAATTAGGAAGTCTTTTTCTCTTCATGGTAATGAAATGAACAGATAAAAATGCTAAAACATAATTAAAATCTTAGTTCAAATGAGTCTTTGCATTCTGCAAATACTAATCTTGTAGATTGTTCAAAGCTCAGCTGTTCCTAACTGTACCTTAAGTCCCTCAGCCTGCTTTTCCCATTCATAATTTGACCTTACTGAATTGCCCACTTTCTGTTAGCTTCCCTGTTTTCAGTTCTCTCCTCCTCTTCCCTGTGTGCCACAACTCTCCTCCTTGAATCTTGGGAACCGGAGCATCTTCTCAGTCCTTTTGTGGCTGTTTTATGAAGCCATTTCCACTTGCAGCTCCTAGCATAGGCCAGTTTCTTCAGTGGAAAGGATTGAGTACAAAGTGCCCCCTGGTGGTCATATGGCAAAGTAGTTGGAGGCACTCCTTACAGTCTTCTATTGCAAAATTTTCTATCTAATGGTGAAGGACTGGTGATTCTCTGGATTCAAACAGCTGTGGGTTTGCACGTGGAGACATACCCCTTTCAGTTTTGGTTTCTGCAATTACAGTATTTTAAGAAAATGTTGAAAGTTATAATTGGGCAAAGGACATTCAGAATATTAATATCTTACCCATTTAGATCTTTTTCTTTATAAGAAACTCAGTCTTCCTTAACAAACTGTAACTTGTGTAACTGTGCTGGTAATGTGCAAGTAGATTTATATTTTCTTTGCAAAATTAATCTTAAGGTCTGTAGTAAATCAGCAGTTGTGCAAGTATAACTTAAAATTAACCAGTTTTATGTTAAACTGGGAAGAAATAGGACTCTGACCAAGTTGGATCCAGCCCTCCTGTGAGCAGAAGTCCACTTGTGCAGTAGGATTTCCTCATTCTCTCTTCCTCACTAGTACCCTCTTGGTGTGCCACAGGCATACTTCTGAGGACCTCCCAACCATCCAGATCAGATCTGGGAAAGGGAAGGGAAGAAATCTATTGCTCTCACTAGGAGAATAACACCACTGGATGCAGTTCATTATATTTGTGCCCCTGACCATTCACTCTGGCCAGTCTGCCCATGTTTTTCCAAATGATTCTTCTTGTCCATCCTAGGGGAAATCTTGCTATTTGTAAATAACAACCAAGAATTTAAAATTTCAGAACACAAGGTATTCCACAAATGGATTCTGTGCTAAACATTGTTGCTACATACACTGATCACACTCTCTAGATTGTGATGTTTGTATTTTGTATTGTTATGTTCTAACACCCAGTCTAATTAAGTCTGGGTGTCTAAACAGAATTATGTATGTTTGACTTGTTGGATTAGGAACTATTAATGTAAATCAGAAGATGGTAATTTGAATGAGAATTCCATCTGTTCTGTTGTACCACTTTAAATGGTGTACATGTTTGAATGCATTTTACCACTAAGATTCTGGCATAACCATTCATGCATAAATCTCCTTTCCAACCCCTTAAGTAGAGAAATGAATTATAAATAAGTTTCTGTCTTTTGAATTATATTTTTCTTTATGAATATGCATGATGTTGGTATGAAGTAGAATGTTTACATGTATTTTGCCTCTTGCAGCTTTTGCCTAAAGAGCCAAATGTACAGCTAATAACATTACATGAAATTTTAGAGGTAAGATTACATATGTTTGCATGTTCATTTGTATGACACTTGTATGCTGCAGTTCAAGAATGGATTTGGTAAGGAGCAAAACTAATAGTCCATCAATTAGTGAGTGGTTTGGTATAATAAGTTCCTCCTCCTAAAGTCCAGAGGATTTCATACCTAAAGAAGGGTACCACTCTGACCCGAGCAGTGATGCTTGCCTTTCATTCAAAGAGCCAAGCTTTTGTTAGACTTCTCTTCATATTAGAAAAACCATTAATTCCTTTGTTCACAATATTACTTATTTTGATTAGTATTTAAATAGTTCCATTTATATGCATGATGTTTTGCACTAGTAAAGTAAGGGATAAATGGGAAGAATGTGCAATTATTTTTGTTACATGTTCTTAGGCTTAGTTACAGTAGGGTATTGTGATTATGGAGCCTTGCCAAAGGATGCAAGCAAAAGTTTAAGATTGAGGAAGGACAAAGTGTTCTGGGAAGCAGTTCCAGGCATAAGATGCAGCAAGGGAAAAAGTGTGGAATTACTGGAGAGCTGGAGTGTGATGGATTGGGACTAGGGAGATTTGGGTTCTCATCTCCATCAGCCATGAAGCTCACTGGGTGTTTTACACCAGTCACAGATTCTCAGCCTAGCCTATCACACAGGGTTGTTGTGAGGAGATGATGGAACTTACATCTGAACAAATATGTATAGGGCAATGCTGTTAAAAAACTAGTCAATCTTCTGGAGCCTTCCTTGTGACAAACTATCCTAGGTGACAGTTATTTAAGGTGTCTAGAAATATTACCATTTTGCCATGACTAGAAAAAATGCCAGCTATGAGGGTGGAGGGAGAGTGTTCTGAGGTCTGGGTCGCATTTCCGAGGTTGGAACTAGAATATGGCTATGCAGACAGTGTGTAGCAGCCATAGGATTTTCTTTCAAATTAGAAAATTAAATTAATTAAAATTAGCAGGTTCATTTTGTACCTGCTAATTTTAGTTTGAAGCTAATTAGAATAAACATCTTTCAGTTGTAATTATAATTCTGTAAGCTCTTGTTCCATTTAATCTATTTTCAAGCTGAGTTTGACAGATCAAACCTGAGATTATATTCTAAATCTTATTCTCATTTTCAGAGCCTGATTGACAGACTCATAAATGTACCACATGATCCATATATAACTATCAGCTCTTCGTTTTGGTCACCTTATATTGAACTTCTGCTGCGACATGGAATTGCATTAAGACATCCTGAGGATCCAAACAGAATTCGTCTAGAAAACTTTTATCAATAGCAAGATGTATTAAAACAAAGCTATCACCTGATTTGTAGAATAAAGTTAATAAGTGGAGGAATAAATGTTTTTCTCTGCTGAGAATACCATATTAATTACTGATGTTTCATGTCTTTCATGCGGGTTCTTTAACATTTCTGCAAAAAAGGATCTAAAAAACTATTTTTAGTGTAAGATTATGACCATTCCTTCTAAGCTTACCTTTAGTATTATTAGTAAATGATGTTTTTAATAATTCTTTTCTTAATTTGTATTCACTTTTTATTTATTTTTATAACTAAGAAAAGCAATGCAATTAACACAATAACAACAACTATGACTAAATATCACTGATCAAACAACGCATCAACATCAGAGCTACCTTCTCCAGGACCAATTTAATAATAATTATGAAGCCTGTTCAGATTGGTAAAATGAGAGATCTGCTCAAATTAAAGGACTATTTAAAATGAATTGTCCATTTGATTGTTTCTAACCAACTTTGCTACAATCAACTGTTAGGCTGCTAGCACTAGCTTAAAAGAAAACAGACAATGGTATACCTTCATGAGAAAAAGAAAACATTTTGTCTTTCAAAGCTATTGAATAGCCTTCCCCAAACTGGTGCTCTCCAGATGTTTTCAGCGACAGCTTCCAGCATTCCTAACTATTGACCAAGCTGGCTGGGGCTGCTGGAAGCTGATGTCCAAAACATTGAAGAGGCCTCTCACAGGGAACATGTGATTCTATAGGCAAATTTATGAGAAGAAAGATAAGGGAAATGAATTTAGAAGTCCATGGGCAGAACCCAAAAGTTTTGTTGGCCTCATGACTGGGGGGGGGGGGGACACACTTAGCATGTTCCTGTCCCCTTTTTCTCTCTGTCCCTAATTTCAAATCCCCCCTCTTCCACTGGTGAGTGAATGAGCCATGATGAATATCAGCTCACAAGTACAATTATGGTTCTTAGGTCCTTTTTTCTACTTAATTCATCAAAGAACCACAGAGAATTTCAGGCCCATCTTCAACTCTGGCTAATTTCAGTGCCTCAGTTGACTGACATCTAAAATGTGCAATTCCCTTTTCATTTTACTTATAGATGTGCCCACAACTGTGCTTCATTCCAGGACATATGGTCCAGATTTGTCTCACAATTTGACTTCTGGGCATTAAGTATGGGAAATTATATTCCATGCAATATAAAAGAGTATATTATTTCTCTGGACTAAAATGTTTACTCCTAGCTTGCCTTCCTGTTTTAGAACCACTGGCACTCTGTGATTGAAGGATTTTTACACTGGGAACAAAGACAGGACTAGACCACAGGAATATCTGTTTTTAGCCAAGCAGCTGTTTTTTGTTTTAATAGAAATCACTTATCTTATACCATGAAGACTCTTTAAGCATAATGCCATCTTAATTTGGGCTATTCATGTCACAGGGCTTCAATTCTAAACATACTTGAACTAATTCCCATCAAAAGACTATTAATGTTTAGAAAAAATATATAAACTAATTTAATATGTGCCATTATTAGAATCACACACATTTAATTTAGTTGTATAGTCATTGTATGATAATTTCCTACTAATATTTGCAGAATGTGTTTTGGAAAGATCAGTTATATGCACCGCACATAATAATTTGAATCAACTGGGCAAGTTGGTAACTTTATTCTCTTGCAAAATGCACGAGTGCAAGTCTGTTTTGCATTGGTACTGCTAGAAGGTCTACATTCCACATTGGTACTAACAGCTTCGGTAATGCAGTTGAACGGTGAAGTGGCAAAAGACATGAAAGTAGTAATATTAGCATCCTATCTACAGTGCCCTGAAAGAGCTCCATTTTTGCATGCTTATAAGTTGGAAACTTAAAATGCATGTCAAATATTGATTCAATTTGGTTGTGGCTAAATATGGTTATGAGCAGATCCTGCACTTCCTTCTGTACACAATATAATTAGAAGCTTCTAGTTGCTGGAACACTATATTTTTATTATTAAATATTCATATGTCATTTGATAGAATAAAATCTCTAACAATAGGAGGGGAATTGCAAATGGACATATGCTGCAGGCCTTCACCCTTCATCCAGATTGGTCTCAGTCTCTTTATGTTCCCCTTCCTCAGAGTCAGCAAAGCAAGAGTACAGGACTGAATCCCTGCACCACTCTCTGTGCCATGCTCAAAACAAGTGCTGCTAGCTTGGGATTGCAGAGTGGAAAGTGATTGCCTGTGTGGGTATCACTACTATTCACTATTACCCACTTGCCACCCCATGGCAGTTTGACCCATTGGTTGCTTCTTTTTTGATGGATGGATGGATGGATTTTGTGGGTGAGGGGAGGAATTCCAGCCCTTTTTAATAAGTCCCAGACTGGTCCTTTCCTCCATATGTTTAGAAATGCAGAGATGTGTCAACACACAAAAAAGTGGGTGTACTTGTATAGTAGAAGGGGTTTAACTTGGAACTTTTTTACTTTTCTTGCAAGAGATGGGGCACCAAACCATTTCCTCCCACTTAGTACTGCCCCCAAAAGCTTGTTATTCTGGTTAGTAGAAAATCTTTATTTCCTGCATGTTTGTTACTGATCATTTTCTACCTTGCCCATTCACAGTATCTGTAGCACTCTGAATGTCTTAAGCAAATAAAATTAATACAATCCAGCAAAAATTAAATCAACAGCAAAAATGCAGCATAAAATCAGACAGCTAAAACAGATCTAATAAATTCCAGGGGTAACCAGGTCAAATATTTGCTACAAAAAAGTATTTAAGCTGGCAGCAGAAGGGAAAGGGAGGGGGCAAAAAGACTTCCTGAAGTAGGGTGTTTTTTAATTCGCTTACCATTAACAGCAGCTCACAAGGTGATTAACAATAATAAAATAAAGATAAAATATAAAACCATAATTAAAACATGAAGTCAGTTAAAGAGTACTTCTGATCCATGATCTAGATATGGCCACAGATCCCAACCAACAATGTCTTGGTCACCATTGGAAAAAGTACCTCCATAAATTATTATAGGAATATGGAGATTTCTAAAATATGCAGATCTAAGCTGTTTAGATTTAAAAAAAAACATTTGAAAAAAGTTACTTGTTTCTGGCTGAATGGCAGTTTTGGCATTATGCATAGTTGTAAGGGAAATATTTTTTCCATATCCCAGATAACATTCAAAGATAAGATTTGTGATTTCACCCATTGTGTCCAAATGTAGTGAATTATGATTTGCTCAGGCATAGTTGCCTACAAACCAGAATTCCATACCATGTTTGAAGCCTTGTTTCCTAAGATTTCAACAAACCATTTGCCGCATTGGAAGGCAGAGGCGAATTGTGCTTTTCCTTTTATCCTGGATCAGAAGCTTCTAATCTTTTATACATGGTAAATGAAGTTGAAGAATGTGTCTGGCCAAGACATACGCCTGTTCATGCTTGTAACAGCAAGCCATTCTTTTCCATTTTCTGAATGCACTCATGGCGGCAAGTGGACTGCTGCAAACAAATAAAGAATTAACATACCCCCTCTGCCCTCCCTGCTCCTCCCACTGGCCTGCACTGCCAGATTTCTTGCAATGAAAAAACATGGCACAATAGGAACAGAACCAGTGCAAAGCAACCGTGTGCAGAATTCAAGGGTGGCAAAGACAAAGGTTGCAATAACAATTGCATTATACAAATTTAGGCAGTGAAGAAAGAGTCAGTTGTTACACAGACCCAGACCAGAACATTTTTTATTTATTTTTAAAGACATTTTAAGTTTGATGGTTTTTAGTTGTCATATGATGGAGCACATCAGACATGATTCTTATACACTCCCCATTTTCTCCAGGATTCCTTTGTGGAAACAGTGCTTCTTGCATTGCACATGCATAGCAAGAGTTGCAGTAGCGATTAAAAATATGACACTCCAACACAGCTGGCTCTTACCGAACAGCTCCTTCCCACAATACAAAGTCCTTTTTCTTTCTAACAGACTATGCTGTAAACACCTGGCTACACTTTGAGGAAGCTCAAGCCATCAGGGAAAGGGAATTCTTACCAGACTCTGGTTATTTAAACAGGATGTTTCAATCCTGTCCTTCTCCTAGACTTATTAGACTTGTCGCCTCAGTCTACTTTACAGGAAACCAATTTGGGTAGCAGATGTGTACCCTGTCTTATCATTTTTGTCTTTCTTTTGAGATTTACAGGCTGGCTTTGTCTAGGATACCACCAATGAAACTAACCTACCTGAGGGGGCTGTTGCAAAGTGAATTCTCAAAGCCTTTTGCTCACTAGATGGAAAGCCAGCCACAAATCTAACAGATGTGTGTGGAAACAGGCCTTATGGAGGTTAGAGCATGAAAACAAAGCCTCTTTGTGAAGCAAACCCAAAGAGGATCCGCTGGATCTATCAGGCTGCAATTCATTTTCTCTTGGGACCTGTTTAATTATGAATTTCACCATTCTTCTGTAACTGAACATAACAGTGTTTGTTTTGTGTTTTGGGTACTGATTCCAGTAGGGAAATTCAGTTATCGACACCACCAACATAACACGACGACCGCTACCACCACCTCCTCCTCCTCCTCCTCCTCCTTCTCCTCATAAGCTTAAGTAACTTTAACATTCTGTCTTCATTCAAACTGTCTCCAGGTTAAACAATGAACATTCCAAGGCACCTCAGCAGTGCAGAACTAGCCGTAATTATAATCAGCCATGGTAACAAAAAGTTCTTTGTTCTGGAAAACTTAAAAAATTCTGTATTTTACAAAATTTATTATGTCAAATGAAATTGAATCCTGCCTTCTTTTTTTGGCAACCAATGCTGTTTGCAGGTGCTTCCAAATGAGCTTTAGGATTACAGTGAGCCAAGAAAAATGTAATTTTGGTGGTATTTCTATTGTAATTTAGAACTCATTTAAATGAGTTGCTGGAAGCTGTCCCTTGCAGACGTAGTTTAAATGCAAATTAATCTAGATGACTGCTTCAGGATCCTTGATAAATACAAGTGGCAACTTGAGACCTTTACTGTTTATAATAAATCGTTTCCGCTTCAATCAGTTTCTCATGTTTCCCCAATGTTATAATATACTTTTCTTTTGCAAAGGGATCACAGGGGAATTCTGGCTGGTTGGCCATTTGGTGAAATGATCATCCAGCAGCATCATTGCCAAAATTCTAAAGAAGCCACAAAAAATTAGGTTTAGAAGAACAACCCCATTATTAAAAATGAAGTGATACTTAACGAGACACTTATTTTACCTACTTGTTCCAGTTCCTTCAGTACCATCTGCTTTCTTAAATGGTATTTCAAAGCTCCTAAAGTTTGTATATCTAAATTAGCATGCATTTGTATGTACTCAAACTGTGAGCATTATTAACACATTAAATTACTTTTGTGTATAAGTAATCTGCTGCTCAGACTGTTGGTTGAACCAATTCAAGAAAAAACATGATATCAGCTCT